TTTTCGGGGGGATTTTTTTTGGGGCTCCCCTTTTTTGTCCCTTTCCCCGGGATTATTTTTTTCCCCCCCCCCCCCCCCCCCCCCCCTCTCTCACACACACAATGTCTTTATGTTCAGGGCCCCCACCCTCTATTCCTTCTCCGTGCTCTTACGATATATGCATATGTTAATCTCTTGCATGACTCATGCAGTACATATATATCCTTATAATAGTTGCGCCGTCTATTTCTATTGCCCCCCCCTCTCGGTAATGCGTGCGTAACTATCCACCTACATACTATCTGTTCGATAAGCCCTTCCGCGTCCTTCACCGCTCTCGCTCTCTCCCCGGCACACCGTCGTGCTCATTCATGTGTGCATGCACGTGCGTGCCGTTTTGGCGGAGACCACCTACAAGGGGAAGGCGGTGCTGACCTTTTTTTCCACCCGTTCGCCCGTCTCGCTACCCACGAACCAGGAGCTGACGAAGTGGGACTGCATAGCGGGGGACGGCGACTGCGGGACCACCTTCAAGAGGGGTGCGGAGGCTGTGCTGGCCGAGCTCGAAGCGGGCCGGCTTCCCACCAGAGATCTGCGCGCGCTGTTGCGGGCCTTGTCCGACAGGTGCGCTTACCGTGCAGTAGGTGTGTTGAATCGTCCCCCGAGGTGACGAGCGTGGGAAGTGGAGTGGAGTTGAGTGCGCAGCAAGGTCAGTGGTATGTGACCACGCGTCTTTGACATCATTGGTATGGTGCGCTCAACAGCAGTGGCCTGTTTCCTTCCCTCCAAATATCAGCGCCTTTGTTTTGGTCGCCGGAACCGGTCACAGCGGGCAATAAGCACATCTCGATCTTCTTCTCGCTTTGCTTCATTTCGCCGTCTTGTTTATTTTGTTTTATAATATCATGGGGCTTAAAATTGTGCTCCTTGCAATCTCTCGCCACCGCCGTCGCACACATGCAACACGACAGCGTCGGCGAATCGATGGGAGGCACGATGGGAGGGGTGCTTCAGATTTTCTTCAGCGCCGGAGACGCCGCCCTGTCATCTCCTCCACCACCACCATCCTCATCATCACCATCTCAAGAACAAGAGCAAGAGGGCGGAGGGGCAGCTTGGTGCCGTGCTTTCGTAGCCGGGGTCGTCGGGGTGGAATTCTACGGGGGTGCTAAGGCGGGGATGCGGACGGTGTTGGACGCGATCGTGCCGGCCGCGGAAGTCCTCCGACGAAAGGGGCCCTCAGGTGGGTGGGGAATCACTAATTGGTTGTGATGCGCGTGTTGCTTGTGCGGTGTCATGTACATGTAGCGTGTCCGGGCGGGGGGCGCGTCTCAGGACGGAAGGGAGGGAGCGTGGTAGCGTGGACAAGGCAAATGAGGAAGCGGGGGTTGCTTCACAGCGGGGGTTATGTCGTTATTTGGCAGTGGGTCCGTCTCTTGCTGACTATGTATTGCCGCCTGCCACCAGTCGTGCCATGGAACCGCCCATCCTCGTCGTGTTGGGGTGGTGGTATCTAGAAACAACTCCCGGTTGCAGCGATTAGGTACTCGCTAGCCCCCCCGCCCAGAATATTGCCGTCAACGTAAGGAGTTCTCCGACACAGTTCTCTCAAGATAACCTTTTCTCTTCCTCCACTTTTTTCCTTGACGGTGTTGTTCAAATCGATCAGCGTTCGGGGAGGCCGTCACCGCGGCGGAGGAAGGGGCGGAGGCCACGCGGGGCATGGAAGCACTAGCGGGGCGCGCCAACTACGTGGCCGCGGAGTCCCTGGAGGGGGTGCCCGACCCGGGCGCGAAGGCCGCGGCCTACGCACTCAGGGCGGTGTCGGAGGCCTTGTCGTCCGGATGATGACGATATTGACGAGAATGGCTGCTTGCAACGGCGCTCTGCTGAAGAAGATCTGTCACTATAAATATATCGTCGTGACCTGCGATCTGTCACTATAAATATATCGTCGTGACCTGCTCTGGGACAGCAGTCCGCGTGCAACGATTGCCCATCTCTCTCTCCGAGCGGTAACCGTGGAACTAGCTCACCGATCTTGGCGGATGGCCGTGTGTTGCGAAGCGTGTTTTGTTTTGCCAACGAATGCCTGCAGAGTTATATTGAAACTTTCATTTACCATTTATTTTTCGAATTCGAATGAAAATCGCGATCGGGATATTTTTGGGGTTTTCCAGAGGGCACGTTTACTATTGGGTGGGGTTGAAACTCCGGACGTGGCGGAAAATGTTGGTGGTATCGTCGCGTCATGGGCACTACAGGTTACGCGCCTTGCTGTGTTTGGGGGCAGCGTAGCAAAAAGTGCGTGGTTCGGAGCTTCCGACGAACGTGATCATGACAGAGAACAAGATACATAGTTTTGAAGGATTGACGAAACCAATTAGACTTCATCGGCGCATTCTTGTTGAGCTCTTGTTTGTCGTGTTGTGCGGTTCTTGATGAGCGAGAGGAGCACATTGATACTGCTGCTGTTTTGGCCACTTGCGGTCGCATCCAAGAGGAGGGGGGCGGGGCGGACGTGGAACCAAGCTTTGCACCTGCCGACTATTGTAGAGTAGGAGGGTTGATGTGTAGGCTGTTCCCTGGACCAGTTTTATCGCATCTCCAAAGATCCGGAATTTTTTCCGTTGTGTACGTAGGTTTCTTCACGGTGTGAAACCTTTGCGACCTGAAGAAATATTCAAATCTAGGAGACGCTCGATAGAGAGGACCCAGGCGACGACGACCCTGCGTTCCTCTTAAGACTTGGCTGAGGGCGTCTAAAGTATTGCAAGGCGACCTATGGGATGATTTGTCGCGACTCGGGCGTTTGGCGAAAAAGAGTGCGTGATTCGGAGGTTCCGACTGAACGTGATCATGACAGACAGACAGACAGACGCGATTTCTGTTACGGCGCGGTGAAACCTCAAGGATACCGTACCCCATGGGTCTCTACACGAACAAGCTTGCAACGTAGTGGGGTCGCCAACTTCTTCTTCTGCCATATGGCCCATCTTTTCCCCAGTTGCAAATTGGGGTCTCAGTCGTGTTGTATCTATCTAGCGATGTAGGCACCAAAACGTCAACGGATGATGTACGGACCCTACACCCCCCCAACGTGCCCTGCCTGTTGCAGTCAGTATTATCAAGATAAATGCCTCCGGCGACTCCCAGTTGCATTTTGACACAACAAAACGCGATAGAAAATATCCCTAACAGTTACTACTGTAGAGTCCTTCGCATTCAACCCGCCGTGTGGCATTCTATCTGTCTCTGGTAGACGAAACACCAACGCCCCATCGCAAAGTCGTTGAGTAAAGAAGACATTAACCTAGCAACCGAGTAGAGGTTACGACACCACGGCGGGTGTGAGTACGTACAAGCTTGCAGAGGTAGACTATAGCTTGGGACTCTAGAAGAAAGGGACAGACTGACTGACGCTGCGCGCCGCACGTGTTGCCCGCACGACTAGACAACGAAAGAGGAACATCAAGTACAACAGTGGTAGTTGATATTCTACATCCAGCCAAGACAAACGTCGTTCTCCACCAAACCAAGACGACGACGACGACGGCGGCGGCGGCGGCGGCGGCAAGCGTACACGCGTACATGTGTTTTTTGGCTTCTTGTTGGTTGAGAGGTTGAAGTATGTTTACCCGAGACTGAACGTAGAGTGGCCTCCGGGCGGAGCAATAACTCGAGACGACGGCCTGCCCGTGATGACATTCCCGCAGTTCTGACTGTGCCCGCTAGCGAAAGCGTTGGAGGAGAGCGCAGCCTCGACCCCTCCTCCGCTGGACGGAGCGTACCCCGGGGTTAGACCCCCGCCCCCACCCCGTCTAGCCTTGCCTCTGTTAGCGACGCTCCTACCGGTCATGAGGCTCCGCTCCCCGAACTTGCCTCCAAACCCGCCGAAACCTTGGTCTTGGCGGGGATCGGTGTTGTTGTGGCATGCCGGTCGTGGATAGGACGAAGGCTTGTAGTCTCCCCCGTAGCCCGAGCCGTACGCGGAGGAAGACGTGAGCCCGCCGTGGGACAAGGGCACCTTTTTTGAAGAAGGGAGGCGAGGTAGAGGTGCGCATGAGAAGGATTCTGTAGTAATCAAGAGCATCTGGTGTGTGTTTAACAAACATTCATCTAGAAACAAACCTGGAGAGGTAGGTGATCTCGGCAGAGGTCGTGTGGACTACATGTAAGACACCACATGCTCTTACCTCGGAGGAAATTGGGAGGGTTCATTGGTGTCTCTCGACGCACGTCCTGTGCAAGGAGTACCAGTAGAGGCCGGCCAAAGGTTTCCTTTCGCCGAGGGCAGTAGAAGGGGACGATAAAGTTATCTGCCCATCAACTCATAACACAAGCAAACCCTATATTGTAGTCCTCACCCTTACTTGCTTTATCCTCAGCCTTTTTGTCAAATGAACGTGTGTGTGAGAGTGCTGACTGACTGACTGACCGACTGACCGACTGACCCAGTGTCATTTCAGTATTCTTCTCGCACCTTGCTCGTCGGGGGGGCTTGTTGCGATCCGCTAGGACCGTAAACGGCATTGTTAGCGGTGACGCTGTCGTCTTCATGAGCGCCCCTCCTGTACCCTCCGGGCTTCTGGCTGCCGCTGGGGTCTACGCCGTCGCGAGTGATCGGCATGGGGTACGGGCTCTCTAGACCCGGGATACTGCGGTCGTTGCTGTTACCGCTGCTCAGGCGCGAAGAGGTCAATCCCACGTTGTTGCTGTATCGTGATCGGAACAGCACCAGACGAGCCGTGTGACGGAGTTAAGGATGCACTCATTGCCGTGCGCAGCTGTTGTGGGTTTATTTGGCCGCTTGCATCCGTAGACTACAGTGCCGGCGCCGAGGATTTCAGGGTTTCGTCGCCCAGGCAAGGGGGGGAGAAGGTATTGTTAGTCGGTCGTGTGGGCGATTTGGTGCGGCATATGGAACCTACACGCTGAATAGCTGTCGGCGGCACGGAAATGGGTCATGAGACAATTTGCGCAGGTCGAAAAAGCGAAGCACCCTTTGGTGTGTAACAGAATCAACGTTGTAGTACCGTATATAATACAATCTGTTTGTATCGCGATAGGAGGTAAATCGAGCTCTCCCCAACTTCGCGCCATCGCGATCCATTCGGTTTCCGAGCGTGTCTTTTTCGCTCATGCGCCACTCTCAGTCTTTCGGTAGTAGTAGTGACAGATCGCGCAGAACAGGGCAAAGTGTAAGCTTTCACTCGCGGAACGAAACGGCCTCCTAGTTTCTAGCGAGCCAACGTCCCAGGATCTACTGTAGCGAGGTTCGTATCGCGTGCATCCCCGGGTCCGATAGGATCCATCCCCGTATCCCCCCCCCCAGTGAACATATGTTGTACTGAATTCTTGTCGCGAGTAGCACACCGTCCGACCTTTCTTGCTTGGAAAGCTGCCCCTCTCCCATGTTCCTCCGGTAGAAGGCATCCGAAGCAGCAACTTGGTTGTTGCCTGTCGGGGTACCCCAGGCGAGAGCCGCCCCCACAGATGATGACGTCCCGCCTCCCCAGCTGCGGCAGCGCCTAGAGGAAATCTGCGCCGCGCACAACGAACACGAAACGATTCTTTACAAATCCGGTCTCACGCTCGGTGATAAGGCGTACATGTATGCACGGTTTGTTTAAGAACGCGTCGAGAACGGTCGTCGTTGTTGATATCGGGCTCTTATCGTCCTTGTTTTTCAAGCCGCATGGATGGAGGATGCCCCAGTTAATTAGCGCCGCTCTCCGTAGTCAGTAGCTATCTTTCATGAACAGAACCTGGACGCTACACAATCAATAAATACATGTTCGAAAACAGATGTGGTGATCGTTCACTAGAAGAACGTCAAAATGCAGAGGAGACATCCTTTGGGCCTACGTGCGGGCGATGGCCCAGGCGGGGGGGCTTTACCGACGATGAATTGGACAAACACGCGGTGCAATAAAAGTTGTGTGTGACTAAACGCTAGCAGCCTAACAAACACATCTGATATCTTCGCATCGAATCATGAGAAAAGTGACCTACTGTAAGGGGAGCACCCAAACTCAGTGTCTCGGCAGAACAACAATTAGAAGGTCACGTGGGGAGATCCGCCGCCACCGATGGCCTGAGCGCCAGCGCTGGCGAAAGAGCGCCTGCTGTCGCTATCTCTTGAACCGCCGCCGCTCCTGCTGCCAGCACTGAAATATCACATAGATCAAAAGTAATTCCCCTTAGGGTCGAGCAGGCGTTTATTCCCAGATTCCGGATCTACAGAGACAGTAGGGAGAGGCAGATATGAGTGGAGAGCTAACTTCGCTTCTTTCTTGGCGAATCGAACCAGCACCAACGACAGCACGAGAGGCATTTCTCGTCTTGGGTGGCGGGTAAGAAGAGCGATGAGCGATTAGTTAGGTACATTGCTCGTCTCGTGCTTATACACGAACTACAAGTAGGTCGCACTTCCTCGTTCTATGAAGAACAATCTCCTGGTCAGAGTTGAGACAGCACCGTTTGCTGCCCAAGAGTATAATTTGAGCGAACCCATGCACAACATTCCACATGCATGCATGCATGCATAAAGGATGCAACGGTCGGCCCCGTGAACGTCGGCAACGATTTTTTCGGGCGTGAGAGTTTTAAGTCTGGCCCGACAGCAGTTGGTGCCTGTTATACCCTCCCGCGGCGAAGACTGCATGAGGAAGCGATTTCCACCAAACACAGCACCACCCGTTGTGTGACTTTCAGCGCTTGCTTGTGGGAGGACGAAGATACTGCCGTTAGGCTCGTGATCACTCATCCTACAGTAGCCCCCGTTTTTTTATCACGCTTTGCCGTGCCTTGAGCGATATCTTTCCGGATGTAAGCGTACATGCCATAAGTTGTTGTAACATTTTCGTCCTGCTGCGAGTAGACTATTTTGTTTCTGGAGTGGATCCTAGCGTCTTTTTGGGAGAGGTGGTGATACGGAGACCTCTTAGTAAGGCAGAGGAGGCATTGGGGGTACGATTTGTTTGGAGTATTAACTAACCCGGGAGGGGGGCGCAAGGAAGTGGCGTTGGGAGGTCAATGGCGAGATGGATACTGCTGAGCGTGCAGCACAACAAGACCCAAAAGGACCCTTACTTGCACATTACATGCACTACCGTTAACACTGATCAAATGTCATCATTGTTCCTGCCTGCGAGTCGTACGTCCCGATAGACACACAACAAGAACCGTTTAAGATGTCAAGGCTACAGTCAGTGCCAAGGGCCGGCAGCCGGCCATGTCTAGTTTTGGACATAAAGCGGCCTAACTCGTGCCTGTCTGTCTGCCTGTAATAATCGTAGTTCTTTCGAAGCATGCCATGTATGTGCGGTTGGACGTCGATCGATGCCGCCCTGCCCCCCCCTACTTGTTTCACCTTGAGCGAGCTATCGCGCATTCTTACCTATGGCTGCTGCTTCTGTGGTTAATGGGATCTGTTGTCCCGTAGAAATCTCTCGGAGCCACTACGGCTAAGTTGTGTTGCTCGTAGGGATTGCCCACGTCGCCCTGTCCCAAGTGCGAGTAGACGTTGAAAGTCGATGCCCCACCGCCACTCCTCGAACCACGTTGTTGTTGTTGATCATTTGATCGGGGCCCGCTGCGGACGGGAACAACCAGGTGTGGACATCCGTGAGTTGTTTTTTGTATCATCGTGTTGTCGTCGAGGGAAGAGTGAGAAGAGCGAGAGGTTGGACGCTGTGAGGAGTGTGTGGAAAGGATGTGGGTGGAATGCAACAACTCCCAACTGTATCCTACATAGGTGATGTCGTTGGCCGGGAATTACTGTTCCAGCGCAGTTTCCGCATGTAATTGCGAGAAAATCTTTCATGTGTGCCTGACCCAGGCTGCTGATAATGCGTCCAGAAAAGTACCGAAGGTACTGCATAAAACCAAATTCCAGGAAACAACACACACTAAGATATCGGTATGGTGTAGACGTTAGCAGTATATAGTCTTCAGTAGTCGTTGTTGTTGCCCACAAAGAATTATCCAAAACATCATGCGGCATATTATATGCTGCAGCCTACATTACAGTAGACTACTGTATAGTCCCATCGGTTATATTGTACGAACATCATCTTCTTGTGACAATAGTCTATATATGTATGTATGTCTAGCCTTACACCATGCCAACCACCTGTCCGCCCGTGGTATCTTCACGGGTACCCAGCCCGACGTACACTTGGCGAGTCCACCACCTCGTACATTGAGTGTGCACTGCTGTCGCACAAGAACTAACCATGTCCCCCCCCCGGTGATCCCACCTGACCGAAGCGTCGCCTCCGCGGCCTGAGATGAGTGCCCCAACGCCGATCGGGTCCCCGCCTCCTCGTTTCATCGGACCACGGTCAAGAGAACGCAATCAATCGAGCTATGCACGCGTCTCACGTACCTTTTTACCCGACCGAATGGTAGTCGGCCTTCGGACGGTCAGATACAAGCGGCAGATGTACACTAGCTGTGAGGATTAGTACATTGGATCTTTCGGAAAAAACGTAACGGCTGTGTCAGATCTTCGTAGATTCTATCTATCTGCTGATCTACGGAAATCTTCGGTATCTACGTAGTAGATCTTCGGAGATGTATAATTTATCCGCAGCAGCTGAAAAGAAGATATTTTGGAAAACCGTTTTTCTAATAATCGCCATAAAAAATAGGAAATATAGCTAGCCTTCCTCTGACGATTCATTGCTAATCTATCTTAGACTCTTTTCTCAGATAGAGATGGATTCGTTGTGTCATATTAAGAAAAAAAAAAAGTTGGTTCGGGGAACCTCTTCAAAAACAATTTCGCCGCATTCCCGACCGAACTGGTTTGTTTTCTGTCCAGCTCGGCAATCGATTCCGCTTGGCCGATTTAGGGGGGGTAGAGCCACTCAGAAAAGTGATCAGACCAAAACTCAGCTGAGAGCGGTGTCAAACATGAGTGCAGCTGGGGCTGGGGCAGCGGCACCAGTGTCAAAGCCGGGCAAGTGCGAACGCATACTTTGGCTAGGAAAGGAGAAACATGTCATACATTACGGCACGAGTGGAGACTGAACAAGGGGTAGCGGAGAGGTGCTGTTGACCACTACTCTCGTCGACAAAAAGAACCCCAATAGGCCTTCGAACAAATACCAGGTCTATGTTGAGAATACCGAAGAAAGTGTAACCTCAAAAGCCTTCGAGTTGGCTCACAGCGTTCTCAAGAACAAGCGCGAAAGGTGGGAGAAGGCTCACGGGCATTCGGGTGGCAGCAGCAGCGAGCGGTGGTGGCGCTAGGAGGAATGCCGACAGAGAGGTAGCCGACCCCGTCATGGCGGCTTTGCGAGGAGGTGGCAGGACCCGATCCAGAGTGGTGACAATTCAGCCAGCTGAGCAGGTGAGATACTACCGTATATGACACAAGATAACACACCCCCTTGGCCGATTTTCAAAGCTCGATTTCTCAACAGCAGGAAGAGTCACAGCGCCGAAAACGGCAGCGTTGGAATCGTCTCGTCGAGAGCTGTTCGAAAACGTATTGTTTCATTTATGCATCCTCTTCGTCGTGGAGTAATCGAGCTTTGAAAATCGGTCCAGGGGCTGTGTTATCTTGTGTCATATACGGTAATGTCGCCTAGAGGTTTCAGTCAATCAACAGCACAGCAGATAAGTTTGTCTACTGCTGTACATACACTCATCAATCAACACATACATACATGCGGTAATTTCGCCGAGAAACAAACAATTGCCCCGAGGGGGTTAATTCCACCGAGAGGATCGAAGCCGCGTAGTTGTGCAGCGAGAGCCTGCCTGTGTTGTTGGTTCCCACGCAAAGTAAGTGCCCAATTTTGTGTGTGCAATGGTCTCTCCATCAGTCGTGCCTTGCGCTTATGTATTATTGCGTTGCGCAACGTCGTACCCTCCGCCTCCTCGTTCGTCATGTGTGCACACAAACGGCGCCAGTCGACTGCCGCCCGCAGTCTACGGAAACTTTTCTCGCGTCCATGGACAGCATGGGGTATGACAACGCTCTGAGACACTTGGGAAACATCGGCTCGACGTTTGCGAAGGACACCCGTAAACACTTGCGAGGGTTGGAAGCCAAGGCCAGCACAGCAGGCTCGTTGGAGCGAGCAATCGAGAAGACGCAAAAACAACGTAGAACCAACGAGGGTAGCCGCACGTTGCAAACGATCCTCACGGCTGCGGCCTTTCTCGTGGACGACGTAGAGGCTCCATCGATATCGGTCAGACGCAGGGCAGCTGTGTTGGGGGTTCGCGAGCACGCCTTCAAGTTCGCGGCGGAGCGTGCCAAGAAATTACTGTACGATCTCTATCCAACCGAGGCGATAAAGCGCGGTGTCTACTGGTTTTGGCCCAGGAGCTACTATTAAAAGGAGCGATGCCTAAAGATTCTGCTGCTGTAGTTGCTCGCGAGAGGGCGAAACCCACCCTAGAGCTTGCATTGGAGAGCACCCATGACCGCATTCGTTTTAACCTGCACGAGTTCACGATCGATCATGAAACATAGGCAAGCACATTAATAATACATCCATCCATCCTGAGACGCAGGATGTTTGATTCTCGTACTTGGGAATTTCAAGCTGATCATGGACCGGGTGGAAAGCGCTTCAAATAGTTCGTGTGTACACGGAGGGAAGATAGTTGCTGCATTCTTCTCACACTAGAAATCGAAGGCAAAGCACCACAGGATGGGTGGGTAGGGGTCCTCAGGGAGAGGAACCCTTCTGTGTGACCAAGGGTTGGAGTAAACGGCACAAATATATGCTGTGAGCCCTGATTTGAAGTGAAGACCAAAAAAACAAATCGCGACGTGATCTGTTGTTGCATTTCGACTAAACATTCTCGTCTAAGTCAAGGTGCGGCACACGATTTCTGAGTGGGGAGACCTCCCTGGACTGACAACCGGTTTGGGGCACGTTACCAACATCCGTGCCCGCATATCTGCCCACGTTTGCAACGTCCGGACGCATTGTCTCGATCATTCCGAAGCGCGTGATCGTCGCAGAGGAATACTTCGTCACTTGGTTGGACCTGTGGCAGTTTCGAGGGTGGCATCGCGTTTGTCGGGAGCTCTTGGCTTGTCTGCGGTTTCTTACTCTCGACGATCTTGCCTTCATGTTTCGGCGGGGAAAAGAATCGACTGCCGCTGGGAACTGCGCTTGGACAAAGAAACCAGAGAGAAACAACACTTACACATGATGTTGATCATTTGATTCGTGCTTGAACGAGGCAATCTGAACGAGTAACTAATTTTTCGCGCGTCATCGGACGAACGACCAAAATGCTCCTTCACTCTCTCCCTTATTTTCACGCACGAAGTTCAATGTACCTTAGCAGCAGAACCCGCCCTTTACCACCACCAAGGCACACCAATGTAATGAAATGTCGCAAAGCACCCGCTTACACTGCCGGAAAGGTGAGACAGCAAACCGAAAAGATTCAGGTCGGAGCGGTGCCATGATCCTGGTTTCTTCCAACAAAAATAACACATCAAGTTTTCTTGTGATTCGATAAAAACGCTTCGCCCAAACACTAAAACATTGACCTGCACCCTGTACCTGCCACCACCAGAGAAGCCAGCTACACTTCACGCCTGCAACCACACCAGACAAATATCAAACACCTTCCTCCCAAAACCAACACATGCTGATTATTTTTGGCCGGTCGGAGAACATTCTCCAAATCCGACTCACTCCCAGAAAAAAGAAATGTAAAACTACCTTGTACTTGTATACGAAACACCCGTTCATGAAGAACTTAATATATACCATGGAAACAATAACAGCACAGGAGGGGTGCCCTACAACCCGCTGAAAACACAGCACCTACCCCCCTTTACGGGGTGTAACCTTTCAAACCCACGGTGCGATGGCTAGTGCTTTCACCCCCGTAGCAACTCCAGCAGGAGAATCGATTGATGTGAGAACTCAGGACTAGTGGTACGTTTCAGGCGCCGATAAAACATTGAGGGGAAGCCCAACGGAGATGTCCCCCAACATCAAAGACACAGGTGTAGCCTCTGGAGGTGCAGGGATGAAAATCGGGCCCTCCAATCTCTGCGTTAATCGAGCGAGGGGACGGGGACGGGGACATTCGGGGCAAGCGGGTGAGGGAAATTTAGCGGCGGGGAGGAGGGCTCGTTGTCGCATATTCATGTAGAGATAGAACAATTAAACATGTTGGATTGACGCAAGTCAGCTGCTTCAAGCACCAGCACGCACTGCCGCCAGCGCGGGACGTGAAGCGGTGCTTGACGCCAAACACAACAGCTTTGTTTGGTAGGACCACCACCACCACACCTAAAAAGCATGTCATTAGAATGTCCACGGGACGGCAAGTACCTCGTGCGTGTGCGCTACTCCACAGCACCCACCCGTACAAGAAGAAAGCATAGCAGTGTCCAAAAATAAACCAAGGCCTTTACATCTCGTAAAATCTCTGCACCAACGGCGGCAGGTAAAACACGCCTGCCTCCCTTACCTTAAGAGCGTTCATAACGGCACGAGTGCTGACCTCCTCAGCCATACCGTCCCCTCCTCCTGCTTCCACCGCACCGCCTCCGTTCAGCCCGCCGGCACCTTGGCCCTCCTCGCCCACGCCGCCGCCATCGTCGCCCGCGCCGTCCTGACCCCCCCCGCCTCCGCCACCATTTCGGACACCGCCGTCCATGTCAGTCCCACCGCCACCGTCGTCGTCCAGGCCGCCGTAGAGATCGCCGTAAAGGTCGTCCTCTTCTTCTGCGCCATCCGGAGAACCGCCGCCGCCGCCGCCGCCGCCGCCGCTTTCGTCCGTGGCCAACTGTGCCGGGGTAGTGTTGATGCCGTCGCCGTAGCCGTTGTCACCGCCGTCCATCTCCGTGCCGCTTGCAGGCGTCGCCCCTTCGCCCATGGCGGTTCCGGCGTTGACGCCTGCCTCCTCCTTTGGTTTCACACCCGCACCTGTGCCCCTTTCCTCTTCGTCATCGTATCCCTCCTCCGGTTCGAAGGTAAGCCCGGCCTCGACATCATCTCCGGCTTGACGCGCGAGGGCCAAGCGGCGGTAAGCGCCCTCCGACAGCAGCTGCCGTGACACGCACACCGGCGCGAGGTTGGCCGCCTTTTTTTTGTTGTGTTCCGCAACGAAACAGGATCGGTTGGGAACGCGGACGAACAGACGAGGGCGGGTGGTAACATGAGATGATGGCGTGTTGGGGGAAGACTGACTCTGGACAGGAAACGTGGCGACGGAATCAAGACAGCCAGCCACGTGTGTTGGTAAAAAGTATGGTACCAAATATTGGCCTTCCGCACTATCAACAGGGCGGTGCGCTACAAAATGGCGACAATCAGCATCGTGCGTGGTCCGAGCGTACTTGCTGCAAGAGACCCCGCGTAGATGCATGCATGACCTCCAGAGCAAAGAACGCCGAAAACGATACTGCCGACTAGACAGGCACAGCAAGCAGTACGTGAGGTGTTTTGGCGAGTCGCGTCAAGGGCGGACAAGCTGCGCCCAAGAAAAGCTCGCGTCGCTTTTGGTTGCAAGGAAGGGCAAGTTTGGGTCGCACGAAACTCACCACGGCAACAACTGCAGGATCAACCTCAGCCGCCTCGGCCCGCTCCTCCTCCTCCTCCTTCACCGCGGCGGCGGCGGCGGCTGCAGCGGCCGCGGCTGCCTCCGCTTTCGCCTCGGCCACTTGGGCCGCCGCTTCCGCCTCTGCTATCGCCTCCAAGTCATCATCCGGCGGGAACCTCGGGAAGTCGCCGCCGGGGCCGTGCCGGGGGTGTGGTTGCCATTGATCGGCCTGCCAGCGGTCTTGCTGTGACTGCTGGTGACCGCCGTAGGGGGGCTGTCTTCGCTCGCCGGGGGGGCCTGTCGGTGAAAGTCATCACGACGGGCAGCACGGAAGAAAGCAAGGGACGCGTGTCAACGAGCGCAGCATGGAACCAGGGACAGCCGCTGTCGTTGATCATCACCGTTGAGATTATCACAAGTTTTGGAATAGGGTTGAGTCTGAAGGACTCTGGGAATTGTTAAACGTATCGCCGTTTAGTGTAAAATCGTGGTGTGATGCATCATTGGTTTAGAGACCAAGCAGATTTATCATCCACAATGCGGCATAGATACCACATTCGCCTTCACCCGGAAAAAAGAAACACGAATGTATCATACCTGCTGTACAACTCACCTGGGTGTCCACGGAGACACGCAAATAACACAAGTCACATACAACCGTGATCGATCGTTGCAGTCCTCTACAGTACAGTACAATTGCAAACTCCAATAAGTAAGACCGCCCTTTATTTGTGTACTGTGTACCAAGTGTTCCCTGACCGGGCCTGTCGACACATACGACGCTCCATATCATGGTATGTATGACACTGACTTCGATTGCCCACATGGGACCTGAACAGGTATTTCGATTAGGACAGCCGGTATACAGTGGAAGCAGCCGTATCTATTCTAGCGTCAAGACAAGTACTGCGTTCTTTCGATATTGACATCTGACACCGGTAGAAGTATGCGTAAGGAAAAGAGTGTACCGCCTAGCAGCACAAGGCAGGGATACAATTGACCTGTCCACCTTCCCTCGCTTTATAACAAACCAAACAACGCGCACGCAGTCCTCACCGTATCCCTCGCCGCCGAATCCTTCTCCTCCTCTTGGCCCTCGCCCGTCTCCCCTGTTGTTGTTCATATTGTTATTGTTTGCTTCCCAGGCACCGTGAGGAGGAGGGCCAGGACCTCTGCGCGGTCGGGAGTCGGAGCGGGATCGAGATCTCCGAAGCCTTGGACCATCCGGTCCTCCAATTCCTGGCGGGCCGCCTCCGGGGCCAGGGGGCCCCCACACTCTCTCCCTGCTGTCGCCCCGCCGCATGCCCCCGCCTTCCTGCTCCCAGTTGCTAGACAACAGGGGATGGGGATACATTTTTGACAAGAGTTGGTCTTGGTCACTGTGCGTTGGTCTTGGTTATTGCCTGCTGCCAATGTACCATGGGATGCATCGTTGCACGGAGACAACTGGGAGGTCGAGTACTGTAACGCCCTGCTTTCTTCTTTCAGGTACAAAAGTATGACCCAGCCAACATCACTAACGCGCAGGTGCCAATATCACCCCCATGCGAACGTTGAATCGCCACTACGAAACCGAACTGCTATTATATCCACGCCGTGCACTTGTCAACAACGCCAACGCCAACGACTTAGCACAGGCGGTTGCCCCCCCCCAAAAAAAACGGCAGCGTAATAGTCTAACTCACCCCCCTCCCGGCCCCCACCCGGCGCCTGCTGGCGGCGGCGGAAGCACGTCACCCCGACCGTTCTCCCACGGCGCCGTACCCATCGGCCGCCACGGGCCGTCACCAGGCGGCGGCGGCGGCAGTGGCCCCCTGCCCTCGTCCGGTCTAACCATCGACCCTCGAGACCCATTCTGGCCGCCGCGGCCGCCGCCGCCTTGCCCCCGCCCTCTCATCGGCCCACCCAATCCGGCACCACCCCGGCCCTGATGCTGCTGAGGCCCCCCGAATCCTCTCGGCGGAAGACCGCCCGCTGCGGCCCACGGCGGGGGAGGCTGACCACCACCACCGGGACCCCCCGCACCATCGAAGTGAAGCGGCGGGCCCCCATCTTGCTGCTGCTGCCTCCTTGGCTCCCCGACTCCTCCTCTCACTCCTTCGCCCCGGGGCGGATAGAAGCCAGGGCCTCGTCCTCTTCCTCCCCCCCCCCCTACTCCCGGGCGGCCGCCGTCTCCTTCCCCGTTCCCGTGTTGTTGCCTCGGTATGTACTGCTCGAGAGCCGGGTCGTTCCAGGCGGGGTGTCCGGGGGGAGGGGGGCCCCGCGGTCCCCAAAATCCGGGAGGGGGGCGGGGTATCCCCCGTCTGCCCCCGCCGGGGGGGGCGGCAATGTTTTCTTGCTCCAGTCTGTTGGGTGCGCCGCCGGCGCCGCGACCGCCGCTGCTGTGGCGATCGCCGCCGCCCCGCCCCCCGCGGCCGCCCATCTCTAGTCCTGGCCCTCTCTCCGGTCCACCCATCGGCCGGTCGGGTCCTCCTCCTCCCCCTCCTAACATCGCTCGACCTCCTTGCCTTGGGCCGGGGGCCCCCGACAAATTGTTGGGTGGTGCTAAGGGGGCTACACCGCCGCCACCGCCACGAGCGTTCGGCCCGACTGGCTCTGGTCCTCGGCCTGCATATGTGTTTGTTCAGTGTGTTCAGGGGCGGGGGTGGCGGTCGCGTGTAGTGATGTTCTTGCTACGACGGACGGCATGCAAGCACCATCTGCTGCCTTGCGGCACACGTTCTTACCGCAACAAAAACATTATCGACTGGTGCTGGTGTTTGTGACTCGAAATAAACCAAAGGTACTCATCACCGCCTGGGCGGACACTCGCAGAGATCTGAAAAACACCGCATATTGTTAAGCGATCTGGGCGAAATTGAAACCGCGGTTTGCCCTATCAAACAACGAATGCACACAGCAAGGGAGGGATACATAATTGCTCAATCAAACATGATCATTGAGAGGGATGGCAAGTATGATTGGTGCCCTCGAAATAACTACGAAGTAGCACTGACATGTCACGTACGTATCTCAGTCAAGACGGAGCACTACACGTATTGTTCCGCAAAGACCTCCTTTCCGACCTTCGACGTATCTCAGTGCGATGGCCGACAATGCCTGCTTGTTCGCCTTTGGCATCCACAGGACGCTCGCCTACAAATACCAAAAAACAGCTCGCAATCCTCCCAAGCCATGACCCATCCATAGGTACCTCGTCCACAGTTAGTACCAGCGAGAAAGCAATAAACACAAGCAATAAACACGTTTAGTATAGTACATACTAAAAATTAAAGAAACAAACACACGTGTGTCACACGTGCACACACCGCGGCCCATCCGTCAAGCACACACTCGCATCACCGAATTAAATTAAAAGGCGCAACAACGTGACCCCGGGCGAGCTGTAAAATCCCCCGTAGGGCAGGCAGCACAGCAAATCTCTTCCCACGTAAGACAAGAGTGTTCCCACCCACACACCCACACACCCGGAAAAGCAAGAAAGTTTACCTGCTGAATCGTACTTCCCCTCTGGTGCCCCGTCCACGCCGCCCGGAGGAAACGGCGGCCGCTCACTACCGCGCCCCCCCCCACCCCCCCGCCCTCTCCCCCTCCCCCCGTCGGGCCCCCCGAAGTCGAACTCTCCGCCGCCTCTACCCCGCCCGCCTCTCCCGTATACCCGCTCTGGAGGCCCGAAGCCCCCTTCTGGTGGTGAAATGGCCGGCATCATCCGCGGCTGGCCTGGATCCATGCGGTTCAACGGTCCCATCCCTTCCGACCCCGGGCCACCTCTTCCTCTTCCTCTTCCTCTTCCTCCACGTCCTCGTCCTCCTCCCCCCCGGCCTCCGTCAGGAGGGCCGTCCATGGCGCCGTTTGCCCATGGTGGGGGAGGCTGGCCGTCTCTGTCGACGAGAGGGGGTCCCCTGCGACGGTCTCGGTCACGGTCCTGGTGCCGGTCCCGGTCCATCCTGTCGCGCAATCGTGCAATCGTGCAATCGTTCAAGCTGGGGTGGTGCCAAGAGAACAAGTCAGCCTACAAGTTTGGGATAGGGCAACTACTACGATATAACTCCCAATTCTCCCCCAAGTTTACAGACCATGGCCGAAAATCGCTGCTCAGTTCCAAAGGTGTCGAAGATCAAGAAGGAAAGATAAATGGGATGCAAAGGTGCGGCTATGGAAAGATACCCCAACACACAGAGATGATAGATATTCTGGGAGCAGCGAGAACTGCATAGATATCAACGTCGGAGCGTGAGTTGATATACTCGACGAGCCTCTATTCACAAGCACTGGTCGTCTTCTACGTGACGGATCTATATACATTTCCACGAAATTAACAGCGTTCTTGGTGGTCGATACACCTCACAACCACAACCATAATAAACGTTCACATCGCAACAAGTCGTTCGCTCGTTCCTCCTATTGTACGGTGTGCATACAGTCAACACGGAATACTACATGGGACATAAAGCTTCCCCACGTGTTTCCAAATTACAATAACGACAACGGGACAACAAGACGTGTGTACATTAGCGCTGCTCCAGCGTTCCGTTCGGGCATATTTTGGAGGTGTGGTGCGAGGATCGTGCCAAGACAAATCGTCGCCCAAGGTCTAGCTAGATCTTCCGACAGAATCGCACGCACGATACGAGCCGATTCTGAGAGGAGCACTTACTTCTCTAGAGGTTCTGCCGTCTTGTAGATGCTACTCCCAAGCAATGTACCACCCCGCATACCGCTGCCTCGCTCACCTGTCCATCTGACCGGGGGGGAAGTCCATCCGGTAGCCATCCGGGGGGGGCAAGTCCCCTCCTCGGCCTCCCTCCACGTACTCAGCACCTCCTCCTCGTCCACCTCTTCCCTCTGGCCCAAAGCGGCCGCCGCCTCTGCCCCGGCCGCCACCCATCCCCCTGCCTTGCATCCCAGGCTCCGGGCCTCTCATTCCGGGCTCGACGCCCCGTCCTGGCCCCCCGGGGCGCATGCCAGAGGGGCGCCGCAGCATGTCTTCCTCGCCTCTCATCCCTCCCCGACCCCCCGGTGCTGCTACTCCCACATCTGCGAACGGCGGAGGCTCGTCACCCCTGCCGCATGAAAGGGAAACACGCAAAGATAGCATATCAAGATGTAGCATATCATAGTTGAGTGCGACGAAACTAGTTAAGCTCTACAAGTCACCGCAGTGCGGATGATGTCTTTCCCGCTGTGGTTGCGGAGACAAGCCGGTCTGCGAGAAGGACAAGGGGCCAATCTCCAGCAATTGGAGTTGGACATGGGGGTGGGGGTGAGCAGGGACGACAGCTTTGTTCTCCTGTTCATATTCCGACTGTTTGAAGCCTTTCAATCCCACCCTCTACCTTACCTGGACAACGCCACACATGCTGGTTACGAGAGGCCAACGGCAAACGAACAAAAATCGAAACCTAGCAGGAAGACTAATTCCTTTCACCCTCCTCCCCGAATGCTAACGTGCGGTTCGCCCGCATGCGGCGCTCCCCACGGACTACTACCACACACGCACACCTCAAACGCTTAGCGGGTGAGTGTCCTGGTCCATAGGCCCCGGGTCCAGCGGTGAGTGTTCCCGTGCCGGCCCCGGCAAACGAATCCCCAGGTGCTTGGTCGGCCTCCGAAGGCCCGGTTGTTCTGCTGCCACTTCGTCTGCGCTTGTCCCTATACCGACACACAAACACGAAACACATGGCAAAACCACCGGACAGGGAACCATGTGGGCAGACAACGTAACCACCGGGAATACAGCAGAAAGAGTTGGATGCTTGACAATACTGAGAGTGAGGTGGGTAGCAAGGTAATCTCAACATGGCATGGCATGGCATGACATGACATGACAGCGCGCTCACCCACCGGACGACAAGACAACAAAACAGGCCTTGAAAACGAAACGGTCATGCGTCATGACAGAGCTTGACGGTAGTAATCGGATAGTACGTTCCCTCTGCGAGCGCAGACGATACTTGCGCTTGGGCCTAGTCATCTCCCCGCCGCGCACCCCGACAAATACCGGCTGGCGGACGGTAGCAGCCCTCAGCGGTCTCACCTTAGCACTGGCCCCGGCTCATCCCCTCCATTTGCCCCGGCTCCCGCCCTCATCCCATCAAACTTTCGTTCGTCGTCACCGCCTGGGGATCTGCCCCTGCGCCTTTCCCCGTTGAACGTCTCTCGCTGCGGCTGTTGAGGACGAGGCCGCCCCTCCGACGGGTAGGGAACATGAGGATCATTCCAAGGACCTTGCCCCATGCGGCCGCCGCCGTCGTGCTGCATCCCCTCCGCGGGACCGCCGCCGCTCTCGCCGTTGTTGCGTCTGTAGCGTTCCCTCGATCCGCCCCTCGGCCCGCCCCTCTCGCCACCGCCGTCATCTCTTCCGGAGTGCACCCCGGGGCCAGCTCCTGCCCATCCCCGACCGCCGTCGCTCCCGGAATGTGGCGGCGGTGGACCTCGGTCTCCGCGCTGGTCTGCAAACCCTGACCCCGTCCTCGCGGAGCGGGGGTTGCGCTCTCGTCCCATGCCCCGCCCCTGATGTTCCCCCCCGTGCACGCTGCCGCCGCGGTCACCTTCCTGACCCCTGTGGTCTTGATCGTGCCCTTTGTCCCTGCCGTCCCTGGTATAGCCCTTCTCTCCTCGGTGGTCGCGGTCTGCTGGCTCTCGGTTGCGGGTCTCCCTGGTGCCGTAGTAGTCGTTGCTCCCGCGAGGGCGGTATCCCCCCCTGTTTCCTCCGTAGCGGTCGTCGACCCCATGGTGTCGGTAGTCCCTGTCCCGCCGGTAGCTCCCACCTCCTTGCGAGTCCTCGCCGTACTGCTGTTCACCGCCCCTGTCTACCCTAGGCTGCTGCTGCTGCTGCTGCTGCTGCTGCTCATCCTTGCCTTCCCTCGAAGTTTCCTCCTTGTCTTTGTCGGGGTCTTGTCTATCCGAGCGGGACCCTTTCCTATCGCTGACAGGCTCTTTCACGTCCCCTCGAGCTTCCTTCTTATCGTCGTTGGGGTCCCCCCTGCCGCCCTGAGGTTTCACGTTGCCATCGCGTTGGGCCTGTTCCTTGCCGTTTCCGCTGCGAGGCTCATTCTTACCGCTACGAGCTTCCTTTCTGTCTCCGCCGCGATAGTCTCTGTCGCTAACAGGGCCCCTTGAGTCGGCATCGTCCCTGCGTCCCTTATCCCTCGTTTCCTCTCGCTCCCCTCTTCCCCGGCCGACAACCTCCCGATCTCTCCCTCTCGGCAGGTCTCGATCTCGATCACGATCTCGATCACGGTCTCGACCTCTGTTGCCAGAGGGAGGATCGCTTTCCCTGCGATAGCCCCGTCGCCCGTCGCCCCGGTCCCTCTCCTGATCGCGCTGCGGTCGGCCTCGCTCTTGGTCCCTGGACCGATTCCCAAACCGATCCCAGGAACGCTCGCGGGGCGCTCTTGAGTAGCCACGGACGCCGCCACTACCTCGATAAGAGGATCCGTGCCAGCGGCTGTGTTCTCTGCTCCTCGAACGGCTATCCCTTCTCCGCCTGCTGCTGCTCCTCGACCGGCTGTCCCTCCTCCCCCTGCTGCTGCTTCGGCTGCTCCAGCTTCTGCTGCGGCTGCGACTGCTCCAGCTCCGGCTGCTCCAGCTGGGGCTTCGACTATCTCTGTCACTCCGGCCGCGGTCCTTGCTCTTGTTCCCGCTGCAAATAGCAACAGCAGCGGTGTCGTCACGAACACAAAGATCAATCAATCAATCGGCCTTGGGGCTAAGTCACGGCGAGGCGGCATGGTCCAATCACGTATGCCCACAGAACATGATGCGTGGGAAAGCCACGATAGGACATGTACAGTATCAAACAAGAATTTCCAAAAAAAGAGTTGAGCTTGCTCTATTGCACGCGTTGTGGCTGTTGAAGGCCACATGGCCGCTCTCCCATCCCAGAGCACCCTCGAAGGGAAGTAATCGAGCCGAAATATGACACACGAGATGCTTCAGCATTGGCAACGCCACAGGCCTGCAGAACGAATCAAACAAGTTCGCAAACACACGCAGACAACTCTCGCAAACGAGCCGGCGTTCGCGCACCTCGACGTGGTGGTTCCTTCCTTCTTCTTGGTAGCGCTTGCCGCAGCGACCTTCTTAACCGCACCCTTGGTCTTGCTGCCCGTTTTGCTAGCTACGGTTTTGCCCTTGGTGGTCTTATCGCTCCCTGGCGTCGCTCCCGTCGCTGCCCCGTCTGCCGATGCCTCCCCATGCTTGCCGCTCTTCTTGGACTTCTGCTCACCGAATGATGAGACAGTATTCCCGGGAGCAGAGAGACTTCAGGGTTGGTGGATGAGGCAATTAGATGAGGGGCCTCGGTTATGGGGTCAGGCGTACAGTGGCAGCGCACGGTTTCTGGCGTGGCAAACGCTTCGTGCCGCGTTAAATGGCGCAGTTGTGAGATCAGCAGGCAAGCGAGCTCTTTACGGGCCCGTGTTTGCAAGTCTGCTCAGATCCGCCAGCCAGTACGTTGCGACCATGTTCGGTCATGCCCAGCGAGGGCAATAGCGACAGCAGCAACAGCCGGCAGGGCACGGCTATTGCGAAGACAGTCAGTAGCGCGGCGCAAGTACAACCTGAACCAATTACGGGGAACTATCCTGATAACGCACACAGCAGTAGACCCTCACGCCCTCGACGGTTTCTCTCGATGGTAGGTGTGATCTGGACTTGGGAAGGTGTGTTATGTTGTGTGAAGTTTTCTCGCTTCGACAACGTCGCCCTGTTTCATTCACCTTTCCCTGTGAAGGTTGGAGCCAGTATAGCTGGCAAGTGCGGTGGTCAACCGATCACAACTGGCGTGTAAGATCGGAAGAAGGCGCGAGAGACAAAGCCGCCACCATCATGGCATTCCGCAAGACACGTCCAACGAGGTGGCGACCGCCGCGAACACGACCCACTTTACCTTGCTCTTCTTCCGCTCTCCGTTCTCGGTCGTCTTCTTCTTCTTACCGCTGGTACCCTTGCCGTCTTTGCCTGGCTTGCCCGCCGCAGGTCCCCCAGATCTGCCGGAGGCCACGCCAACATACACGAGACGAAACCAAGTCCGCCGGGTTGAAGCATGTCATGAAAGCCACGAAAGCATACCCAGTCTACCACTACATTCTGTCTACCACTACATTCTTCGGAGGCAAGCGTGTGCTCCGGTGATCGTGTCAACTCTTTCTGTATCCAGGGTCGTGTTGGACTTATGTAGTCCTCTCGATCAGGAGCGGCGAGTTCTCCACACTTGGGGACAGCGTATCCAGGTTCCCGGGGTCGACATGTCGACATGTTACTTGGGTTGCTGGAAAGACGTACCATACGTAAGCATACTGAAGAGCGGCGCATCACAACCTAATCATGCTGTGCCAACGCGACATGGACACTCTGCTCTGAGGAAACGGTTGCTCCCGAGGAGGGGGTAGATGGCTGCTTGCAGTGGTGTGGGAGCAAGAGTCACCGCGAAGCAGGCCGTCAGCCGGCAACCGTACGTAGTGTAGGCAGAGGCGACAGCAATAGGTGTGCTTGTTCGAAAAAGCGCGCCCTGTCTTCAGATGCTGTTTGCTGTGTCGCAGACAAAAATGTCTACTGGATATTTTCTAAACACCACCCACTTACTGTTACCCACATCAGCGCAAGCAAAATGCCCCCGTACACCCACGAAGCGTCAGAGCCGACCTACAACAAACTGCTACACCATCATCATCCCCACCTCGGTGCTGCCTTCTTGTCTGCCTCACTCGGAGGCTTCCCCCCGATCTTTGCCGCTGTTAATCCAGCAAGGTCGGAAACGCCGTTGCTTGCATCAGCGCCACCGCCGCTGCCACTACCGACAATGTCGGCAGACATATTGAAATCACCGTTAGGGTTACCGCTGGCGCTGCTTGGGTTGATTGCGCCGTCCTTCTGGATGTACAGAGCTCGCTCCCCTTGCTGTTGGGGAGGCTCCATAGGTATTTGAGGTCCACGAACTCTCTTCCTCTCCTGTGCGCTGACGCTAATACCACCTTCTATTACCACGCTAACCGACGCAACGGCAGTGAGATACTACACGCCGACCTGCGCCCTCCCTCTCTCTCCCTATCTCTGCGTGTTATCCACACCCTCAGATGCTGTGTCGATCGACCAGAGGGCACAGACCAGAGGGAGGGAAGACCGGGGGGCAACGTAGCCGGGATACATACACGAATGGGGGTACCGCGTGCTGATCCACGGAGCCGCTCGCGACGTATCCTCGTGATCCTGTGCACCACTGCAGGCTGAGACTGTGCTATGTGCTGTGCAGCATGCACGGCAGAGGTGCCCAAGTCATGAACCGCGTGCGTGCTATCATCTTTTCCCGAGGTGCTGCTAGGGCTACTCCTTGTGCCGGTTGGCCAACTGTCTCTAATCGGTATGTGAAGATGAGAAGGACGAATAAATCTTTGATGCTGCTCTTATTGATTGAAGGGACTGCTGCAATGCGCGATGTCGCTTGTAGCATATGCATGTAATGAGGGCATCCTTTCACACCCTGTACAACTTTACTAAAACTAACTAAGTTATTTGTTTGCCAGACAACTACCGGCTAGTTGTTCGTAAACACAAATAGTTGCGCGCACTCCTGGAAGAGTAGTCACTACAGGCAACTAGGTGCGCACGCTCCTGGAAGAGTAGTCAACTACAGGCAACAAGGTGCGCACGCTCCTGAAAGAGTAGTCATCTACAGGCAACTAGGTTCACACATTCCTAGACCGGTCGCCCCGGTGGTCTAGTGGGTTAGGGTTAGTCATGAGTTCGAGTCCCGGCAAAGTGAGATTTTGTCTCACTAAAGAAATCCTGGTCTAAGTTGGAAGCGACGCGCTGCGAAGCTCGTTGTTCGTACACACTTCAAAGGTCGGGAGGGAATGGATTGCTGTACCTTCTCGCGATACAAATATCTCAGGCAGGAACCGCACGAGGGGGTCCAACCCCCCCCTCCCATGTGACCCCGGTCGTCTAGCTAGTAGAAGTGGAGAATAGGGGCCAGAGGGGCAGACGACAGAATCCAATGATGGGAGAAAAAAAAAAAAAAAACTCCTGGAAGCGTAGTCATCTACAGGCAACTAGGTGCGCACGCTCCCGGAAAAGTAGTCATCTACAGGCAACTAGGTGCGCACACTCCTGGAAGAGTAGTCATCTACAGGCAACTAGGTGCGCACGATTCTGAACCAGTAGGTGTCTGCAGGCAACTAGGTGTGCACCCTCCTGGAAGAGTAGTTGTCTGCAGGCAACTAGGTGCGCACGCTCCTGGAAGAGTAGTTGTCTGCAGGCAACTAGGTGCGCACCCTCCTGGAAGAGTAGGTGTCTGCAGGCAACTAGGTGCGCACAAATCTGACCCAGTAGGTGTCTGCAGGCAACTAGGTGCGCACCCTCCTGGAAGAATAGTTGTCTGCAGGCAACTAGGTTCGCACAAATCTGAACCAGTAGGTGTCTGCAGGCAACTAGGTGCGCACCTTCCTGGAAGAGTAGTTGTCTGGCAAACAACTACCAACTAAAGTAGTTGTACAGGGTGTGCATCCTTTGCACTGTAGGTAGGGATTAGTGAAGCAAGAAATTGTTGCCACTCATGGTCCTGTTGTTACATTTCCGTTGTACTGCTGTGACTCGTAGTTACAGATATTAATACTTACAACAAGGCCTCTCGGAAGCGATCCGCCGGAGACTCTCAGACTCCACCCACAGGGTTAGTCTACTGCTTCGCGTTGCTTGAACCAATGCGGTGTTTGCGAAGCAAAAAGTAGGCTTCTGGAAATAAACACTAAATGGAAATGTGAACTAAACCCGATGTCGCTTTTGAATACTGTTGTGTATGGAAGCTCTCTACTCTGGCTGAGCAGAGAGTCCGGGAGTGTGGTGGCTATGTCCTGCCACCGGAGGTTGGGTATTTCCTTTGGTGCAATGTAGCGAGGAATGCGAGGAATGCCAAGCGTGACCGAGCGACTCAGTCAAGCTAGGGTGGCGAGGAGAGTGGGCGAGCCTTCGTGGACCCTTATCCCATTCTCCTAAAGATTCATCAACTCTTCGCAGCCGTTGGGAATCGTAAGAGTCATAGACCCTCGAAGAACGGTAATCTATTATCACATATCCTCTCAGATCCTACTCTTCATGTACGTGTATCTGTGCTCCCTGAATCTCCATATCCTGACCTCCACATGTGTGTTATTTACGTATTTACGCAGCGACTTTCCCATCCCCGGGAACGCCTGTCATGCGTCCCCGCTCTTGGCTGATCTCATTGATTACCAGCGAGTGTCATCAATTTCTTCACGCCCTATATCCTGTTCTATACCAACGAGTGAGCGCTCCACATGAACACCGTTCGTGCTTTGGTCTAAGCCATACGCTAACATGAGCCACCACATTCAAGCATCTACCCCACTTATGGAAGTGCCCTTTATATATAAAGGTCCCATCTCCCCAACGTTGGTTGAGGACCATTACCTCTTTTACGTTGACGTCCGAGTGATGTTACATTTTGGTAGGAAGATCGTCAGGGTTCAAATCCCACCGCCCACCAAAGAATGGTGGAATCACCAAAAAAAGATGGAGGACCGCGGAGACATTCGAACATTCGATTTCGTGGAACTTCTGGTAACGTGGAGGACGTACTGTAGCGCTCCCGTCATTGCACGCACATTGGATCGTTAAGAAGGGAATCGACTCACCGCCAGCCGCTCTGCTTCCTGCTAACCCTAGAAACTTTCGCTTGCCTACATAGCAACCGAGTGGAGGTGATCTTTAGAAGGGTCCAAATCTCCCCGACATCCTTCGAGGACGATCCCCTCTTTTCTCTTTTTCACACACAGTTCTTGTCTATTTTCTCTGCTATCACCGAGGCGTTCTCATCCTACACACGTACAGCAGTAGATATTTTGTGCACACAATCGCCTTGTCCCTCAAATACCGATGCAATCCCCCCCCACGCTCCCCGCTGCCCGGTCCGATCCCGAAGCAGTTCACCCCGCCGTAGCCACCGGCTAGCTTGTGAGTCGATGGCCCACGTTTTGCACCAATCAGCAGAAGAGCCTGGAATGAAATCAAGTGTTGGCCAACATAGCTATTTACCAGTCCTGACTCCAACAACGACAATACCCTCATCAACAGTATTGTTGGAGACATGTCTCCAAATAATGGTCGTACAAGTTAGTCTGCCGTGGTCAACCAACACCCACTCTCAAAGGCGATCTCCTTGAAACGAACACCAGGATGTCGACGACCACCAACAGCAACGCCTTCGTTGATGCGGCGAGAAGCACAGCGGCGAGCGGTTCTGTGGTGTACGAGGGGGAGCGGGCGGTCCACGAATACCTGCAATTTCACTTTGGAAGGTGAGGCGGCAAGCTGAGGCCCACTGGCCCATGGCAAGGTTAAACGTTGTGCCTAGCTGACAGTATGCCGCACGTCGGTACAGCTGCAAGTGGCGTTATTGTAGGACCCCCCTGTAACACAGCAAGATGCTACATATGTAGACTAGTACTTGACAATTGCTGAGGTGAAACCTTGCGATAGTTGAGAGTATTTTTCAACCCCCCTCCCCCCCCCCCGGCTGTGCACCCCTCCTTTCGTTCGGTTTCCTGATGTCGTTTGTTCGCTCAAGCACCGATGAAGTCCTTCCTCATGACTGCGGGCCGGCCGACGCGTTGGGTTTTCCGAAGCGATGCGCAAGCCTTTGTGCCGAGGCGCTCGTGACTACGGAGACATCGCCACCACTGCCTCTGTCGTCGTCGCCGGAGAGAGAGAAAGACCAGCTAACTGGCGAGGGAGGCGAAGGGCAAACGTATAAGGCCGGAAGGTCAAACAGGCGCCCCCTCCGCGCGCTAGATGTCGGGTGTGCCGTGGGAGGGATCACGTTCGAGCTGACACGGGCATTTGACGAGGTAGGGGACGGACGGTGAGCGGGTTAGAGTAGAGTAGGTTCGAGAAGGCGGGTGGCTAAGCGGCTGCAACGGGTTTCGTTGCCGTTATTGGACTGCCATTGTGCTGAAAAACATGGAACGGATGTCACATGTGTTGCATGATACTCTGTTTTTTCAACCGGAGCGTCGTTTTGCTGCTGCCGCTGCCGCTGCTGGTTTTGGTTCTTGGTGTGCCCATGCGCATAAACCAATGCTTGTCCACGAGCCCAAGCGGGAATGTTTCTTTTCCGCCCAACTTCCGTTCGTGGAGGTGTTGTGCGTGGCTCTCCACGTGCCTGCCTCGTGAGCTGCTCCTTTCCTTCGGGAGGCACGACTGGACACGATGCAAAAGCCATCCATTACCACCATCTTCGTCGTGTTGATGCAGCATTCATTCGTGCGATCACTTGTTGTTCCCAAAAAAAAAACTTTGTACGATCACCCCGTGGGATTATAGTTGGACGCCCCCTCTGTCCCTGCCCTTATTATTTTCCGACGTCACAGGTCGTGGGCGTGGATTTTTCGGCCAGTTTCGTAGAGGCCGCCGAACGGATGAGAGTGGAGGGAAGGTAAACAATAACTAGAGTAAACGGAGCATTCTGTTTCACCGAAATGGTAGGTGTTTCGAGCATGATTCCCTATTTACTCGTAGACTCCGGTGGTCTAGTGGTATCCTGAAACCGCTAGTCGCAAACGTTGTGAATTCGAATCCCCATGGGGTGAAAAATTTACAAAACTTGCGGGTGAAACAAGGTGAAAGCGAAAAATAGCTGAAAAGCTCTCGTGAGTACCAAACTTCGACGTTAGCGCCGTTGACGAGGGAGAGAGACGGCTGGACCCTTCTCGCGATAAAAGTACAGATCAGCACGCACCGCAGGAGAAAGGTGGGGCACGAGAATAAAAATAAAGAAGAAAAAAGCTTTGGTGTTTACCCCCCTTCTGCGTGACCCTGGATGGTTGTAGTTGTACGAAAAAATACACTGAAAAGTGTAGTACTCTACATACACTGAAGAGTGTAGTACACGTCTCACCATGAAAAATGGAGGGACTGTCGCCATAATAAACAGTATTGTGCTGGCAACTGGCACTGTCGCCAAGTTCTCCCCCCCCCGCCCCCGGCCCACGCCGTGCGCATCAACAACCAACGAATGATCCTCGTTCAGAACACAGTACGAGTACTTGGAGCAAGGGTCGGCGGTCTTTCGAAGGGAGGCATTTCTGCCGGAGGGAACGGTTCCTTCACGAGCCAGGTTTTCCCAGGGAGACGCTTGTTCGCTGGACGTGAAAGCACTGGGGTCTTTCGACGCCGTGCTCGCTAGTAACCTGCTCTGCCGGTGCGTCATCCATGGATTTATTTCCATGTAATTGTGGTTCCTGGCGGCTTTTCGTTGGTGGTGGTTGTGATTTTTTTCGGGGGCAGAAGTGCCATGGGTTGATTAGGTATCCCGGCTACCCAAACGTTTCACGTTTGGCGGACATGGCTACACTTGGCAGGGGGGGCATACAGTAGACTTCGTGCGTTATTCTCATTCCAGGAAACACAGATACGTTGTCCCTTTGATTTGTACGTGATTCCTCCCGATGCTGCCTTACCTAATCCTGATGTTGGGTGCACTGGTACAATGCCTCAGGTTGCCGAAGCCTCGATCATTTCTGGAAGACCTTCCCGCCCTGGTCAAGCCAGGGGGGGTGGCAGTTTTGATATCACCCTACTCGTGGCTCAAGGAGTACACGCCCACGTCGGTAAGATGGGACAAACGCCGGTGATACTCGCGGACCGTTTGTGCCCCCAACGAACGCGTTGTTTGTCCCAAACCCGCAGAACCTAGATGTGGGGTAGATGGAACATTACCGTTGTGAGCAAATCGCCCGGGGCGGGGTGGTGGTGGGGGCGTACTCATTCGCATTGTCCGTCCGTTTGGCTTGTCTCCACCTACCCGTCGGAGCGAATCGACTAGATAGAGCTTGAGTCGGCGTGGCCCCTTCTCGCTGTGCACACGGGGGCAGACTCGGTGGTTCCCAAGCAATTGTCATGCAGCCAAGGGTGGTGATTTGTTCACAGGTTCACAGGCCAGAAAAGTGTTTTATCACGATGTTCGTCCAGGGCCACGTATGTATCTATAATAGCGCAATGACGATTCTGGCATGACTTTGTCCAGGAGTGGTTGGGGGGATTTCGAGAAGGAGGGGACGCGGACAAGCAGGACGGGGAGTACGTCGACAGCTTCGACCGGGTGAGCTATTGAGTCTAACAAAATCAATTGATACGAGTTAACTGTGTGGGTGCTAATGGTGGTCCTCTCGGATCAGGCCTGCCCAGGTCGGTGCCTTTTTGTTTTAAGGTCCTGGTGTGTCTATCTTATCCTTGTCTTGCAGTCAAAGGCTCCACAACGTCAACGCAGTAGCCTATCACGGTCTTGCATCGAACACCCAAGCAAGTTGCTCGATCAAGATTCAGATCCGTGACAACACCAAGCAAACCACCATCGTTCTCTGAAGCGACTCTCCCCTCTCCTCTCTCTCCTCCCCCCTCCCCCTCTTTCCCTACCCTCCCAGATTCGGTCGATAATGGAAGCCGACGATGCCTTCGAGCTTGAACGGCGCTGTTCTATGCCCTTCCTTATCCGCGAACACGCGCGAAAATTTCAATGGGGCTGTTCGGATGGGACGGTATGGCGACGGAAGTCGTAGATGGAACGTTTGGTGGTAATGTGTTGTGCGCTTGACGCGATGCCGGTGCGAGATACCAACTACGACATTGTACACTCAGGAACAAGCCGCTGTGCGGGGAGTTCGAACCACGCGAGAAGCGTCCTTTTGTGTTTCGGAAAGTCCCACACGAAACGGGAAAAGCACCGGTAGAGGGAAAAGCTGGCTCTAACTTGATCGTCGGGCGAAGCAGCTGGGACAGGCGTGTTTCACCTCATGCTTCACCGTGCACCCTGTTTCAAGGATCTCAACGAGAGCTGGGCGACGAGATTTTGCACCCTGTTGCTTTGGTGGATGAGTCGGCACCGGGATCTCTTGGCACAGACAGAATCGGTATGCGCAAGCACACCCCGTACACAGGCACGATGTAAGGTGCATTCCCTCGGCTTAAAAATGAAGCAATGTCTCGATTTAGCCGGCTACCACTCTATTCGTTCCCCTGCTTTTGCCGCTGCAGCTGTGCCCGCACCCCGTGAAACGAGATAAATCCGAATCCCCATGCATTATATGTGCATACATATGCTTAAACAACAACGACATGCGTGGTGACTTCTTAAATACGGTAAAAACAACTGACTGATTATACGGACAAATTGCTGACGAGGGCAAGTCTGTTGCAATGAATGCACACTATAAATATCAACACAGTTTTTCGTAATATTCTGAGTAATCCCTTCCGATAGCCTGCGAACAAAAGGCGTCATTCGCAGGTGAGTGATCAAGCCTCGATGAAGTCTTCCAAATCAACGAAAGCGTCGTCCCGGTTACCTCCTTCCTCACCCCCCTCCTCCAACCACCCATCGATCACCACGTTGCGGCTCCTAACCCGCGCGCGCCTAGATCTCCTTCTCTTTCCCGATGCTCCGGTGAACCGGTGTCTAACACTGTTGCTCCGGCCCCCTGCCTCCTCCTCGTCTCCCTCCTCGTGTTCCGCCCCCGGCCCTAGCCCCTGCTGCCGTTCTCGGCGCGCTTGGCCTCTTTTGCCGCCATGCGTCGGACGTGCAGCCCTGCTCTTTTCCTTTGCAGCAGAGTCGCGCCGCCACGCCGCAACGGTGTCGGCACCGGCCAGCAGTAGCCGCAGGGCGCTCTCCAGGTTCTCGTCGCAACTAATGGTCGTGCTTCCTCCCGGCTCAAGCTTCTTCGCTTTCGCCGGGTCGCCGCCGCCACCGTCCTTGTCACAACCACCACGTGCGCGTTTTCTTGTTGCGCCCCTGACGCCGCCACTTCGGGTCTCAGCTTTAACCGCACTGTTCTTCTCACCGTCTTGGAAGTGCTCTAGGAATTGGCGAGTCTTGTGCGCCGCCGTCCCGATCTCTAGCTCGCAGCGTTCGATTTTGAAGAGCATTGTTGAGGCCTGCATCGGCATGGACCAAGAGATACGCCAGGCTAGCGTTGAGCTGCTGTGCCGTGCACGAGAGCAGGAAGGGAAGCAATTCGTCGTCTTCGTACAAAACGCTGCGAGTGCGTCGCAACGGCTCCCAAGCACCTTGGTTATTCACTCACTGGGAGGAGCGTGCGTTTGGATTTCATTCAACGAGGAGGGCATATGATTTTACGTCTACCCAGCTAACCATATCCCGTCCCGCCCCCTTCTTCCCCCCGCGAGGCAGAAAGGGAGTGAAACTCACTTTGTTGGGGAAATATGCAATACAAACAAGAGAGAGCGGCAGATCACTTTGAACTGACACATGGTTAGGTGGGAATGTTGCACGATCGTCAAAAAACAGATCGCCACATGAGACCATGATGGCCACGCGTTAGAATGGAAAGAGCATGACACAGGCCATCAATATATGTAAAACTTGGCAGAAACCTCAACGCATTCGAGTGTTGCTGCGTTTCTCGTAGGAGAGAAGCACCCCCCCTTGTCCAACGAACTTGATGCGTTAGCAATAGATGAGGCGCACCCCCCCCCCCTAGCCACGACCTTTCATAAAGAAACCTCACCCTCTTCCGGCACGGGTCATCGCCCCCCCTTCGACTCTTCAATCGTAGCGCCTCAGCCCATGTCCTCGCCGCCAGCATCAACCGCAAGCAATCCCCCGACGCGAGCGCCACCGCCGGCAAGACGGGCGCGAGCACAGCATCAAGCGCCCCCTCCGGTGCCTTCGTCATCCCGCTTTCCTGCCCGAGCCTAGACAATTCTGAGTGAGCGGCGGCCGCAGCATCCGACCCAGCTCTCCCGTTCCCCTGTGACGCCCCCTTGCCCTGACGACCTGAGCTAGAGGACACCGATCTTGACTGCGGAGGACGCCTGCCCGACCCGGAGTCCCCGTCCTTGGCCGCCCTCGAACCACCGCTGCGCTCGGTAGAGTTGGTTCCGCCGCATTTGGCGGGCGTTCTGCACGGCGCACCCCCCGCTTGATCGCCTGGTTTCCCGTTTTCTACTGTTGCCGCATGTTGCTGGCGGCGTCGCTTGGGCAGCGGCGAGGAAGGGGGCGGTGAAAGCGGTGGAGGTGCTGGTGGTGCCGCACGTACGGCCACAACGGTTGCAGTAGCCGTGGAAGAAGGTTTCGCCAGAGTCGCCGAAGCGGACGCAAGTGCGCCCTTGCCTACCAGGAACACTCGCTCGAGCACACGCATCAGCAAGAGCTTGACGGTATCCGGGAACACACCGAGAGCGGCTAGGGGCGAGACATAGCCAGTGACATCGCCGCTTGTCTCACGGTCGCCCTTCTTGCCCTCGCGAGTTCCCTCGGCAGGAGCTGGCACCGACGCTGAGGGCGAGCCAGGAGGACCGTTGCTGTCGGCCCCCTTCCCTCTCTGTTTTGCTGCCTGCCGCTTTGTCGTACACGCGGCCATCCTCACCCTCGTCGAAGTTGATCCCGGCGTGAAGAACTCTCGCAGGCAGAAGGCAACCGTCGCCAAAACGTCGGCCAAGTTGCCGGTGCTGCTAGCCCCGCCGCCGCCACCAACATCTACCCCACCGACCGAGGACAGCGAGGTCTCGCATTCCACCAACGCCGTGCGCATTGCGGCGAAGCACTCCCGAGAGGAGGCGAACTTAACCTTTTCCGGGCACAAGCTGTACCGGCTTTGCCGCCCATCGCGGGCGCGCAAGTCGCTAAGCCCTTTCCCCTTGCCAGAAGCATGCTCCGCGTCCGGCAGGTCCCTATCCCGGTCCCCGCCACCGTCTCCGACGCCTTCTTCCTCGCTTGACTCGCTCCCGTCCTCCTCGGACAGCAGTATCGCCGTTCGACCGCGCTTGTTTCCGTGGCGTGCGCGGATCCAGCGCACGCAGTGAACCAACAAGCGAGTGCTCCGCTCCAAAGAAGGCGGAGACACTGCAACCGCTCGCAACCCCTCCACCCTGTTTGCTCCGTTGCAGCCTGCCCCGCCACCGCCTTGACCGCCATCGGGGTGGTTCGCTACACATGAGATCTCCCGATCCCGCGCCCGTAGCTCTGCTAGCGAAGCCGCGGCGGTTCTCCTGGGCGGCTGGGGGTGGTGACTGATGCCGATGCCGTCCAATCGGACGGCGCCGCGGACCAACCTGTTGAAGAGCTTGGACTGGCTGACGGTGTGGCATGTGACGATGGAAAGTAAGACGCCTCCCGCATCTTCCTTGTTCCCGTCACCGGTGTTCATGGCGTCATCGGCCTGGCCCCAACATGCACCAGCAGAGCCCTGCTCCGAACTCCTGTCAGCGGCGCTTGTCTCGGCAGGACCGGCGGCGGCGTTCGGTTTGGGTGTTCGCCGAGCGCAAGACCGGTGCTCCAATGCAGCACTGCCCAGGAGCTCTATGAGATCCAGGTAGGCGTGCGAGAGCTTCACAGACAGCCCGGTTTCCAAGCCTTCTCGCATCTCCGCTGCTGCGAGTCGGCACAAGCCCCCGAGCCCATTCCATTTGTCTCCCCCCTCACCACCCTCGCGCACTCCTTTAGCCCCTACCAGCCCTCTTCGTCCTCCCACTCCCATATTGCTGGCCCGGCCCAACTTCCCTCCAAACTCTTGCTCCGTTGCCGCGGCATCGCTACCGTTTCGACCGCCAGCCAGTGTCGCGCTCTTTCGAAGGGTAGCCCTCACGACCCTCCCGTTAGAACTCGCCGCACCTCGTGCAGGACCAGAGCCTGACTCCGGTGGCTCCTCTCTCCTGGAAAACGCGCGTGGCCGGTCGGGCGCACATTTAGTAGCAGCACTTGAAGCCGCTGAAGTGCCGGGGGGTGGTGATCGCCATTCCTCCACGTTCTCTGCAAGCTGGCGAGGGCATGCCGAGGCAAGCGCAGCTCGCATCGTCCAGCCCCGTTGGGCTAGGCTGGCGTTCGGGCCTACTAGTAGGATGGACAGCACCAAACGCTCGGAGCGTAGCAACTCGGCTTGCAGGGCGAAGAAGAGGTCTTCCGCCTCCGCCTTTACGCCTCCGGCGACAGCGTGCCCACCGCAGCCGCCGTCACCGCCGCCTCGACGGTGGCTCCTACGCTCGAGCCTTCGGGAAGTTCGGCGGGGGGGTGCGACGCTCGGCAGGCCCCAGGGCAAAGCCGTTTTCCACCTCATACTCATCTTCGTCAGGAAACCCGTTATCATCTTGCCCGGCGGGGGGCGGCGTGATGTTTGGTGCATGATGGGCGAGTCGGTTTCATGCGTGCCTCTTGCGGTGCCGTGTCCTACCGACGGAGATGCCGCGCCGGCCGAACGCTCGTCGGAGGAAACGGTCGTCTTGGAGGCCTCAGCCGACGGGTCTACAACACTGACTGCTGCCGACGGCGTGCCCACCACTGTTCGAAGCTGGAATACGGCTAGAGCTATTGCCTCAGCACACGGGTCACTGTTCTGGGTCGCCGCCCCTCCAACTGAGACTCCCCCGGCCCCATCTCGACTGCAATTACCCCTAGTTGTTTTCAACGCCCGCGATAATGTCTGCACCGAGTGAACAAGCCCGAGCCACACGCCAATGCCACCATCCCATCCTTCCGCCACGAGCGCCGCCGGGCTCTTGCCCTTCTCTTTCTCGGCCCAGCCCAAAAACTCCCTGACAAAGACAAGGGCGGACGTCGCAGACAGCAGAGAGCTCTGTCCCGATGCGTCTTCCCCTCCTCCCCCTCCCCTCCGCCTGCTGGTAGCACCACCTCTTTCCCCCATCGCGCCGCCGCTATCGCTATCGTCACCTTCTTCCACCCCCACCACCGTCGCGTTCAGCTCGGAGCCTCGCGATAAACCTAGGGTCTCAGCCGGAAGGGAGGAAATTATCTCCGAAAGGCCCTCAGGGGCCCGTGTCTGCGGCTGCTTCGATAGTCCCCCCAACGGCGCTGCGATGCCGTCTGCCACACGCGTGGCCGCTGCAAGCAGAGTAAAAACATCTGCGATAGCCCACAGAACCAGAGGTGCTTCGGGCTTCCCTGATGTCGGACCGCCGTCACCGCCGTCGCCAACGTGGTGGCCGTCGGCAGGTTCGACTCGGGACACTTCGCAGCGGGAAGCTTTTCGCGAGAAATGAATCGCCCGTGGACACGAGATTCCTAGATGGTTGGCAAATGCGCAGGGGGGAGGGCGATGGCGGGCGGCAGCAGCGACACTTAAAAAAACACAACAAAAGTTTAGAAGCGCGTGGTAGGTGCGTGGTTTCAGCTCGAGGAGCACATCAGTACTAGCACCACGACAAACAAGGAGCGAGGTTCGGCTGCATGTAAGTGCTGCACAATTTGTCAACAGCGACGTAAACGACCACGCCTACCTATCAGTCCTTAGGCACGTGTGTTCGCTAGCGCAGAAGCGCAACCCTTACTATGTACACAGTCTGTATTCGGTTGTTACCCCTGCGGTAACAAGGCAGAGACGCGGCGACATTTACCGGTGAGGAGGCAGTCCGCCAGTGCTTCCGCAAGAGTCACCACAACGCCTAGAGTTGTCAGGGGGCTCACCACACCCGGGTGGCACGCGGGAGGAGCGGGAGCTGGTGGCTCTATGACGTCGTCGTCGGCTTCTTGTTGGTCGGGCGTTTGTTGGTTGGACGGGGTCACCATTCGGAGCGTCTAGGCGCGAGAAGGACGCGGGGCATGGGGATGTGACTCACAGGTCAGAGAGAGCCGTACATGGTAGACTAGAATAAAACATTAACATATTTTCTTTAGTGCGTAGATCGCACAGCGACACCAACCGAGCCAGGCCTGCCTGTCTAAGAACCTCCCCTACAACCTTACGTGAAAGAGCGCCACCAAACACGCGCACGACGATTCCCCGAACCGTTCAGGCTCACCCCTCGAACGCGCTCACCTCCATAGTCCCTCCTCCCTGCAAGAATTCCACCACAGCCACCAACGCCTCCCCCTCTCGAGTGTCGACACTGACCCGCCCGACGGAAGGCCTGCCTCCTCGCTCTCGCCCCCCTCCTTCGCTCCTTCTTCTACTCCCTGCCCCCAACAACATTCTTGCTATTGCCTCCGCCTCTGCCCTCTTCTCCGGGACAGGCATGATCGTCCCGTGAGCGCCGTCGTCCGGCACGTCTGTCCCCGTCGGCCCGCCAGCTGGAACTAGCGCCCAGCAGCACTTGAGTAACTGGCCGATTGCGTCTCGCGGGACCACCCCTCGCCCGCGACCGTTTCGCACGATACCAGGCCCCTTGCCTCTGCTACTCTTGCCCCCGAAGCTGTGACCTCCACCGGATGCTCCGCGTTCTTCCAGCAGTCGCAGGGGGACCAGCTGAAAGCGCCCGCCCCGCCGCCGGCGCGCTTTGTGCTTTCCTTTTCTTCGGCTAAGGCTATCAGCGTCGTAGCCGCCCGAAGGAGCAGGCCCGCCTGAGTTGTCGCCCCCACCGTCGGCGTTCGAGTCGGCACTCAGCACTTCGTCTTTGTGAGCGAAGAATCGAAAAAGACGCATCGACAGAAACGCCCGGAGACCGTTCAGGGCAGTCCGGTCGATGGCTGGTGGCGGGTCCACATGAATTGTCGCACGCGCGTGAGACTGTTGCGGCATCTGACAAGGCATCGCTGATAGTAGCTGCGCCCTGTTGTATTGTGTCCCTTGTGTGATCGCGCCCGCAACTGATGTTGCGAGCTTTGTGGCGAGAAGATGGAGGGCGTCGGCCCGAGCGACCTGTGGACCGATTGTGGGGAAGTCGGTAGGTGTGCAGAGCTTGTTCAGAGCAAATAAATTTGAGACATTGTGTTCTGGTCGCCGCCGGTGGGTTCTTCTTTATCGAAACGCGCAGTCCATTCTATTTCTGCACTTCAGCGTCCACATACTTCTCAACAGCTCTTGCTGCATTCCAACATGATCTCAAATTGCAAGCACGGTTTGTGCGACGAACGTGACCCAAATAACTGTCACTGCAGTGGGCTGACTCAACACTCCTCTGTATGGCTACCTCTGGTCTCATCTGCACCCTACGACAGCGACCTCAACCCTCTTCTCACAGTTTGCAAGCCGCCCTCGAAGGCCCTGCGAAACATCCCCACCAGATCTTCTTGCATGCCTTCCTGGTCCAGACATCCGCCATTCCGGCCGGTGTGCCCCCGGCGGGCATTCCAGGCAAGAATGCAGGTCACGGCGTGAAGCGTCAGCAGACGTCCCTGAGAGGCGGGGAGGGGCCGCGGGAGGGCAGGAGGCGGTTACAATATGCACACCAAGACGGCCCACGACTCTTCTTGCTCTGACGCTTCGGCCCGAGATCAATCGTAGACGTGAGCGGCTCAGTTCAGGGGAGCCTGAGTATGCAACCTTGCCACAGGAATCGATGCACATATCCATCCGACAAGCCCATTGCCGGACTTAGAAGTACGTACTGATGTGTCCCATGTGTCTCATGTGGTCGGCTCAAGGGTATCCCATGTGACACTCGTGTGCCACTTTCCCTATCGGGCTGGGAGTCAACGATCACCTTGCTTTCCCCCTGCACGGAGCACTTCCGGCACAGGCTTATCATTGCCGAGGCTTGAGTGGGGCACACGTCCGCGAGCGGGAGCATCGACTCCACAACCCTTCGCGCCCTCCCTCGCGGCAGCAGAGTCAGTTGCCCAAGCGCGTCGGACACGCACTGAGAGTGCGGCACCAGCCTTCGACACTGAATGTAACGACACCCAACAATGACACAGGGAAAAGGAACAGGGTGGCCCGCAGAAAAAGAGGAGTCGAGGGCGGCAGGGGAGGTAGGGTGCTGGTCAGGAATTGAGTACGCTTGACTTAAACGTCGCTGGTCATCACTCAGCTGTCGAGAGTCACCTCGTCGCATGGAAGGCATGCAAAACACATGCAACAGTGCGCGGTAGCTGCTACTCGTGTGATTCGTAACCGGGAAATCTGGACGTGAATAGTCCGCCTGTCATGCAAAGACAACAAGTCGATTCCGATACAGCAAATTAATGATGATCAACCGCCCGGTCAACCAACTGCTCACCTCCCGCCCCGTCTCCTGCGCCATCAACGCTTCCCATGCCCTCATATAGTTCCACGCGCACGCCGCCCCACCCTGGCTCTGGTCGTAAATCCCGCTCAACAGAGCCCTGAGAAGCCTCGGTCTGGCCTCCACTACGGCGTCGAACACTGCCGAGATTGTCTCAGAGGCAATATCTTGGATGTTGAGCTCCGTCCCAACGCCTTCTGTATCGAAGGCGACGCTGCCATCGCCCCCAGAACCTCCATCTCCTTCCTCTAACCATCGCAGAGCCAGCTCCAGCAACTGTGACGCGCGCTCGGACACTACTCCGCTGCTCTCGCCCCCGTTTCTGAACACCCCGCCGGAAGAACCACTGCCGGCCCCTCGCCCACGGTGCTCGCCGCCACCACCGCTGCTGCTGCCACTTCCCTTACAGCCGGGCTCTGAGCACAACACCGCGCGCAGGAGAGCCCGGGTACTATCAAGGGCGCCCTCGCGCCCTCGGTACTCGTTCATTTGATTGTTTCCACTGCTTCTGCTGATCACAGCAGCACGTCCATCAAATCCGCTTCGGGCAGCATGAAGAAGCAGGCTGCGGACCCCCTCTTCGGCGCGGCGGCCCCTATCGACGCCGACCGGCAACAAAGGCAGGGAACACGCGCGAAGCGGACTCGCCTCCCTAAGCAGAAGAATCAAAAGCGCAAGGTCGTGGCTTATCGATGTCGGTGTGCTTCTTGCGAGCCCTGTGCCAGTTGGCGAAGACGACGACCCGTTCCCACTGCGCAGCCTTTCCGCTTGGGAAGACCCCAATCCAGCACCGGTCATGACACCGTAGTCAGCCTCGCCGGTGTTCACACTACTACTGCTCGTATCCTGGATCGCATCGAGCAGACTCTCCGCCACCCCAGGCATCTGGTGCAGCGTTTGCTCTAGCACTAACTCGACAGTTGAGACCCACTCTGGCGGCACCGCCGCGTACAGCTGTCGCAAGCACGATATCCAGCCCCCACCCCTGCTGGAAACCCTTGTCTGCTCGCCTCTCCGCGCCTTCCGTACCCCGTCTACGCCATCTCGCATCTCTGTCCGCTCGCTGTGCCCATTTTTCGGCAACAACCTTTCCTGAGGCTCGTGGGAGGTCGCCGCCCCAGGTGCGACATCGCACCCCGATACTTCCTCACGAAGGGGGGGAGAGGAGTGTCGAGTGTCGTGCTCGTAGTTTCGGCGATCATCAGTATCACAGAGAACGCACACCTGACAACATCGTCCATAGGGGGGAGGGAAGGAGGTGAGGGGGCGATCCAAAACCCGTCGAGAACGATCCGGGGCAAAACTTGGAGAGAAGGATGCATGCACAACGAGCAACACACGCAAATTAATCTTCCTGTTCCTGGAGGCGTTAGATGCAAAACCTCGACCATCAAACGCCCACAAGCACGAAGCACGTCGTTTATCGTCTTTTCGAGACTACCAACTCTAAAATATCCCTACGGCATGACAGAGGGTATTGTATTCTTGGGAGAAACCAAAACATGGCAGAAGAAACAAGTCGGTCGGAACTTGCCTGCCGAATGACGCCAGTGAAATCAGCCCCGTCCAAGCCTCCCATCCACACTAATTCCATCAGTCTGGAGCGCACCCTCGTCCACACGCTCTCCTTTCCTGGTACTGCCCCACCCCCGCTTTCTTGCGCTTGGTGCCTAGCCTCACAGCCTCGGCGCTCAAGCAATTCCACGAGGCCGAATATTTCCTCGAACATGACCAAGAGTGGCAATGCCAGCCTCAAGGGCCACGGTCGGTCTAGGAGAGCGTCAGTGACATCCCACAGGATTGCCTCTCCTCGCTGCGGCAGCCCGCCCTCGCTCCAGCCACCGCCACTGGCGCCACGACCGTTACTGATCACTTTGCCACTACGAGAACGTCCTCGAACCCCCGTCGACAGTCCGTCGCCAACATGGTCCCCAACGCTACTGCGACGACGTTCGTCTTCATTGGTCCCGACCGATTTCCCCTTTCCTTTTCGCATTTTCCGGGCAGCAGCAGCGGCGGCACCACCACGCTTCCCACCACCTCTTTCAACTGTGGACTGGTCCTCGCCGTCGTCTCCATGGTCACTATCAGCCTCGCTACTATCGTTGTCTTCGTCTTCGTCGTCGTCGTCGTCATCCTCCTCCTCCTCCTCCTCCTCCTCCTCCTCTGCCGCGGCGACTGCGCAACAAGCTCCTAGCACTGCCGGGAAGGCCTGAAGCATCAGAACGCGCCGGTTATTGGCGTCCTCCGCACCTCTTCGGCCGCCGGCGTACACTCCAGGTGCCGGGCGTCCGCTTGCGGTAGCCGAGTGGATGTCCATCGAAAAGGAGAGACAAACGCCAGCTAACTCTCGTAGCTGTGCCAGGGGCATGCGTCGGTGAACGGGGTTGGTGCTCCCTCGATCGCCGTTCGCTACTCCGGTCATGTTGGCGCAGGCCGACAAACACATGCGCACTTCGGAGATGCACAGAGAAGCAGCTCGTCCTTGAAGATCTCCTCTCCCTATTGCCTGCCGGGCGATGGGGGGGCAGGTGGATCAATGTGGCAGTGCAGTGAGGCGACTGGGGCAGAGAGCAGTGAATGAGTGACCATGTCTTGCGTACACACCTTGCGTGTGGCATCACCGCGTGGCCTTTGTACAGTTTCAAACATTTGCACTCTCAGAACGCACACAACAACACGATGGCAAGTCTTTAGGGCGCCCCCTCCTAATATACACTTGGCAGATGCTGTAACCCAAATATCACAACTTCGTAGCATACACACCTGCATCACAGCATGCAGAGCACCAACACGTGTCGTATTCCCCTCCACCAACACCTTGAGGAACTCGCTCGGGGGCACACGGTACGCCATACTGCCACCGCTGGCAATATTAAGGGGGGTAGGGCACCGGGAGGATGACGGTGGCGCCACGGGAAGCTTTCCAGAGAGCATGTCCTCAAAGCACTCTAGCATTGACAGCGTCTGCGCCATATATCATCACGAGGCCGAGCCAAGAGGGGGTGGGGACATCGAGGGCGGCGGGAAGATCGATACGACCTCGTGTTCAAAATATGGTACCAGTTGCGCGGACCGTCGCTTTTGTTTCGGGGTTGGTGTGTTCGGCCCCAAATTCCACTTCCCGTGTTCCAGGCACCCGCAGGCAGCAGATGGAAAACTACACATATTGTATTGTAGACAACGCCAAGAGGATAGTGACAGCAGTATGAATAATTCTCACGCACTTCGGGAAAGAGGAGCTGCGTGTAGTCTTGAGCAAATAAAAAAGAGCCAGCCTCGAGCGTGTGACCGTGCTGTCTGCGTCCCTCTTCGATGCTCTTGCTCAAAGAAAGGAAGCAGGCTGGCTAACCTCGTTCTGGGAGGGAGAAACAATAGCAAAGATTCGCGACTCTAGGCAGATGTACGGCTTGCCCTTGCCAAATTATTTCTCGAAAGCTCTCTCTCTACTTTGCTCGTGCTCCACACTTTGCTTTGGACTCAACAAGCGCGGGACAGAGGACCAGATCTACAAGGATCTACAGCAAGCTACAGTATTTGTAGAGCATGTCAGTCACTCGCTCGTCATTTTGAAAATCCGCCACACTCTTTACCTCGCTTTCTCGTATTTGGGACATATACAAGCGTGCTCCTCCAGGATCTTCACCATGCATCCCGTCGACAAGTCGGTCGACCTTCAGCATTGTTGCATCCATGGCGTCCATGGCGTCCATGGCGTCCGTGGCGTATGGTGCACGTGTGTCGCCGTGGTGTGGCGCGCCTGTGGAAATGGCGGGAAATGGCAGCTTTTTACTCTTTACACCGAACCAAGCAGGATGTCTCCGTGCTCACCAGTGCTGCTCGCTCTCCCTATTCTGGCCTCTGCAAATACCCCCCTCCAATATAGAAGCAATCCATGTAGGTGCCTACACGCACATCACAGCAGTGTCGTAGACATCACTGCAGTTGTCGCAAACGACTTCGCGGTGTCCGCGTGCCAAGAAATGGAGGGTAGGTGCAACAGACGAAGACTTCCCGCCTTACTTGCGGAGCCCCCGTGGCGAGGTCACGAGGTCCGAGCAAGGCCTGGCTGTGTTTGTTCTTCAAGCCCAGGCAGACACAAGTACTGCTGTACGTTGTCTTTCCAATGGCTGCACGACTGACAGCGCTTGTTACAGGAGGAGCCTCGGGTCTCGGACGTGCAACGGCTCTCAATCTGGCGGCTCGTGGCATGGGTGTCGTGGTGGCGGACATCACCAACGAGACAGAATTTGAAGACAGCAACATCAGATACGCCCAAACAGATGTAAGCTCTCTTCAGCTTTCCTCTCAATCCAGCATGTTCGATGTTCAGTTGAACCCTTTACGTTTGTGTCTTGGGGTACGTGTTGGTCTGCTGTGCGGTGTGACAGATTGGATTGGAAAGCGCCATACTTGGTACTCTGGATCATCTAACCATTTTACCAAGCAAAAGCATGAAACCTACTCCAGAGTTTGGTAACAGTCCCGCTCACCCGCCTTCAATGCGACCACGTTGAAACGTGCAACCGGTCAGGGACTAAACGTATTAGGCGAATCGGCCGCAAAAACCCGCTGATATATCATGCCAAGACGTTGTGTTAACACCTTCAATGACCACGACTCGAAATTAGGCATGTTGCCCTCACACTTTAGTCGCTGCTGTGTCTGTTGAGACCTCACGTACATACAAGTACCCATTTTCACACTTAAATCCAATAGAAAGAAAGCAACCTTCCCTCCGAAAGTATCTGTTGCATTCTACTGTCTTCAGCAGCGGACACCATGAAGAGGTGTCGTGCGTGCTGGCACGTTCAGGTTGGCTATCGAAGGTCGCAGCAGCCTCTGAAAACAGCTCGAAATCTACGCCGGAGCCAACCGGAATCCAACATTTGTCACAGCCGTGCTCACCGCCACGGACCGTAAACCCCTGAACGGAGGTCAGCAGTAGCTAGTGGCATCAGCTACTGCTGTGAACCCGCAGTTCTGGAGATTGGGGTCAGTGGCGGCGAGCACAAGCTGTACAAGACACCGGGTGTCGGTCTAATTTGCGGAGATTTGCGGAGATTGTAGGCTATTACCACAGTACGACCCTCGATATCACCACCACAGAAGCAAATTGGAGCGCGCCAATTCACACACCCCGCTACTATAGGGTGTCGTCTAGTGATATTAGTACAGGCATCTGATACTTCGCAACACCGACCTTATTTGAGCGCCTGCCGTTTTGGCTCTTTTGACTTGAAATTAGAATGGTGTGAATTTATCTTGATTTCAAAGGAGGCGTGTGGAGGTAACGCGTGAAATGTATGTTTTGAGACAGCCCTTTCTGCCGCCCTGTGCGAGAATCAACTATTTCGGTTTTTCACGATGCGCCTTTTGTGTCTGTTGTGCATTTTCTTGCGTTTGTGTCAAAGTTACAATAGTCAACTCAAATTTTTTTGTCTGCCATCCCTTAACGAACAAGTCCACGGGAAATACTTCACAGGGACGTAGGGCCCACTGCCCCACCCAGAAGCTGAGCCACGAACACGGTACGATCAAACATGTGTAGCTATCGCAGCCAAATCACACTAACAAGCATTGCCGACATCCGAAGAACGTTCGAAGAAAGTTCTCGTTCGTCGGTCAATCTACAACAATGTCTACCCGCTCGAAAAAGTATTTGGCCACGTGCTGCTATTGGGGGGCATGTTTCCTTCTCCTTCGGTTGAAACATGTCGACTGGAGATCGTGAGTACACACACTGCCGCTGTGCTGGTTCCTGGTGGGGTGCGATTGATCAGGTCACGAGCGAGACAGATGTGACTCGAGCGCTGGACCTGGCGAGAGCCGAGTTCGGATCGACCCCCTTCGTCGCGGTTAACTGCGCCGGCATCGGCTACGCGAAACGCACCATCTCAAGGTGTGTTGTACGACTTGTTTGTTCCATATAGCATGCATGGCGCATCACCAAGAAGCAAGTAGCATGACTCGCTGCACTCTAGAAGTACCACGGGTTGCCGAGGGCACGAAGCTGCTGCCCACGCGGGATCATGAAGTTTCCTGGTTGAATCGATTTCGCATGCTTCAGCAGGTTTCATGTAGCCTCAACCTACACACGACGCGCACTATCCCCGCAAAACGCAAGTGGCTGATCCACTGCCGGTGCCCTGTCTGGCAGAACTCCCAGGTTGCTTGTGTGAGAACAACAGAAAAGTGATGATCACGTTCCTGCATTTGAAGCTCGTGAACGAATGATATCAATTTAGCATTGAATGATACGAGATCGTTCGTCTCTCCCGATGTGTTTGTTGTTGACACCGAATAAACAGCCAAGGCGAACCGCACGACTTGGCCGGCTTCTTGCGAGTGATGAACGTTAACGCAGTCGGATCCTTCAACGTGCTGCGACTCGCGGCGATGCGGTGGGTTTGTGGGTGCTGTATATTGCCATGTTCTGCGGCAAACTGCTTAGTTGTAGTGCTCTTGCGTCGCAGACATCCTTGCCTTTTCCGAAGGACCCCTTACTTTTGGCGTTCAAGGGATCGATATACCATGCGCATTGAGAGCCCAGAGGGTGTATGCCCTCACCGGTGTTGGGTACGCCCCGTGGGTTTTTATTCTGGCCATGTCCTTGCAACGTTTCAGTTGTCTGAAATAATTAGTAGTTCTACGGCCTCTCGTGTTTGGATCGTGCAGGATGATGGAGACTGCCGCCGACGAAGAAGGTCAAAGAGGCATAATAATCAACACCGCAAGCATCGCAGCTTACGAGGGACAGGTGAGAGTAAGCCCCATTTTGCCATGTTTTTCGTCTGGAATGTGTGCTGGCCGAGCTGTTGTAGTGTAGAGTGTACTACGCTTTTGAAGCATAGTTTCATGTCAGCATCCTCTCGAAAAGGTACTTTTAGCGCACCCCCTTCGTTGTCGTCGGGCAACGATGATTTTCATGTCTTGTGCAGGTGGGACAGGCAGCTTATGCCGCGTCAAAGGGTGCCATCGTTTCCATGACGCTCCCATGTGCTCGAGACCTTGCCGCCTCTGGGATTCGAGTGTGTGCCATCGCACCAGGTTAGGACCTTCCTTCGTGTGTGACCCGCCCGCCCGCAGTGTAAACGTGTGCGTCGCTCGTGGTTCTCGACGAGGGTGTCGCGTATCGGGCTAAGAGTTATTACGGGATACGTATGGGACACGGGAGTATGGATTGTTCACAGGTGATGAACGTAGCCTTTGGCATATTGGTTCATCTGTACCTCTGTGGGCTCACTGGTGTTGCAAGCAATGGCAGCACAATAGCTGACTTGTTCAGTGAACGGTTGTTGTCTTGCTGTCAAACGCGTGATAGAAATCAATGCTTGTTTTCCCGCACAGACGGGTGTGGCAGATGTTTTTTTAAGCGCCCCCCACCCCTCCCCTCCTGTTCATGCGTAGGGCTGTTCATGACACCTCTTCTCGAGGGTCTTCCGGACCTCGTGCGGACCCAGCTTGCGTCTACTGTGCCCAATCCACCGCGGTTGGGCCGGGCGGAAGAATTCGCACATCTCGTGGGGAGCATTATCGACAACAAAATGCTGAACGGAGAGGTCATTAGACTGGACGGAGCGCTGCGGATGGGACCTTGAGGCGGCGGCTGACCATTCCATAAAACACATCTCGTCACTTTACAAGCAAAGCAGCAGGCTTCGTTTGCAAAGTCGGGGGTTGCGGTGTCCAAGGACATCACGGCAGACTCGGGGGGTGGTTGAGAAGCGCCCACGTGTAAATGATCGTCGGATGTCATACCCATAACTCCCTGTATTTTTCGTTTCATTGCGCTTGGTTTCGGTGTTCATGTACGCTCTCTCGTCTGTGAGGTCAGCGTGGAAGACTCGTGTTGTTTATTTTTGCGTGGCCCCGTTCCGGCTTAGACAGCTGCGTCAGAGAGGAGCCAAAAGGTGCGTCTGGAGCGTTTTGAAGAGCAGGGGGTCTGAGACGCACAACTATTGTGGCTTCTATGCATACGCGTGATGTTTTCAGAACTTTTGGTTTTGGCTTGTTTGAAGACCCAGGGGCCTTGTGATCATTGTTGAGCGTAGGTACCTTCTTGTGCTTTCGTCCGAAGGGTATCGTGCGTCTGCCGCATCCGTCGTGCGTTCCGCGAGAAACAACTATATTTGGATCCTTCATCTGTTCTCCAACGACGACCGGCAGCAAGTAGTGCAAACCACGTGATAGAACATGCAGGAGTGGTGCATTCGTCATGTTTATCGAGGCGGGTGTTCAGTACGTCAAAGTAAGCAGGGACGGAATTCCTAGAAGACACGCTTGGTGCAGGTGCAACGCGATGATGCTTTGGGTTGACAGGTGCTTATTGTGACGTTGCTGTGGTGTATCATGCGATTAAATGTATTTAGTAGAGTCTAGATGAGCAATAGTGGTGTGCGTGTGCTTTGTTCGAGTTTTCACTCACCCCTGCAAGTGCAGCGGCTATTATTTTGAGTCAAAGAGTATTGGCATTTCCCAGGGAGGCATCGTCGTGCGTCAACCGCGCGAACCACTTGCATGATTTTGTTCCGAGGGGGGGGGGGATTTCGTTGCGTTGGGAATATATATTTCATGTGGCAGGCGTGTTGAAGAAACAAGAGAATAGAAAACTGATCGATGAAGTTATTGAGTCAAATCGGTACATGTCGGACGACAAGCGTGAGAGCATCAGATCGCAACACAATTCTCTTTTGCCGTGATCACGGTTCTCAGATTCAATTTGGGGCGTGAAAACCAGCATGAGGTGTGAGCGGCATTGTTGTCTAGTTGGACACCCCTTGAACGGCGAATAATTGTGTGAGGCGAAACTAAAATATAATAGGGGTCAACACTGCTGATGACGATCAGACGAAAAAACGACTCCGATCGTTACATACCTACGGCAGGTTTTGTGGGGTGTACACGTACAAAAAGAGTTTGTTGTTTCAAGAGCGCAGTGCCGAACGTGTTGGAGAGGTGTTGTTGTTGTTGTGTTCACATTAAAAACCGTTCCGATCTCTCTCTACCCAGTACCTTCACATGTCCGTACTGATCCAACACTTGACGCGGTCGAGTTGGAGGGGTGTATAGAGTTGGAAGACCTTCCTCAGGATCATTGCTGTGGAACATGGCCTCTCACATGCGCCAGTGACGCTTTACTGTCGGCAAGGGATGGTTGAAGAGAGGTGTGATACTGGGGGGGTCGAAATCAGAATGTCGGTTCACACATACCTTTTTGGCCCTTGGGCACATTGCGACCGCCGAAAAGCACTCCTCTGCCTCCAGGAGCGTCGATTTACACGGTAAATAACATGGGCCGATCAAGGGAAGCCGACTTTCGAACATAGCAGGGTTGAACCGGTCCTCACCCGCAAATCCCTTGCTACACTACACTGAAGGGAACAAAAAAAAATGGCACTTCAACACATGCTGTTTCGGTGGATCGTCCCTCTGACGTCGTAACACGTCATCTGAAGAGTCGAATGTGGGACTCTCAGCGACGATGACACGTACTCCCTTCGGTATTTACAAGAAAGGCCACAACTATCTTCGCGTGGCATGAACCAGCCGACCCATGTTGCTACGCGCGTAGTTCGAGCGGAAGGGGGTCGAGTTCCAAAAAGCTATGCGCTCATTCATCGTTTGATTTGTCTTGAACACTTGGTGACCGCCAGGTCACATCCACACCAACGCAGAGAGTTCACACAAAAAAAACGGTACAAGAATCCAACAACCAGTATCATAGCATTTCCTTCGAGAAGCTGGCAAGCATTCGAAGAGGCAGTAGCAAAATCAGCATCACTAGCTGAAAGGACACGCATGCGTAGAAAGACACCCCAAGGTCGAATACAATGTCCCACCGTTCTTGCGCCCGGCAACCTGCAGACATCTAAAATAAACCGAGACCGACAAAAGTTGGTGCACAATAAATACAAATCAATTCTCGACGCGCCTGCTCTCGTGCAATCTGGGACTTGCTGTACAGAGTGTGCCTAGCAGTCATTGCTTTTCGAGCCCTTACGCACAACTCATCTCCGAACATATGACATGCATAACAACAAGCATCTTTTTACCCACAAAGAAGGAACAACGCGCACGCTTCGAGGCCAAATCAGTAACGCTCGCAGTCAGCCGTCGAGTACTGCGTGCACTTCGAATCGCTGACGTCTGTCTCTATGTACTGTAGCATACACGCGTCCACCAGGTTGTGGATATTGCAGTAGTTGACCGAGTTGTCAAGGACAGCGTACCACGTTTGACTGCAAGGACGCAAGAGGCAAGGGCGGGTTGGGGCGGGTTCGTTTCACAACATGGTTCATCGCTCGCGTTAAGGAGGTGGGAGGGACTAGAGACGGAGGCATTCCAAAACTCGCAGTGTCGTCGACACGCGTGACTGTGACGCACCTGGTAGAGAAGGCCTTTGCCTCGCACGAGCCTCCCTGCATAACAAGTAACGAGCCGAACGCGTGGGTTTGGGGTGGGGTGGGATGTTGTTGCTCCTTGGCAGTCCAGCATCATCGACAACGAGGTCGCGGTGTATTGGTAGAACAGGTAACCTTGCGCTCACGAAACCCAATTAGTCTTCAAACGATGGCGAGAACTCAAATGTCATCATCGTGAGAGCAGGATCACAGATTTGTTGGCGTTCTTGTCCCTGCCAAGGCAAACAAACGGTGACACTGCTCGTGTACCCTTGCGGGGCGGCGAAACGCCTTTCCCGATTCACTACCAGCGAAGTTCACCCCAACACGACCATGTTCACTCCTTGCACACTCTGAAAATGACGCGGCATGTGTTTATCCTTCTTGACTGCCTCGGGGCAACAGGACCCCCCAGAATCAAAACGTGCCAAGCGGAAATATCACGTGGTCCACACCTTGTCAGTAAGGGTGAACGTTATATCGTCCTTGTAATGTTTCACGCTGGTCTCGTGGACAAGCTTGACATTTCCGTCAGCTACATCTTCCACCGTATAGCCGCACCTGGAACCGAACAGAACGAACGGAAGCGTGAGTTGGCACCGAAAATTGCTGATACTTTTCAGAAACCGATCTTGTGGCCTTTTGTACGGTCTTCTGCTCGTCGAGCTCCGCACGTAATCTGAGGTGTGAGACAGTCAGGCTCACTTGTTACCCCCGCCGCAGTTCTCAAAGCCCATCATGTCCTTTGCAGACGAAACGATGGCCTCGGCCACCTCAGAGCAGCTGTTCTTGGGGAAGGCGATCGTCATCTGCATATACATAGCCGATGAGCAAGGTAGGACAAGCCAGAAAAATGAGTGAAACGAGACGAGGAGGGGCCCGCATGCAGCAAGCAAATGCTTATCTGATCATCCCTCAGCCCACAGTGCGCGCACGAGGGGAGGCTCGATTACCTTGCAGCTGGCGTGAAGCGGACCCCCCAACCCCAACCCCGACGCTCCACCACGGAGCTCCAACGCAGACAAGAGCGCAGCACTTCCGCCCTCTTCGGCGACATCCTCGGCGACATCCTCGGCAGGGGAAACCTCCGTGTATGTGCAGCCCTCCTGCACCGTCTTGCGCGGGGAGTTCCACGGGGCGGTGAACCCGAGCTCTCTGCACTTGGCGACGAGGTCCGTGTCCTCTTGGGCCGTGTCGCGCACGAGCACGAACAGGAAGGCTCGAAACGGGTCGGAAACGATCGCCCAAGGATATGATCCGGTCTGCAAGCGGTGCGTGAGAAACCAAAGAGAAGAACGAAAATGGAAAGGCGGGTCATGGTGAGAATCAGAGGCGGCGGTTAGGTCTCAAGTAGTCATGCACGAAATCATGCCACTACCAACGTCGTTTCAGGTCAAAACAGTCACATCCACAGCCCACCGGAGAGCACATCCAAAAAAAAATTAAAATGGAGCACGTACCCCTTGCTCGTCACCGACAGCCAAAACCCAGTAAGGCCCATCCACTGGGAGACCGTCCAAGTGCACGGTAAGTTGTCCCGGTTTGGAGGCATCCTTCGTATATGCGTGGCCGGTCATCTCGACCAGTTCCCCGTCCGGGCTGTTCGTCCTGGAAATGAACGAAAACAGTGTCAGTCCACAAGGCCTCTTAAATCAGGGTTGTTCTGACTGCCTGACTCGAGTTCCACATTATTGTGTTCTTTCGCATGTATTCCTCATTGGTCCGTGTGTACGGTTCACACTTCGCGAGACGAAGATTCGGTACGGGTTGCCCTACTACCCCCACGGCATAACCATGGGGTGTTTGACTTGATGGTGACAAAAAACCCGACAGATACCTCCCAGTTATAGTGGAAAATGCTAAATATGATGGCCAGGACACGGCTTCTCGTCTTAGCCTCTTGTATGAGATAATATCCTTCAAATCGAGATTGGAAGGAAAGGAGGTGTTTTGGAGGGGTGTCTTCACCAGCCGCGGTGAGGACACTGTATCATCCCGCACAATACGGGAAGAATAATCCGACAAGAAGATACTCATGTATTATGAGGAACGGATCTAGGAATGTTCTAAACAATTTTCAAGAACCGTACACAAACAAAAGAACAGATATCAGAGAAAGCAATTTCACCATGGGTGTCCACGAATAAAACGGTCGTGTTCTTGATCGATTGTAAAGCCTTTGTAAAGCCTTCCCCACGTGTTCAGCATGGGTGGGGGGAGGGGGTTGGCGTGTACGGCGGTCAAACCCGAAGATGAGCTTTATCCAGCTTCGCAGAGATGAGAAGAGAGAAGAGATCTTATTCACGCTCAACATCGTGCGGTAGTTTGTACCTCTGCTTCCTATAATAGTGGAGAAAGGGGCTGAATTTCCTTCTTCGGGACTTTTCTTGCCCTGAGTTTGATCTCTTCGTCAGTGACGCGACTTTCTCTGGGTCGTCTTCACATTTTATGTGACTGGTTTAGGGTAAACAAACTTGTGAAGAAGCGTCGGAAAAAGGAGGTACTGGATAGAAGTCAGGCGGAAACATGAAAGACGACGACAACGCGGTAATCGGCACAAACACAAGCCGTTGGCTTGCCTAGCTTGAAACCCCTCCAGAGCGGGGGGAATCGCAGCGCTTGTCACAAAAGTGGAAACACAGCGAGTACCAACAAGAACGTCGTGGTCGAAGACATATATCGCAACACCGTGCGTGAATGCACAGGGGACGTGCGTGACGGAGCGCTGAACGGAATTTGGCAGCAAGCTTACCTGGCCGTGTTCACCACGGAAAGAGAACCGTCCGCCTTCACTCCGTAGTCTGCCGTCACACATGCCCCCTGGCGCTCGAGCAGTGTACCCGCCGTAAACGATGCGTAGCTCTGCAGAATAGTGAAAAACGCCATGATTGTCGGACAGCTTAGCGCGAGACTACTCTAATCTCATCCGTGGGCAACGTTCTCCAACATGTCAAGAATAATTGGTTCGTGAAAAAACGCGTTTGAGGAGTGCACAAGTGCTATAACAACAGTCAACAAAGTAATTCACATCACCTGGTACCAGCGACCGGAGTAGCGATTGATGTCCAACTCTGTGACTGGCTCAACAGGCTTCCACGACTCGAGGCTCCACGTGCCCTCTTCCTCGTCCCACTGCATTTGCGACAGGACGTCTGTCCAAGAGCTTCCAGCGTTGACGTCTTCATCACTGGCATATCCGGCTCCTACCTTATCCCAGTCCAACGTTTCCAACGTTTCCAGAACATCTACCCAGTCCAACTTCTTCTGTAAAATCCGGCAAAAACAAAGCGGAGGGAGGGTGGAGCGGGGTTGATAAGGTTGCGGCTTCTTCCATTTGTTGTTAGACAGACCAAGAGGGTACACGCCGAAACAAGAAGCCACAACACGCCGAGGAACAGTTTGCCAGAAAGACAAACGGCAGCAGCCGGTGCCCACTGCGGCCGGAATATCGTAACGTGGGCAGTTTGCTCAGTGCCTCCGATAACTCTCTCCTCACCTTCCGGGTATTTGCAGTGGTGGTTGAATCAGAAGACGGAGTGAAGGGCAGGCATCCTTCCTGGATAACGCGTTGAGGTTCCTTATCCCTTCCCGTGAAGCCCAACTCCGCAACGAATTCGAGTACATCGCGAGCGTATGTCTTCTCGAACTCCCGGACGTCGCGCACGAGGACAAACAGAGATTCAGCGTCCCTGCACTCATTAATACGGCACGTGTGTCGAACAGGAAGAGGACGCCGGAAAAAATCAAAATCGGTCGGGGGCATTGAATGATAGAGTGCATGCAACACGAGTTAAAATAACAGCCAGGCGTTCTGAATTCCTATGCTTCCCTGGCTGCTTTGCATGATCTCGAACAAAGAATAAAACGGTGACAAGGCTTGGTGCGTTCACTTCTCTTTCGTAGACACAACCGATCCGAAACATGGCACGCAACTTTTAGGGGAGTTAGGGGAGAACGAGTTTCGACCGAAAATGTGGGAAGCGCATGACAAGATCCGGAACATCACGACACCCGAGAACGGTTCATCCACTCACGGTCCACTGACGAGAGCCCACTGATACAACGAGTCGGGGCCAAACGTGTCAGGGCCGAGGCCGACCACCCAGTAATCACCGTCGACGGGCACGTCTCCAAGGTGCACTTTCAACTGGCCTGGGTTAGACGGGCCCGTTCCGTAGGCGAACCTTAGAACAACGTGATCATTGGTAAAGGCAGGAATACGGGGGGCAGCTCATATCCTGAGAATTGTGAAGAGAAAGGGTTCAAGTCGGATAGACAGCTCGCGATCAATGTTACTGCACGTATGTCGCTTTGTCTCGTACGCCTGATTAACCTGACGATGACCCCACGGGATAATAGTGCCAAGCCAGTCTCGTTCCCACGAAAGATACTAACATCTACACGTGCTTGGAAGGCACTCGCCTTTTGACATGGCCACAAGGACCTAAATTGACGTGGGAACATGAACAGTTCTCGTATGCATTCATTCAAAACTGGACGAGTTCTGACTCGGTACTCGATTGGAGCCCCGAACCATTTGAGGGGAAACTCCCTTGCCCGTGTCCCCCCTCTGCCGTGATAACCCAAGACAGCACGTGTCACATGTCCTTATGGGATTGGATGAAAGGAGCTTCAACAAAATATCGTACCCTTCGATTGTTTGCAATCTGCCGGTGGGGACGCCAATCCGTTCGGAGTTGATGACGGTGATGTTGCCGGTGGCTTGGTCCTGCAGAGCGGTGTATTCGAAAAATCAAACAAGAGGGGGAAAAGGGCGTCTAACAAATAACCCCTTAAAGAGTAAGCATGGTACGAGAGGCAAAAGCGGCGTCGAGCATCAAAACCTCGTATGCATAATTTTGTACCTTTTCCCTCCCTCTTCAAAGCACCAACACTGGGCGATCGATTAGGTGCCCCCTCCAACCAATTCCCCGAGACGAGAGAATTGCAGCTTGGAGGATATAGACAACACCACGAACACACGTGGACAACACCAAAGTACGCGGTGACGAGGGAAAGGACGGAAATGAGCCACAACGTACGCATAGACATACCACTCGTCAATATATGTTTAGTACAGTCTACTGCTGTGTGTGCATCGAATCTCTTCGCTGAACCGTGTAAATTTATTGACGCAGAAAGGTAAGGTGGCTAAGTTGGACGGAGGGTTGGTGTGCTAGACAAGTGCTTACATGACATCATGTGACAATGAACGGTGATCTTGCAACATCTGCCTCATACCATTCTCTTCGGTATGATATCTGCCCGCCAGCAGCAGTCTGCGTACAACGTGCAGACTACAGACTACGATAGAATATGGAGGTGGTGCTCTAGTCAAGGCTTCTTCAAGTCTACCGTGTAATTGTCTCACGCAGCGAGCACCCACAGCAGTGTGAATTGTGTGACTGTCTCTCTCACCAGTCCATAATCAGCCGCAACACAGGTGCCATCCCGCGTAATCCTGGCTGTGAAGGTGTTGCCGTACAGCTGTGAGAGGGGTACATATCGGTATACGAGAGAACGGGAATCAGTAGCGGATGTTTTAATTTCACAGCATGGTCCAAAAGAAGAAACGTACACAGGGCAGGCAGCAGGCACTTCATTACTGCTGCCTACCCTTTAGTTCAACTGCAATAATCGGACATCCCAGCACACCTTAATAATGCATACGACACTGCTCTCGAACCCACACACACTTGCCCCTCAAACGGACCTGGTACCACCGACCGATGTATTTAGCGACGTCCAGATCGGGAACCGTCTCGATCGCCAAGCCGCTCGTGGCAAGGGCAAGCACAAGCGCAAGCACCCGCATGATAAGAGTGCTTGAAGGCCGCTCTCTGTGTCTCGATATCCCACAGCTAGTTGTGCCCTGCGTGCCTTGATTGAAAAGGTTGCGAATAAATATCTCGAACAAGAAAATCCGATTAAGAGAAGTTTATGTGCGTGCGTGCACAGCGACGGTCGAGGGTCGGCGCTTCACGCTCACACCCGCACACGAGTGATGCTGCTGATCTTCTGGTGGACACACATGTCTGGCATTCATCGTGACACGTGGGCATGACGCACAGCGGTCCCATTCACAGGACCCCTGGAGAGGATCATTTGCTACAGCAAAGGCTCGAGGGATGCATATCTAAACACAAGCTTGTGCGCGGCTCGAGTAATCCACCGCTTAGAACCAAGTGAGGTGTCCTGACATACCTCTTGCCTCTTGGCTGCGATAGACTCCAGCACTCTGGGACAGGCCAACAAGTGCAGCCTTGGGGCAGGGGCAGGCTGCGATCTGATTGGCCAATGGCTTATTCCTCCGCTCTCGCACGAAACCCGATCTCTGCAATATATCATAATCGGCGTCTCCGCTGTCTGCTGATCATGTCTTTCGGAGCGTGGCCACACCAGCCAACAGCCCATCCGCCCGCTCCGACAGCACAGCCTGGTAAAGGCAATATGCAACAATAGGTGAGATGGCACATACTGCACACTTTGTTAGCGTTGAAGAAGAGTGTTTGTGCCCTTGTCGAACGCATTGCGATGTTGAACGGGGCGGGCTTTGAGTCAACTGCGCGGTTTCGATGCGAGCGTGTGCAAGAACCAAGTGCGAGAGAGATGCTGCCATTACTGCTGTATCTGCCATTCATATGAGAGTGACCTACGGGGCACACATTTTGTACTGTAGAGCCGTGGGACGTGTTTGCAGTCTTCCCGCGTATAGGCTTGTTTCCACCCGCGTACAGGTTTGTTCCTGTAGTACCGTACTCATTCAGTCCTCTCATGGACGTCTTGCGCGCGCTTGTCGCCCAGCGCTCGGAACGTCAACGGTTACGGTTCTGTCTCCTCGCCCGACGGGTGCCTTGAGAAGCTTCCCTGGCCCTCCGGCTCGGTTCTGTAGCCCTTGTACTCGCCCTACTTGCGATCATGACCAAGATATCTTTGAGTCTCTCTCTCAATTTGGAGAGAGAACTTTAAGTTTCTGAAGCACGCGCGGCCAGTTTTATTTTTAAGGGTCGTTCTTAGGGTTATTGTTAACGCAACGAAAAAAAAACGCTTTTTGTCACGGAACGGTGAAAAGAAGATCCGATTTTTTTTCGCTTGTTCTAATCGCGATGTCATCGCGAAAGGCACGTTTCCTTCCCTGAATACACGTTTTGCTCGACACACGACAGGTTGACATGGTATTGCTCACCATAGAGCAGCGGTGAAAGCGCAATGAGCAGCACCGGACACAGAGGACAACACACTTAGAAAGATCCCGTCCACCTGGCCTGCTGTTTTCAGTTTTCAGCAACAACAGGCTCAGGGCGGAGTGTCGCCACCTGGGTGTTGCTTGCGATTTCTTCAGTTTGCCAGCTCATTTTTCACGGTTGCGACTCCCATCTTTGACCACCACCTACCCAAAGGTAGACGAGCTCAACAATCATAGGGCGGCAGCCGCGCCGACGGCCAGCATCATATAGATGGCCAATCCGAAAGAATTAGCGTGTCGGAGGCCCTGTTGCTCTACTGCTGCGTGGTGCCGTGGATTGATGTTGATGCGTCCGACCAAAAACGCATCATCTCGTCGCATTTTTTCCAACGGCATTTTGGTGAGGTGGCACACGTCTCTAACACACTTTATTGGGCAGCACCCAAGCACCCAATACCCACGAAGCAGCACGGCGCCGGGAGATGGTATCATATGGACAGCCGAACCGAAGGAATCAGCGCGTTGGAGGTCTTGCTGCTGCTGCTGTACTCGTTCTACTGTTTCCGTGTTTGCTAGGTGTGATTGAAAAAGAAAAACAGCACCAACAGCAGCAGTTGAAGACGAGAGCACCACGCAATGCCTAGTTTTGGGCCAAGAACGGACTGAACGCCGCTTCTGCCGCTTGTCCATCTCCACAACAGACCTGGACGTGAGTCTGGCAGGTCTTTCTAGCGTTCTCAGTAACTTCTTATCGACCAATAAAACACGAAAAAAAAACAAAACCGTGTTTTCTTGAACACATATGGAGGCGTTTTTCCCCGAAAGCGTGAAAGGAAGGAGCCGGGTTTTTTTGGGGCTTGCTACTTTCACGAATACGTGTTTTTGACAGAAGCATCGGACAAGCGCACGGCGGGCGCTGTAACATCACTGAGAACGCTAGAAAGACCTGCCAGACTCACGTCCAGGTCTGTTGTGGAGATGGACAAGCGGCAGAAGCGGCGTTCAGTCCGTTCTTGGCCCAAAACTAGGCATTGCGTGGTGCTCTCGTCTTCAACTGCTGCTGTTGGTGCTGTTTTTCTTTTTCAATCACACCTAGCAAACACGGAAACAGTAGAACGAGTACAGCAGCAGCAGCAAGACCTCCAACGCGCTGATTCCTTCGGTTCGGCTGTCTATATGATACCATCTCCCGGCGCCGTGCTGCTTCGTGGGTATCGGGTACTTGGATGCTGCTCAATAAAGTGTGTTAGAGACGTGTGCCACCTCACCAAAATGCCGTTGGAAAAAATGCGACGAGATGATGCGTTTTTGGTCGGACGCATCAACATCAATCCACGGCACCACGCAGCAGTAGAGCAACAGGGCCTCCGACACGCTAATTCTTTCGGATTGGCCATCTATATGATGCTGGCCGTCGGCGCGGCTGCCGCCCTATGATTGTTGAGCTCGTCTACCTTTGGGTAGGTGGTGGTCAAAGATGGGAGTCGCAACCGTGAAAAATGAGCTGGCAAACTGAAGAAATCGCAAGCAACACCCAGGTGGCGACACTCCGCCCTGAGCCTGTTGTTGCTGAAAACTGAAAACAGCAGGCCAGGTGGACGGGATCTTTCTAAGTGTGTTGTCCTCTGTGTCGGGTGCTGCTTGTTGCGCTTTCACCGCTGCTCTATGGTGAGCAATACCATGTCAACCTGTCGTGTGTCGAGCAAAACGTGTATTCAGGGAAGGAAACGTGCCTTTCGCGATGACATCGCGATTAGAACAAGCGAAAAAAAATCGGATCTTCTTTTCACCGTTCCGTGAAAACAAGCGTTTTTTTTTCGTTGCGTTAACAACGACCCAAAACTACATTCCATTTTTTTCTAGACAAAGGCGGGGGGACTGTCAGGATCGTTCTTCCTGAAGATTAATAGACGGATATTGGGTTTGGGGTGGTGTTGTTTGTTTTTGTTTTGGGTATTTTTTTTTTTTCAGTTTTGGGGACGCAATAAAAACACCACTTGACCTCGTGCGGAGGGCGGTATGATGAATGCTGTACGCCGATGACGCCGGCGTCGTATCGAGGTCTGCCGAAGGACTGGCGAGAATGATCACCGTCATCGTGGAAGTGTTCGGGGAGTTCGGGTTGACGGTATCGGAGAAGAAGACGGAGACGCTCCTGATGCGCGCAGAAGCAGACAACAACACCGCCCCCCCCACCGCCTCCGCTGATCATCGAGGCAGCAGGGCAACGCCCGGACGACTGAATTCCGGTATATGGGTGGCCTCGTCAACGAACACGGCGACCTCACCCGGGAGATCAATTACCGGAGCAGAGCAGCGTGGGCATGCGTCAGGAGATATGGCCAGGAGCTATTCGACAGGCCGAGAGCACCGTTCCGACTCAAGACTCACCTGCTCCAGGCCGAGGCGATGGAGGCACTGCTGTTCGGCTGCATGACATGGGCCCCACGTCAAGACCAAAACCGGACGTTGCGGACGAGACACCACCGACTGCTCCTTCGAGGTATCGGATACCAACGCAAGAAGGGCACCTACCGGCAGCTTTCCTACGCCCAGGCCCTCAAGAGGGTAGGGTGCCAGAGCGGGGAACCACTATTCGGCAACGGCGCCTGCTGTCGCGGGAGCGCTGGCAAGGCAGCCAGACTCCCGAAACGGGTCATGTTTGGCGAGCTTGGGGGGGGGGGGTGTACGCATAGTCGTGCACGCCATAGTCGTTAGACCATTGACCTTGCATCCCTACAATGCCGGGACAGAGCACGCCGGGTTCTCAACGGACCAGGCTCTCACATCACCAAGCGCGAAGCGCCGTGAGGTATGCGGCGAGTCGCATGAAGGGTGCGCTGCATCCTGTTATGGGTGTTCGGCATCTTGTGCTTACTTCCTTGCGTACGGATGACTTAATTTATTTTCTGGTGCTTTCACTTCCAGAGACATTGTAAGCACTGTGTAACTGCCTCGAGGGTGCTTGACTAATTTAACGCAACGTGGTGCGATTATCCCCTTTGCGCGGAGTGAGGGTTCTCGACCCCGAACAACATTTATCTGCTCGACCACCATTCATGGTTACCGCCAAAAAAAAAAGAAAAAAGGCGGTAACCTGGTTGTCGAGCTCACAAAGTGATCGGTTTGTTTTAAAACATCGCTGCCAAGCGACGAAAACCCAACCCCGATGGCAAACATCGGGGGGGGGGCGGAGGGTGGTGGGAGGGCCCAGGCGGGGAGAAACCGGAGCAAAACTGGCAGATGTGCCTGAAGGACGACCTCAAGATGTTCGAAGCAGAGCACGGATCTACGGACGCCGAGCCATGCTTCTTGGGAGTCCCGGAAACAACTTGGATGGAAGCAGCGAAGGTGGACCGGGGGATACCGTGGCATACACGGGTACTGCAGGGAGCTAAGAGGTTCATGACCTCTTGGCACAAGAAGGAAGAGGAGGCTGTCCGACAACGAGCACTCAAACGAAACAAGAAGCCCGGCAACAACACGGACACGGCAACAACCACGGGGGCGGGCGGGGTAAAGCAGGCGGACGAGACGTCGAGGAAAGACAGGAAACGCGAAGAGGCGGACCGAGTGGCGCGAAACACAATGCCGAATTGAATCCCTTGCTGACTTATCCCCCCCCCCCCCGGATGGCAGCTCACCCTTCATGCGACTCGCCAAATACCTCACGGCGCTCCGCGCTTGGTGATGTGAGAGCCTGGCCCGGTGAGAACCCGGCGTGCTCCGTCCCGGCTTTGTAGGGATGCGAGGTCAATGGTCAAACGAATACAGCATGCACGACTATGAGTACACCCCCCCTCCCCCCGGCACTGCACCATTGCGCCAATCCCCCGCGAGCGATGACGCGCATTTGATGGCTCGGGTGGCCCGCGTTGTGTTGTGTTGTTTTGTGTTGTCTCGTGTTGTTCTGTTTATTTGTTTGTTGTTGTTTGTCGTGTGTCTTTCCCTGTCTGTGTCTTTCTCCTTCTCTTCCCCTTCTCTCCATCTGCTCTCTTCTGTTTCTTTTTCTTTTTCTTTCTTTTTCCAATCTAGGGTTACCTCGCATAGCGTGTAGAGGCGAGCGGAGTGGCCTAGACTATCTGTCGTTGACTTCGGGTCCATTTTATTTTCGTATACCTTTTTTTGGGTAAGTTAGCCTATGACCACGGGAATCGACCCTGTCAAGTGTTAGACTAGTACGGATAGAAGAAGGTACTGGGCGGAGAGAACGGAACGGTTTTAAATGTGAAGACAACAACAACAACAACAACAACAACAAAAATTGGTGTGTGTATGTTTTTTGTTGGGGGGGGGGGGGGTTCCTGGTTTTGGCAGTACATATTTGGACTATTCTCCGTTACCCAAGACCCAATACCAACAGGGAAATTCAATAATACCACCTGAATGGCATGCAAGTTCAACAACATGAAAACCAGATCCATCCATGATGATACTCAAGAGGTGAGGCACATGATGGTAATGAGATCCCCAAACTTGTGAGTATTCCTATTCTAACGAAAACTTGACTCGTCCTTTTGTCTCAAGCACATCATGAGCAGTAACTTGGGTCAAGTATTCTGTCACGGTAGCATGAACGAGCGCTAAATACTGAGATTCATTCAATCTCGAGGTTTGAGGAGGGCTAGGGTATACCTTAGGGTGCACCTGAATCATTGACGGAACCCTTCCAGGGTTCCGTCTCAACGCGTGTTTCAGGTACTCAACTCAACCACTGTTTAACACGGCAAATCTCGGAAGAGGAACTTTGATCCACTGCTAAGAGCAACCACTTGTGACCACCCAGCCTGTGAGTCGGTGCATGTGTCGGTAGATCTCGTTAGATCTTACCTAGACCCCCTTTGCTAGACTCACCTTGGCTAGATTCGGGTATGGATTTAGAGCCCCCTTGTTAGCGCCTCCTTGCCCTAGCCAGTTGTTGTTATGCTAAATGATGGGTTACCACCGTGAACACCACTGTTACATGGTGGAGGAGTAGGGATAACTTTAGTTTCGTGTTACAATTCTCTTCATCGTCGGATCTGCACATCATTGTTTTACAGAAGGTGGTCGCAGTTTTGAAGAACGTTTGTTAGACTCTGTGACAGCAGCATTTGACTCCCGGCAAAAGCGCCTATTGACAGAACATGTGGGGGTGATCGCCAGAAATTGTTTCAAGGATGTTGTACTTTCCGGTGAGACCAGTTTTCGTTCGTGGTACTCTACCGGCAAAATTGGGGGCTTCTTCTCTCCCTCTACCTGGGCACTAGTGGGTGTTGGACTGTTCTGTAAGAACAACGAAAGGGTTTAGAATTCTGTACAGAAATGCAATTAAGGAACAATGCCCTATTCGAATAAACAATTGCCCAGGAGAAACGAGTCGCATGCTCGACCGCACAAGCACCGTTTGTTGTTTTTCCCTCCGCCCCTTCTCGGTCCACCACTACACAGCCCGGAGAACGATTGAAGATTGCGCTCTGCACACGTCCTTGTTCCTGTTACTGGTAGATGTTGGCACGTTTGTCGCTTGCTGCTCTTTTCTTCTGTTTACTCTCTCGTAACGTGCGGTTATTTACATGCCCTGGTTCTCCGCTTTGGAGAAGTGGCGATTAATTACTGCTGGCATGATACGAGCAAGATGTATCTTGGCACAATGGGATCGGTTTACTTTTTCATTTTTCGTTTTGACGAAGTACGTTCGAGGATTTCTCGTTCCCGCATCCAATATAAACAGTCGGACGGACGGGGAAGCTGCACGAGCCTTCCTTGAACCGCCTTCTCTTGTCGTTTCCCGCTCTCGGACGATCGTGCACCGCTTACTCTTTCTAGGCCGCCATGACTCCACCCGTGGCACCACGTAGCCATGGAGGATGCCGGAACGAGTTCGATGGAAGGCAAGTGGGAACTAGCGGATGCTGGCTTACTTTTGTTGGAACTTCTTGCGCAGCGCAAACATATCCGCAGACTTTATTTGGAGATCGGAGGACATGGTTGTGTCGCGGCCGTACATATCTTGTCATCTCCATGCTACCACTTCTGCAGTCTTGTGTCGAGCGCTGGGGTATCCCGGGCTCCAGCACTGGTTAATGGGTTTCAAATACAGTGGGGGTCCCTGGTTAGTGCCGGTTGAAATTGCCAATGCCCGGTATAGTGCCGATGTTTCGACGGGCACACACTGCATTTGCTGGTCATTGTCCGTGCTTTGAATAGTGCCGGTCCGTTATAGTACCGGTGAATTTTCTGGGCACAACCGGCACAACAGGGCGTGTTCAGCTTGCGATGAGTTGACAGATGCCACATGGCAAGAATAACGGAGGCAGCCGAAAAGAATGTTTGCACCGTCTGTTTTGTGTGTGCAAGTTGAACTGGTGTAAGTTTGAACAGGTAGTGCCGAAGCATGGAAACGACTGAACGTGTTATTTTTAACCAGACCTTTGCGACTGGCTCGAGGCTATCGATCGGTGTTGATACAACCTCAGGTTTCCTCTCATCTCCGTGCCCCTCCAAACCTGGTGCGTTCACCGTGATCATTCCACCGCCGTCTCCGGTCTGGTTGAGCGGCACCGAGAAGGCCTCCGAACGATCACAAGTTGTGCCGGACTCCCCTCCGAACCAACATAGCAAAGACAGTGCCTGGAGGACGCGTCCTTATTATACCGCTCCGTTTGGTGGCGGCTGGGTGTCTACCATGTTGTTTGCTACCTTGTGCGTTGCCGCTAGCCGCAGTTATGACGGTCTTACCGTAGGCGAGCTGCTTTGCTTTGATGCTGTGGTTGCAATTGATCATCTTTGTGCCGATTTCGTCTCAGCCAACGATTACCACTCTGCTGCAAAGGCGCCAACCGATGAATTATTTACGTGCGTTCCATTTCATTCCGTCATTTGGCAGTACTACGTCAACGTGGGGAAAATGTTTCGGAGTGGAAGGCTTCCACCCTTTTTTGGGAACAACTGCGTTTTCAACATGAAACGAGTCGAGGTATTCCCAAGGACCGGACTTGCGCGTTACAGGTTTGGAAGGGTTCGAGCCCCGTGGAAGTGTCTGACGGTTGAATCGGAACATGTTAGCATTGATTTATGGCGATCTCTTCAGTCTTGTCGACCCCCCCTCCGTCTCTTTTAGTTCTTCTTATGTTGACCCGGCTTGCCCTCAGGCTTGGCGATGAACTCCGCGCGATGGGGGGCCAAATAGGTGAAGCATCTATTGACGGTGTCGTTCGACTTGGGGTGCTTCCGCCATTGGCTGTTTCGTGGTTTGTTTATTGTTGTGGTGGATGAAGCACAACAGCAGGAAGGGAGGGAAGGGGAGGGGCGGTGCAGCTGATGGTGGTTTTTGTTTGGTTACATTCCGCTGAACTTGGCGCGATCATCACAACCCCGTAAGGGTTGACCCTCAAGAGCGTATGGCCTTACTGTGGATGTTCTCGTTGCGTGGTACAAGTTGCACATGTCTGCGACGAAAGGTAGTCCAAATACACTAAATATGCGACAGAGAGGAAGTTTTGCAGAAATAGTGTATGCGATAAAATCGAAGAACGAGTGTGTCGGAGTTACTCGGAGGGCAGTCCGAGCAGTGGAGTCCGAGTAGTGGGGTCTTGATCCTTTCACGCATACTCCATCTCATATCGAGGCCTGCGGCCGCGCAACTATCCCTGGAGTAAAGAACGGTAAACAGGATACCAGAAAGGACATTGTTTGATAAAAGGCTCCGCGGGATTGAAGGGCCCCTCTCTGCCTACGTGGATGTGTTGGCTCTATGTCCTCTCTTCGTCATCAGCACAGATTGTGTTCTGTGTTATTTTTCCGTCTATACAGTCAGTGGCCGCCATTATGGAGGGTTCAATTCAGACTGAATACATTCGAAGTTGTGCACGTGGCGACGTCGATAAGGTTGAACTGGTCTGAGTGGGTCGTGAGCACGTTAAACCTTGCTCGAAAGTGGTGTTCTCGGATTGCTGGTGTTATATGAAGCGGCGCCGGTACTGAAAATGGGCACGTCATCATGCCAACGGGATCAAGGGACCGAAACTCGCCCGAAACGTGAACAAGGGGACACGAAGCACGAAGGTGCATTTCCCCGACTCCGACTCGGTACCTGTTCGCAATGCTACTCAGCACTCTTATACAGGCTGAAATCGTGATTTAACAATGTACTACTTTGAAGCTCGGTGGCAGCTATATTGGCAGGCAGCACCAGGCATAATTTCTTCGCGCGTCCTGCCGATTGGAAGCATGCGATTCGCAACACGATCCTGAATATGTGGGAGGTGAAGATATGGGTGCCCGCAGGGCGTCATTTCGTTGTGGAGTCAGCCGTGATGCCCCCTCTCTTCGATCCGTCAAGAGGAAGAGTCATCGCACAAGCCCAATGGACGATCTTGCACATCTCGACTGCTCCACAACCAAGAGTCTACCAATCGCCGAAAAGGGTGATCTTGGAAAGGCCTCGTGGAAAGCTCTCCTTGCACGTATCGGTCGGTTGTCGCACTCTCTTGGTTGAGGAACTGTTGGTCCTTCAAAGTCGGTCTACGCGGCGTGCGATCACCTACATGTTTACGAAAGTCAACCAAAAAACACATACTGGTAGCAACCTGGCAAACAGAAAGGGAAAGGGGGCACGCAGTTTCAAAAAAACCTGCGGGGCAAGTTTTTCGCAGATGACAAAAGGTGCTTGGATGACGGGTGGCGTTGACCGCGGTCATCCTGTCAGGCATCTTCGGCCGGACACGTCGTCGCCTGCGGACATCGCCGAAGAATCGGCCACGGTTGTCACGTGAGACCCGGTTCTTAGACAGAAAGGACAACCTCGCGGGTGACGAGTGTCCACCCCATGCCTTGCTCTCCGGAGGGCCACGTCGTCCAGGCCCTAGAACCTTCAGCTATCTACTACGAAACAAATGCCCTTTTTGTTTTCTGCTCACGTTCAGACAAACATGCAACACGGAGGAACTCACGCTTGCTTGTCGCCCGTCCGTGCAGAGCTCTACAGATGGTAGGTACGCGTTTTTCTAACTGGCGGATAGTAGCTACGCGGTTTTGGACTGGCGGTGACGAGGTCTCGATGACGGGTACCACACGGTAGTTTCTTCCACGAGGACCCAAGATGCAATCACCAGAGAGAGAGAAGGGAATGCTATATTTATTTACCCGTTGTCAGACTCCAAGAGGGCAGTAAGAGAATAGGCCACAGGCACGCAATTTCCTGATTGGTCGAAACACCCTACCACAAAGGAGGAACGACTGGCGACACCGGGGCCCACGGGGAGGAGAGACACGCGGCTCGATCATGCTGTGCTACCACGCTGCCGTGCTCAAGCACCCCCTCCAGCTCATCACCACAAAGAATGTGCCAACAACAAAACAAAGCAGGTCGCCACGTGCTATGCATCTACTCGTGGTCGCGCTCGCTTTTTGGCCTCATCCACTATCCAATGAATCCCTTCCGCCACTCCGTCACTGGAAGCGGTTGGCAAGAAGCATGGGGGGGAGGCAGTAGACAAGAGGAACGCATCAGGCGGATATGTCATGAGCGGTGTATTGAGCCTTTGATGCATGCTTATGTTTTCCACTCACGTCCTTCCAACAAATACAAGCTTCCTTGGTTCTTGTGCTTGGGTGGACAGTCTCAGAGGATATCGTTGATATATGCACATGAACGACGCAAGCAATGTGGGCTGCGGACGTACTCACCATGTAAGCCCGCTGCATGGTTGTAATCGAAACGCCACTTTTGTGATCTTGTGCATGTCGAACTGAACAGATATGTCCGCCGTCGAGATAGCCTCGGGCAAGTCTTGCTTGTTAGCAAGCATCATCAATGGCACCCCGTGAAGCTCCCCTTGCTCCTTGACGGTATCTGCGATGGGAACAACACCAACCGCGTAACATAAATATATTTAGCAAGGGACGCCGACACTGTGGCCAGATGGAGTGGGCTACGGCTTCGAAACACTAACATAACCACCAAAAACTTAACTTTTCATGACCAGCCTCACGCCCACTAGGTTTCTCATGTAAAAATGCCTACTGCGCCCCATGCTGATCCGAAGACAGCCAAGCTACCAACTAAATCAACCATCCAAGGGTTTGGATGCCGTTGAGCACTCACCGAACGCCATTCTAGCTTCCTCAAATCTCCCAACGTCAGCAGAATCCATGACGAAGATTAACCCGTGCGCGTCAGCGTAATATTTTTCCCACAATGATCGTACGCGTACCTGTAGGAGGTGATCGCGAGGTGCGACGCAAGGATGAGAAGGTTGCGACTCAGCACAATTGTTCGATTCCAAGGACCTTGACTTCAGCCAAAAGTTACGGAGGCAAATTAACGAAGAACAATTAAAGAACTGGGATTGTCACCTCCGAATGTATCTTAGATCTGGCGTGTCAGATTACCTGTCGGATAAGATCTACCTTGTGGGTACTGCCACAGATTAGAGCAAGTGGACACGCTGAACCCGCTTGCAAGTACAGCGGGCAAGCTGGCTCGCGCTTTCACTCTGCATGCTCAACCCCTAGTACCTCTATTATGACTGGTAGCGTTCTCGCCCCGTTTCGTACCGTCGCCCCCTCTCTCATGAGTGGTTGAGCCTGGTTTTTACTCCACACTTTTCACACACGAAATAACTGCGTCAGTAGCGCAGAAACCGGAGACCCCCGTCTCATAGAACCCAAATCAAAATTAAAGAACTCGACGTCTTTCGCCCACAGAGTAAGCTCACAGAAACACCAAAACTAGGTCGTTTCGCAACGGCAGGAAGCTTGAGGGAGCATGGGCTAGCGATGTTGTCGAAGGACTATTGCCAGATCTGTTGAAATCGCAGCGTTCTTGCAATAACAATACTGCTGTCGTTCCGTGTGTCCCGTGGAGATAACCATCGCCAGCAAGACACGACCTCCGCCGTGCAAGCCTCTGCTGCACCCTAACGTGCCTTGAGTGAGAATTAATGTTTTATCCCTCCAACTTGTAGCAGCGTGGTCACAATACTAATACTGCTGTCGCACATGTATTGTTCCAGCCTCTTAATCGTCCATTAGAAACACACGTTCACCACCTCCCCCGTCAACCGATGCGAGAAGAGAGGTAGATGAGTCCACGCGAATTTATCACCCGGAGTCTTACCTGTCCCCCCAAGTCCCAGAACGTGAGCTTGCAGCCCCCCACGTCCATCTTGCCAACTGCCAATTCAACACGCGAGACGCATGCAATGAGAAAAGAACTGGGTTGGATACCAGCGTACGCGGGGTTCGCCCAAGGAAGAAAAGCACATGTACCACCCCCAACAGGATACCTCCTTAGACCAACGATTCGCGTTTCTTTCAAGCCAGCAAGAATCAGCGAGTAGCACGTTCTCCTAGAATGCCTTCACCTTTCACAGTCGGTTCTATTTTCGAGTATGCATACATGCCATCAATGCAAGGCCTGCTTGTCGACAGTCGACAGTCGACATGGCCCACCGTTCAATCCCACTGTTGGCGGAATCTTGGACGGTGGTATCCCCTGAACTTTCTTGAAAATGCCCTTCATCTGCTCCAACAATGTCTGCCGGTTTCGAGGAACGGCAGATGTGAGAGTTTCGCTGACAAACAAAGCACAGAGTACAGTACTTCAGCAACTATTTACAAGCCACATCTGCACCATTACGTACCGGTGGGACCAGCTACAATGCTACAATGGATGTGTACGTAGATGCGGCGGAATACCAATTCCAGCGAACACCCAGACGAAGATGGACATTCAGGGTTGCAAGCAAGCCATACACGACATGGAACTCACAGTTTTACCCGCGTAGTCCAGCCCCAGAATAAGGACATTGATCTCGGTCTTGGAAAATAGGTACCGAATCAGGCCGGCAATGAGCGAGAACTACATAGGAGAAGCGGAGAAGCGGAGAACCAAGAGGGCGGCGAAAAAACAACGGGGTTCAGGAAAAATGCGGGATAATAGCAACCATTCCTAGCCACCTAGCCATCCTAGTCTCAAACGTACTAGCTCTCCGTTTCTCACCATTTATCAACGCGCCTCGCCGAGAGCAGCAGCTCTCTCTTGATCGTGCTGGTTGTGCACTTTGTGTCTCTCATGGGACGCTCCACCACGTGCCCAATCTCTCCAAAACGCCGCTCCCATGGTACTATGTACCCACGGGTTGTAGCTGCGGGTTGCGGGTGCCCTCTACGGTCATTGCTTCACCGACCCAGGACCAGTCACAGCACAGAGCAGCAGAACAGCAGCAGCAGCAAGCAGCAGTCCTAAAGCCAACAGGAAAGCAGAAGATCTATGCGCAGTGTCGCCATTGTGACCGACAGGTTCCTGTGATATGGCCCGAAAAGAGCTGCCGCAAGCCCTTACCCTCGAGAAGTTTGCCGCTGGCAAAGACGGTCGTGCTAATGCCTTCAAGAAAAAGAAACAAGGTGAGACAGGGAGCGAGCGATGCATGTCCAACTACGGTAAATTTCACATAGTGGAGTTGCGACCACAGACTGACGTAGGCTTTGTCAAATCTCACAGAAACATCTCACATCTCACTTCAAAGAGAGTACTAGTCTTTATTTACTTCAACGGCATGTTATTTGAACAATCCAAGGCAGTTGACGTCGTTGTGGTGCAGATAATACCGGCGGTGGCTCATGATTGCGTACAACACATCGACGTGTGTAGGTACATGTAACACTCGCGTTGGTTCGCCTGATATTCTCTTGTACAGCAGGAAATACCGCCGTCACGTGTGTCGTATTGCAGTGAAAGCAGTAGGCCGTAGCATTGTTCCGACCAAGAGGAGCGCTTTATCTTGACCCCCTTGTTATTGCAGCCAAGAAGCGCAAACTGTTCGAGAAGGCCCAGCTCAAACGACAGTACGCCAAGCTCTTGAAAAAGGAAGCGGTCACGGCAAGAGGGGAACACGGGCCTGACGCTCCGCGATCCGATGGTGCGGCTGGTGTCGGGAAAGAGAAACGTGCTGGCCGTTTGGTCCTTACACCCAACCGGAAGTGGAAAGAAGAGGCAAGTGGAGGAGAACTGAAGCGAAGGCGGGAACTTTCGGATGATCGCCAGAGCGGAGAGCGACAGCAAGTGGCAGAGGGGCGGAAGCAAGAACAACGCAAGCCGGGAAAGTGGAGGAGACCAGAGCACCGACCAGACCCTTTCAAAGCTGCTAAGGTGAAGGATCATCATGAACGTCATCCGATCGTATGCCACGAAGTTGGAAAATACTACCTTTCTCCTGTACGTAGCACCTTCCCCCCCCCCAAATCTCCCCCCAAATCTCGAGGTGAGCTTGGCCTCAACCCTCGGGGGCACGATCTCGTGTGCTCTCATTTTTCAGGCACTCCAAGGCGTTACGACAAGGAGATCATTTGGGGGCTCACCCAAGACTGACGTTCAGCACAGTGCTTTGCTCGTGGGCCTTGTGCAGCACATCACAGCTGTCTGAAGCCGGTTTTAGAAGAAATTTGTATTTTCCAACAGGCGGAAGCACAACTACTTGCCGCATAATCCCAGTATGTTTTGTAGGCCGAGGAAAGAACGTAGCCACTCAGCTAGAAATGTGCCTGGCATGCAGGTATGGGATAGGGTCTCCCGAGGTTGCACAATTTTGACTCGCGTCCCGATGATCACCAGAGACATGATTGTTGCGACCTGGGTTACTCAAAGCGAATAACGGCGGTAGCGGAATCAGCGAGACCAGCGCACCGCATAGAAACATCCCCGATTCGTCGAAAGGGAGCTCATACATATCGAGCTTGTTGGTGCAGCTCTTCCCAGTTACTCACCGACGGCTCTGCCTCATTTGGTGCAGTAAGGTTTCATTGTATTGGATCGCAACTGCTGCAGCAGGTGCTTCAAAACTACTGCCGTTCCTCTGGGATTTGTTGTCTCTGGGGAGATGTGCTTCCAAGTGTTTCTCGAGGACACAAAATATATTTTGCGACGTAATGTTTTGAAGCAAGGGTGAAGATGAATGTGAGGGCACGTCTATTGTAGTGAAGGCCATGACCATCAGCCATTTCATTGATCTTGCCACGAAACATGGTCAGAAAGCCAGGCACTCAGGTGCATTCTCGCCGCCTGAAAGCTGGTATTGAGAAGAACGTTTTGATCCAAGTTAGGTGCCAACAGAGAGCGAGAGCAGGTACCACAAGATAGACTAATGATCTGACCCTTGAAACCTAAACCACGGACCTGTCGTATTTCATTTCCTTGAGTACGTCATGCTCGGCGGGCTTACTATCGCGTCTCTCCGAGGAGTTCTAATCCTTCACCTACCAGCGTGTGTCTGCTGCTGCTACTACATGCGCAAGTCATCTGTAGACGAAAAGCAACAAGGTATTGTAGTACGCCGTGATGCTCTGCTGTTGTGACGGGCTTTTGCCTGCCTCCCGAAGACCCATCACCTGGGACACTGATACAAAGGCAACACTAGCGGCAGCAGCAATTTTTGTTCGCGTACACCTGATGAACGGCACCATGTTTTTACGTTTTTACCGTGGATCACCCGCAGAGTTCCCTTGTGTGGTTTTTGGTTTCTCTTTGGTGCGGGTTGGACCCGCACACTCGGGGGGAGCCGGTTCTTTTGAACACGCCAAGGGGTGACACCGGAGTCGTTGTTTTCCACCTTCCTGTGTGGTGTGTACATACGTTTCATCTCGCGATTGTTGTACGTAGCCACGAGATGTTAGAGCTCAGTTCAATGTTTTGAGGCGAGCCGGCGGTGAAATTTGTTCCCGTGGCTCAAAAAGAGTTCGGAAGTTGCATTAGTTGACGAAGTTTGCAAACTTCCTTGCGAGAGAATCGCAAGCGTACGCTTACGTTCATGGTGCGGGTGTCTACTCTTGCCCTTTCGTAGGCGACAGCTGACCAACGGAGGCAGGAGGCAGAAGAAAAGCAGCGGAAGAGAGACATGACAGTGGCGGAGAAGGAAGGCCGAGCCAAGAAAAGGAAAAAGCAACACGCGTTGTTGTCCAAACGCACAAGGGGGGGGCAACCGGTGATGAAAAACACCATGCAGCACCTTTTGGAGAAGATTCAATCACAGCGATGACATTTAAGCAGCTGTCGAGCACACAGGTTCCCAGGCCACGCGTGTAATTTTTGAAGTTTTCTTACGCGTAGAATCAATTATGATAGATCGTGCACACACATTTTCTTGTCATCGAAAGAATGTCAGAGCGGGTCAAGCGTGATTGATCACTATCGAAGTAGAACCAGTAGGAGGGCAATAGGATACGTTATGGTGGCACAGCGCGATTCGACGGAAGGAGGTCAGTCGCAGAAGCGCTTGAGTATAGGTAGGCGCACTTAACGACTTTGTCCAAGAAATGGTTTGACACACAAAAGACTGTTTTTTTGCATCCCTGACCCGAAACACCAACCGGTTGGTGTGGTCCAATTGATGTGGTCTTCATCATAACACCGTTGATAGGTGCTGGGATGGCACAGTTGGGTACGTGCCGAGAGAGGGCTGGTGTCTGTGAGAAACGTATTACTACATGGAGACCACCAATGGCCACCAGCGGTAAGCACTAGGTAGGTGGCTGCAGGTTCTTTCCGTGGCAAAACGGATACCTAAAAAACCCAAAGCTATCACCCTCCCTCGGGTATTCAACCTTCTAAAAAACCATCTCCCTCAAATTGCACCTAGACTTGCTGCAATTGTCCATGCAGTTGGACGAAGTGCCAACAGATAAAAACATGGGCTACTAATGCCAAGTCCGAAAAACTTGCCGACATTTTGAACAGCCGGCGAAAACATTTTCTAATGAGCCTAATATTTTCGCGGTGTACCGCGATCTACTATTTTCGGTACAACCGTTGTTCGTCTGTAGTGGGGCTCGCAATTGTGAGGCCCGAATTTCCCAAGGCTCAGCCAAACACACACGTGTCGAACGTTAGTCCGCGACAATATCGAAGATGGGACACGATATGGTTGTCGTATACGGCATCAGGCACAGCAGTAGCTATACTCTGATCCTGGCACACGCTACAAGCTCGCAGCATCGTACGTTTAATTATCTTAGGCAACGATAGCGTCGAGCTTGCCCACGGCCTCGTACGCCAAGAGCTCGTCAAGTAGAACTTGGAAATCCGCGTCGCAGATCACAGCCAAGTCCTAGAGAAGGAGAGCGTCACACACGGCACGGCGGGGGGTTCGAGACATTTAGCACGCTTGCCGACGCACCATAAAAAGCGCAGATCGAGCAACCGCCAAGAAGAAGGACGAGGAAATTCAGAAAGGGGGTGAGCGCCCCTTTGTGCGTCTCTCTTCACTAGTAAATGTCAAAATCTTTTGCGCTACATAATCTAAGGCAGCCTCTGCAGTGGTTCGTACGAAGCCAAATCTAAAACAACACAAGCCAGCCGAACACACCCAAGTCAAGCCCGTCATCATTTGGCATTGCAACTTGCGAAAGCACTTGCCTTACGCTACAGGTCTCACCCCAACCGCGCACGTGTACAAACGGGATCTGAACCGCGAAAGAGTACTTCCGCGGATTATGTTTATCGTACTTGGGCAGCGGCACATCAACCTTCTTTGAAAGGCTGTAGCATGAATTTTATGTTTTGTTTGCGTGCTCGCATATTTAACGTTCTTACATCAGCGTGAAACCGTGGAGCAATCAATCCCTATGCATACGTTGTACAGATTGTCCATCAACGGGGGTTGATCTGCTGCAAGAATATGTATACCCCTAACGGTAGATAAAGCTAGGACGACCAGGCGTCTTGGGCGCCAGGTGAATCATTACCACACAGGGCACGTTCGACACGTGCAGGTAAGACCTCCACACGGGTTACCTCACCTTCTCGGAAACCATGCCTCCGTCGCCTTCAGACACTACAGCGTTGTTGAAAACGCGGATCGCAGAGTTCATACGAGCACGGTCCATGGCGTTACGGACCTGTGGAAGGAACCGGCGCACACAACACGAACGCGTTAGTTGGTACTTTAAGAGGACGCGCGCTGCAAGGTTCGAAATCGACATGCCATGAACGGCAAACTACGTCAAACAACTTAGCTTTTCTCCATGGGTAAACCTTCACCACAGATATAACTCAAGGCGTGCAACCCTACACCTCTCAGCGTGCTCAGCACTCACAGTTCGCGCGTTGGAGAAGAAAGGGAACTTCATGCGGGTCTCGATGTATTCCTTGAACACCGCGAGGGCCCTGTGTGCGAACGCGGGCGAATAAATTCCGACAGCAACGAGAGTTCAGCTACGTGCCGAGGAAAAATTGAGGAGAAGCAAAAAATACAAGGGCGCTTCGCGGCGTACTGCGCGATGTCACGTGTCTGCGGGTTTGAGAAGTGGCATTCTGACATGGAGACCACCATGTTCGACCCAGTCACCCAGTCGTAACAAGCACTACGCTGTATTGAGGTGTAGTTTCCAGACTGCTCTGCGTACTACACTAGGCGCAACCCACCCCGCTTGTCGTCGGGATCGAGAGGGCAACGCACCACAGCAGTTGGGCATGCGGAGACTTGGCTGCTTGGTTGTCGCGTGTGGCAAGGGTGTGAACATGTGTACTGTAGCCAGCGCAATAAAAAATACCACGTCAGTCTCTTAGCAATGTATTGTAATGTGGCCTGGACTGATGGGCGAGGCGTCGTAGATCTCGGAGAAGAGACCTTCTGCCCTCCATAGCGCTGCGCGATGTCCGCTACGAGAGTGCGCGGCACAGCGGGAGGGCCCTCGCAACTCAGAGCTATCGGTAGATGCAAGTCTCGCCGCGAGGCGAGGTCCAGAGGCGGAGAACCGCAAAAAAACAGCCCTACACGCAATCAAGCATCAAGATTGCAAATGCTGAAAGCCCGTGCACCATCAATCAATCCGCAGGAAGTTCGTCTATAATAGGTCAATATGGATTTGCGTGACGACGCACTTGTTCATTTTGTTCCGAGGAATGTCGAAAAAGACCTACGAAACACACTAGTGACTCAAGGCCCAACTGAGTTGCCGTCCACTGCCACGAGAAGTAGTAATAGGCACCGTAGAGGCGACTTGACACGGATGATACTTCGCTGAAGACAAGAGCGAACATGCAAGAAACAGAACACTTACGCGTCGTCCATGAAGTACTGGAGGTCCCTGGCCATCACCATCGCGATCTCTACCAGCTCGTCGACCAAGTAGTTGGGGAAGTCGATGTGGTTTCCGATACGGCTCGACATACCCGGGATGTAGGAGAAGAAGCGGTCCATGCGGTCCTTGTATCTGCAATATCAATCAAGGCCAAGGGACACGTTTGAAACACCAACAATACACCCTAACACCATGTGCATCGCATGCTCTCTGAGGTGGCATGCTACACAAACGGCTACGCAGGATTCATGTGCTGAAAGAGCCGGGGTCTGGCCATATGCCTGCATCAACTTTGCCATACTCAGAATCTCGCGCAATCCCAAAAAGGCGATGAGCGCACCCGGCAAGAGTGACGATGAGGTCGTCCTTCTGCTCCTCCATGACGTTAAGGAGGATCTCGATCGACTCCTGACCGTAGTCCTTGTCGTTCGCCGCGTTGTACAGGTAGTACGCCTCGTCGACCAGCAGAATACCTCCGAATGCCTTCTTGATCATTTCCTGCAGGAAGGGGAATTAGTGAGAACGGTTTCAGAAAAACTGGCTTGTCATCGAGATTTTAAGGCATTTAATGTATTTTGCACCTGGCACGATGTCATCGAGGTGGAGCACTTGCAAATACACGAAACCGCTGGAGACAGGACGGACGGGGGGACAACCAAACCACAAATGGCAATAAGCAGTCCACTTGGCAAGATATCGGCACGGACCTTGGTCTTGGGGGCGGTGTGGCCAACGTACTGGCCCACCAGGTCGTCCCTCGTTGCCACCACGACGTGTCCCTGTCGGCAGTAGCCCATACGCTGCAAGATTTGCCCCATGCGAAGAGCAACGGTGGTCTTACCCGTGCCGGGGGCGCCCGTGAAGCACATGTGGAGGGAAGGCACGGAAGTGTCGAAGCCCAGCTTGCCGCGCATCTAAGACGAATAGAGAAAACGAGGCAGGGAGCAGAGCGAATCGCCAGCATTAGTTGCAACGATGCGGAGCTACAGGAGGCTCAGAAGTGTCCGTCCGCTGGACGTGTTGACAACGTAGGCTGGTTCATCTTGGGCTCCACGCCACCAGTGTCAGCAATACAATAATCGGTAGATGCTGACCGCAGTTCTCGACCGCGCACGGATCTACCGTCGGCGGGATTCTTTGGAACATTTTTACTATTTGTAATGCGGACTGGGCTTCTGAACGCCGACGAATTCGAATGGACACACCAAACGGCTACAGTGAGTGACACTGTTCTACTGCTGTAGTATGCCGCAGACTCACAAGCACAACTAGCAAACAACAACCTGGAGGGTGCTCGCACTTCCAACATGTAAGTTAGCAGTTGCCAGGCGCAACAAACTCGAGTAGTCCCCGCATCCGTCAGTACATCCAGTTGTTGGCTGTCGGGTGCGAGAAGCTGATAGCATCGGGGGTGCCTCGACGGTAGCATCATCAAATGAACCCAAGAGGGACGCCACCATGGAGTACAAGAGTCTGCAGCAAACACCATCTCACTTTGTCAAGCACCAGCAGGGCGGCGATTTGGCGCACTCTCAGCTTGACGGGAATCAACCCCACAAGGTCCGAGTCCAGCTTCTCGAGGATGTCCCGTACGCCCTCCTTGAACATGAACTCTTCAACGGTACCCACCTGCAGCGCCGGCGGGGAATAATATATAGTGGGTTATCAATTCCGCATTTTTGGCCTGCCTATGTCGTCCAACATGCAACTCGCACGCACGCGATGTAAAGCGGGCGTGACTGCTGTATTCCGCAACAGATTCCTCTGCGCTGCTGGCACTCCTAAATGTCTCATGGGCTTCAGTTCATTGACAAGGATTTTCCTGATTTTCCTCACCACCATCTAAACGGGCAAACAAGCCACTTTCCGACAGCGGCAGGTACTTTCGCATCCTCGAATCGTGCATCAACTCCCAACTGCTGTGAAAACCATGACCTCGCCTCGGTGTTGTCGGGCATGTCCTCCATGAACTTAATCTTGGCCATCCTCGCTTCTCGGCGGATCTCGCCCGCCCTCGCCCTCTGGTCTGCCGCCTCCTCGGCCAAGCGAGCCTCCACATCCGCAGCCTGGAGAGAGCAAACCAATCCTTGTCTTATCAGAGAAGTCCAACAGAAGATATCAAACCAACTCTCTGTCTCCCCCATGCTACTCGTCGTTGGCAAATTGCGCGGGCACCAAGTTTGGATGCGACTTCGCTCTATCGAGAGGACAACATCGAGAGCTACTCGTACGTACCGCCGTCGTACCTAAGTATATCACCTTGCTGTAAGAAAGCGCAACAAAACGTTGAAATTCAACAGAACATCTACTTTCATCTGGAACTACCGCGGTTCTTCCACACCAACAGCTCCCTGGAAATCAGTACAACGAACCGCGCCATATTGTGCGAGTGATGCAACCCGCCGTGCCCTTTAGCTTCGCTCTATTTATAGTCTATGTTCCCCAACCAAGACAGTGCGAAATCCGGCCGATGGGTCTGCTATCGACGAGATCGACATCTTTCCAAAACCGTTCTTTTCGGCAGCCCTGCCCTCTCGATTGTGGCGCAATCGAGCTACGAATGCCTGTCTAGGAGAGGGTGCGACCTTAGGGTTAGGTGTACTCACACTTGCGCCATACATCCGACGAGTGAATCGACTTTCCTGCGTACGCACACTGATCGTCATGCTTTCGTACGCAAAACGAGATCCAGGTTGTAGTCCTGTTCGAACTTGCAGTTGATTTGAGGAGATGGCGTGCAGTGCGATGTTTTTCGGGGGTATCAAAGAGCCTGCAGAACCACCGCACCTCACACCAGGAGCAGGCCCACACATATTTTCGTTCTCAGCACGGCTGCGGAACTGATGGCGACGACGGACGGGTCAAAGATGCAAACGCCAAACGTCACCCCGCGAGGTGTTACATACCACGTGCATGTTACACACAAACTTTTCCACACCTCTAGCGCTTCGGACAGCTTCCGGTAGTTTCCCGCGTTCTTCTCGTCGCCATACTTCTCCGGATTGTACTCGAGACTCTTGCCCGTTCCAGTCCCGACCGTGGGCTGCGCCATCGAGAGCGCGCTGCGGCTTGATGCGCCCGTTGCTGGACGAGTGAAAACCGGGATCTGGAACGCGGCCGTTCCCGTAGCTCCGCACATGGCGAGCGCAATCATCGCTGCTGCCTTCATAATTAGATGGAGGGATGTGTACTAGCAAACCTTCCTGTTCCTACGCGCAAGAATTCCGTCGTGCGCAAGAGAGTTCGTCGCTCTGGCAAGCTAGAGAGAGCAAACAGGGGGGTCCTGCTCAGCGTATGAGTTCTACTGCTGTTCATGACGAAACAAGTCTGTCAGAGGAAATCTGCGCACGAAAATATAAGCCCTCCATATCTCTACGTAGCAATCCAACGCTTTCGGCTTTTGTTTGGCTTTTGGCTCTCTTGTTTGGGCTCGCACGCTCGCACGCTCGCACAGCAGCAATTGGGGTACTCACCCATCAAGCACCGGAGACACAGCTGTTCGGGTGTGTCAGTGTGTGGCGCAATTCACCATGTTCGGCACGGGAGGAGGATTCGGAACAGGTGGAGGGTTTGTGCCAACACCAGGCTTCGGTCAAAGGGAAACAACGCCCGCGGTCGGAGCAGCAGAGACGCCAGGAGGGCAAGTGTCCACAGCCCAGCCGTTTGGACAACAGGCCTCTGGAACCAACGCAGCTCCATCGCCTAACCCTGGCAAGATTGCGGCTGCTGCTCCAGCTGCAGGAGATTGCTACTACTTCTTACAAGGCACTTGCACCAAGGTTTGTTCATTTCTCTTGTTACGACAGCCGAAGCTGGCAAGAGTATGCAGCAGACGAACCCCACTACTGCTGTACCTGCACAGAGAGGTGCATCGTACATGGTTCCGTCAACGACAAGCTACCGTTTGGCACTCGATTACTGCACCAACCAATGGAATACGTAACCCTTTGTTTTGCGCGCACCCGAAGCTTTGAAAGCGAAATGATTTTGAACCCCGAAGTTGATTGTACTGATGTTTCAGCTGTTTCCAGCAACCAACCCTCGGGTCCACACCCTGAACACCCTGGGACAGAAGTCACCGACTTCCTGAATATCCCCTGACCAATGCAGCGTGATGCTGCCAGCATGTCCTTCGGTTGTAGGTACCTTTGTTTGTTTCGTCTTCACAGGCATTAATCCTGAAAAGGGTGCCCCGCGCCACGCGTGCAGACCTCTGCTGAGCAATTCCCGTAACGCCTGAGTTTTTGGGTTTCCACTATCGTAGGCAACACAACTTCAGCTTGACAATAGGCCCACATCCCAACATAGGGGTCCAACAAAAATAATTAAATTATTTTCCCGCGAAAAGAAGGGGCGGAGAGAGACATCAAAGCAAGCGTAGATACATATGGATGGAGCCTACGCCACGACACAGGTCACCAGTGCACACGCTCACACCTCACCCCACACCACCAGTCAGTCAGGGGATGACTGAGAGCGCCGTTTAGCTCTCATATTCTAATCATCAGCTACATGTAGCTGCTGTTGCTGGTGCCGTGCAGGATGGGTGTGCACTTGCTTTCCTCGCTTTCGCTGCTGGCAGCGGGCAACGGGCTACAAAAAATCGCCCCCGATGCCTCCTACGATGTGCATATTTGGCCGCCCTTGGCCTACAGCGTTGTGTACGTCTCGCTTTTGCGGGGGTGCTTCTGTGGTGGAAGCAAAGATCGGCCTGCAGACGAAGACAGACCGCAGACAGATTTGACTTGTGTGCACTCGCATGCTCCCTCGCTTACGCTTCTAGCAGCAGGCCAAGGGGTCTACAAATAGCTTCCGACGCCAGCCATGATGTGTGCCTTTGGCCGGCCTTGGCCTACAGCAGTGTGTACGTCTCGTTGTCTCTGTTGTGGGAATGCGTCTGTGTGAGAAGCTCCAAAGATCGGTAGGTTGAGTATGATGCGGACGGACCGCACAGGTTGACTTGCGTCGTCACTCGTGTGTGCTGCCGACAGCAGGCAACAGGCTGTAAGAGTCACATCCAACGCCCTCTGTGATGTGTGCCTTGGCTGCCCTTGGCCTACAGCAGTCCGTATGCTGCTGTGCTGGTTGTCTCGTATGTTGTCTGCGTGGTGTGTGTGGTTCTGCTGTGCAACATGACTTCGGGGATTCTCCCGAGAACATTGTGCCCATCGCCCCATCATCTGTCCCTGTCTTACAACTGTCTTACAAAATCGACGGGTGATGGTGGGAGATGGATGTCTACGCCGCACCATAGAGAATTGTAGGAAGTTCTTCCGTGTCTTACAAAAAAGATCCCCGATGTATGGGTGCTCTGCCTCACAATACAATACACGGCAAGCAGTAGTGGAAAGTGGAAACCCACATTTTCAGGCATTTCGGGAAATTTTAGTTTCACAGAAGAGATCTTATGCATCTGTACCAACAATACCTTCTTTCTCTGAAGCTCCGATTCTAAAAGGACACACCCAGAAGAAGTATTGTGCCGGACATGGAACCGCGAGAAGACTTACCCAGGTGTTTCCTGGATTGCATTCGTGAACAAGAACTGGCACAGCGTACCTGGGCATTTATCACAGAAAATTGGTCTCCACCGCCGTGTTGCGCTTGAAAAGCAAAGGAAAATAGTGCCCACCCGCGGCAATCCGCTTGTATTAGACCTTCCCACTTGTCAACTAGTGTCGGAGATGAAATCAACAGCTGGATCCAAGCAACCAACGATCCGGACCCGGTTACGGATGAATTCGCGAGAGCCTAACCACGAAGGCACGGGTACGCTGCCTAGTTCAGCTCAAGCTCGAGGTTCAAATGCTGTTTAGGATTCAAGGCAGACCATTTTTCAATGACGAATGGTTGTTACGCACACGGAGCCCGCCCAGGCAATGCCAGGTGCTATAGAGAAGGCCTAATGGCAACCTCTTGTCCGTCCTGTTTTATTCGCGAACTCTCGTCGCCGCTCAGGGTAACAATTGCCTTTTTCGACACAGCGAAGCCGCTAGAGCATCCGGCATCGTGTGTCGATTTTGGCAGAATGGCTTCTGCAAGGATGACGTCAACTGTCCTTTCCTACACCCGGTAAGCGGGGTTAGTACAAGGATAGCTTGGCATCCAACATAGCTGATATGTCGGTTTGGAAATTAGTTCGCTTCAATGTACGCCGTGGCTGTTACTTTGAGTCCGAAGCAGTTGCTCATTCCTTTGTCACTGGTACCTGATTTCCGTACACCAAGTCTCAGCTCGCAATCATCATGAAGCTGAAAATATTTCATGTCGTCTTTTTTGGGGGTTGCAGAAAGAGTTTTGAATGATTAAAGGAAGTTGATCTACCCACCTAACATCTCGTTGGATGTGGTGAGTCCACATGAACAACTTGTTTGCTCGTCGCTTGAAGCTCTGGGTACACATCTTGCGACCAATAGGAAGTGCATCGGGGAGTCAGCGACGTGTGTACATGCGATTGCAGCCTGGTGCGACGTACAATGCCACGCCCCCTACTGTAGTGCACCTTGATCATGTGACTTTCCTCCCTCCGTGACGCAGGTTAGAGGACAAGGGATGGGCGGAGGCCGTGGCGGTCGATTCGGAGGTGGGCGCGGAATGGCTGCAGGCCGTGGCGGCTTTGGTGGAGGTCGTGGGGGCCCGCGTTTACAGGGTTGGGAGACGGTGGATCGCAGCAAGCAAACGTGCGTGTTTTTTGTGCAAGGAAAGTGCACGAAGGGCGATGCATGCCCATTTAGCCATGCCATCCCTTCGGAAGGAGGCGTCAGCCAAGCAGCCGAGGCTAACCACCTGCCGCAGCGTGCAGCGGTACCCGAGGGGCGACCCCAACCACCTGCTATGGATTCCTCTCCCGCACCCGTGCCGGCTGCTCGGAACGATAGTGTGCCGCAAACCAAAACTAGTGCATCGGAGGCATCGCGCGGAGAAGAGACAAAGGCAAACGGGATTCCTGGGCAGAGCTCAGCTTCGGTGCGTGTCTCAGGTGCGGGGCGAGAGGAGGCACGGTCATTTTCTCGGCGCGTCGGTGCGTTCGGTGACGGAGCTTCCAAGGCGGACCCGGCCTTAGCGGTGGCGAGTGCCGGTAAGGCATACGTGACTGCCCGAAATGGTCAAGCTCGTGCTACTTCTTCATCGGATCAGCGCCAAGAAGCACCGGGGATAATCGTTCTGCCTGATGGTGGCCTTGTCACACGCAAGAGAGCGGCAGAGCTGCAACTGCGGAAGGATGAACGTGGAGACGCGGAAGCCAGAAATGTGCGGCAACGAGACGGTCGAGAGCAGGGCCGAGCACAAGAACGCAGGCCTACGTCGGGTAGCAGAGGTGTGCTACCGGTTGGTCGCGTACCGATCCTGGACCGTTTGGGCCCAGTGACACAGGCATCGGACACGGCACCCACGACGGAATGGATCGTTGCCCCTGCCAGGATTCGACGCGAAGCCCCTACTCTGCAAGCCCGGAAGCGAGAAGAGCCGCGCCCGCACGTCACGCCGGTCGAACGCCCAGGTTTGCAGCCGTCTTCGTCATCATCGCTTCCAAGGTCTCGGGTTATGGCTTCGGCGCTGCCCACGCGCCGCACGGGGGGTGGGCGGGGTGCCGGCGGCGATTCCACTTCGGCGATCGCTAGACCGGCAGTAGTGGCGCAACGTAAATCGAGCGCACTGGATTTCAAAATTCCTACCCTCGATGAAATTAAGAGTCGAAAGGCCAAAGCGGAGGTGGCAGCGCCGAGGGTCACAACGAAAAGGGACCAAGCGTTCTCTGCTAGTAATGGGGAAAAGCCTATGTCAGCAACGCCAGCTGCGCCAGATGCTGTTGAAGAAGCGCCTACTTCACCCAACTCTGTAGTATCAACCACTGTAGGAGTGCAGCCCTCTTTGCCATTACCGGCACCAGCACCGACACCGACGGTGCAGAGTGATCCCCCGCAGTTGGACGCGGAGGATATGGATGAGTTTAGTGAGTGGCTTTAGACAGTTGTTATAAGGTTGGTGTGTTAGTTTGTTACCGCGTTGTTTTCTGGGTTGAGTACCGGTGGGTCTGGGTTGTCGAAAGGTAGGTGTGTTGTGTGCCATGGCCGGTTCCGGCTCGTCCGTACGCGCAATAGCGTCACGGGCTGGGTATAAATACTGTGTCGGACTTTCCGACAAATGCGGCATGATAAGGGGTATGAGGTATAAACAGAGATGATGCGAGGTCCGCACTGGAGCCTCGGCGGCGCCAGGGCACTTTTCGGTTGGGGCATGTATTCAACCACCTTCATCCCGGCTTCGCTCGACAGATTAATTGGTTATTAGTGCCTTGCTCTCGGTTACCAACATACATGCCCGATGTGGGAATCAAGTTGACTTGCCGTGGCTATGGGTGAACCGAGGTAGACCGTGTCAACCTTGTCATACCGGAACGTCACCGTTCGAATAAGAAGAGGAGTTTTGAGCTCGAGAAGCCCGCATAGGTCACCTTCGTCGTGAGGGCCCAAACAACATGTTGGGGCAAAAAAGAATCGTTGACGTTAGTGTTTGGCGGTTTGGTCTGGCGCAATGCTGCTGCTACTGCTGCACGCATTGTGCTACTCGATCACCCGCACCGCTGATGTGGTTGAACGTTACTCATGGATACTGTCGGTGTTCAATTTTGTGGCCATGTGCCTAGACCTCGACAATCCTTACTGATCCTGCTTGGAACACGTCATGAACTGGTGTTAAGCTCTCAGCGCAGCTGCACCCCCGAGGTGTATATACGACAGGGCTCGCGAGCGCGAAGCGTGCTCCAGTAGCTCGGTACAGCGACCTAGGCCTACCCACTGAGCAACAACCTAGCTTGGGGTGTGGGTTAGGTTTAGGGTTTAGGGGCGGGTTAGACCAACAATAGTGAGGCCTAGCGCCGTGAAGCCCGAGGGCTGGAAACCTGTTAGTGGCTTTGGTTTCGTGTCTACCTCCAACCACAACCCAAAAACTGTTCAATTCCAGCGCTGGCGTATAATTACGGGGGTCCAGGTGCACCAAGGGAGCTTGTTTGAACCTAGTTCTACTATGGAGAGTCTCGGGGAATCCACTCGGAACCTCTCCAATGCCGAAAACGTGCCGTCTGTCAATTATTAACCTCTCTTACGCTCGAGTGCTGTTGAACAGACCTTCGGCAACTATGCCTAATAGCACCCCTCCTCGACAATTACGACCCCGCGAACACACGATCCACACATCTCCGTATTTACACTGCTTACCATCCCCAAAGTTCATTGGAAAGTTCGCGAGTAGGACACCAGTTCTGACTGGGTATGATAATGATGACATGGCTCCCAACGGGCAAAAGGTTAAGACCACCTTTACATCGCCGGAACCACGCACTTTCCCACTCTCTTCGCCCCGAAGTTAAACTTTCGATTCTAGCTCGGGCACGGCGTCGAAAAGATCAGCGACCAAGCCGTAGTCAGCCGCCTGGAATATGGGGGCCTCCTTGTCCTTGTTGATGGCCACGATGCATTTGCTGTCTTTCATGCCCGACAAGTGCTGAATTGCCCCAGAAATACCAACCCCAATGTACAGTTCGGGTGCCACCACCTTGCCTGTTTGGCCCACCTGTTAAAATGAGATCGAGCAAATGTCGCAGTCAAAGCCTACCCTACCTCTTGTGCAGTCTACACACTAAATGTGTGCATCAACAGTTGTTCGAGAAATCATGATCGCAGGTTGACACAAGCGCTTCCAATATAAAATACAACTTTTGAGGGTCTGTGCATTGTTGGCGAATGAGTACTCCGGATCAAAGTACTGCAAGGTCGACCTGTGTGAAACGCCAGATGTTACGCACAACTCGGAGACAGCAGTGTATGGGGTATGCTCACAGAAGTATCTGCATCCGGCTTCGGTAAAGCAACATTCAGCCCCTCCTCCTTCTAGAACGGCTCGCGCTAATAAAAGATTATCAGCACACAAACGCATCAGCACTCGACGAACACACGTGTGATGTTTTCCGGAGCATTCCCAGAAACGAAGACGTTTTGAAACAACCATGCTCAGCGCGCACAAAAAAGTAATCTAGACTTCTACCGTAATTCCATACATAAACACGTTGATTTTCGCCAGCGTTTATGCATGCCCTACCCAATCTCTCACCTGGAGTTCGTTTGCCACAAAGCCAGCATCAACAGCCGCTCTTGAGGCTCCTACTGCTCCTCCAAGTTTGTCTGCTAACTTCTCCAGGATTTTGAAGTTCTCGCCGTCCTTCAATCCACGGCCGCCAGCCACAACCACCCTCGCCGTTGTAAGGTCCGGTCGGTCCCCTCCACTTACGGATTCAGATACGAAAGACGCTAGACCAGCGTCGGCGCCACTCTCAGGGGGCACTGCTATCTCTACTGATGCGGTGCCTCCAGTGGCCTCCGCTTTCTCGAACGAGGTGGGTCGGACCGTCAGAATTTTCAAAGCACCCGCTGCACGTACTGTCGCAACAGCATTCCCGGCGTACATCGGTCGCACAAACGTCTCCTCATCGACTACTTTGAGGATATCCGTCACGGGGGCACAGTCAAGCTCGGCTCCTAACCGACCCACGAAGTTTTTTCCGGCCATGCTGGAAACAGCCAGGATGTGAGAATAAGCCCCATTTGCCTGCCTCGTTTAAGCGAACACGACCAGAAGAGTCGTGGGATGTGAAATAGGATAATCGCAACCAAACCTATGGCATACCATGGTGTATTGATACAGAATGAATGCCTGTTCGGCGGTTGTTCACACAGCATGGTCACCGCTCGGAACAACTACGCCCATGGCAATTCAAAAGATTCCTTTCTACTTATGCTCCTCTTTTTCAGCTACTTGTATTCTAGCAGCGCGAGTCGTTACGGTCGGTTCTCACCAATAACAGAATTGCGGCGGGCCTGCCTCCATTTTTAGCAAAATGGTGATGTACCTAGAGTCGTACACTTTCTTTGGTCTCTTGACGGAGCTCTCCAATATATACAGTAGTGTCACAATCTCTACCATGCGAACATTTTGAAGGTACTGTACTCCTTGAAAGCACGTTGGTGGTGGTGTGAGAGAAAAACAGTTGCCTACCGCTGTACCACGCATTTTGCAGCAGTGAGGCACGCTGAGCATCCAAGATACGAAGAAGTAAAATAAGGCGGTGTTGTCATGTGAGCATAATAGAGTGCTCCTTGGCACGTTTGTACGAACACAAGAATATCTTAGGTAGCCACCCAAACCACGAGCCACAGAAGCACAAGCCCCCCGCTCGTGCGTCGGCGCACCACGGTGATGTTCCGGTCCTGCTACGTTTCCGTACATGCTGCTGTGTGCTTGTTTGATCTATGCATACAGACAGCAGCTCCTTTGTTGGGTACACCTTCGTCGTCTCTCAATCCTGTTGCAGCAGCAGTGGTCGGTGGGTGTCCCATCGCACACACACACACGGGCACGCGAAAGCACTGAAGTCTGTGTGGGTGATCTGGATTGAATATCTCTTAGACAAGGCACCCAGGGCCAACGTTTGTCGTCTGAGACAGGGAACAGAGAATGCACAGAAGTAGCGCGGAGTGTTTTCGTCGATGTAACGGCATACCCTTACCTGCACCGTCGCCACCGCCCTGGACACGTTTTCCGCGACCCATGTTCCATATGCTGGATCGTCAGCATGCAGAACCTTCGAAACACCAGCAACGTGCGCTGCCTGCGCAAGCCGTGCGCGTGACGGAAAACAACGCACACGCGAGTTGACGCACCGAACGAAGTCATGGAATCTACAGGAGTTATGCTGTACTCTACCCGGTAAACACGTACTGTTCTCTTTTCTCGAGGGAGCGGATGCACCGAAGTTGAACTTGAAGTACATCGTCAGAACGCTCCGTGCTACTTCGTACTTCGTACTTCCTCTCTTTCACCTGCTTCGCCACGCCCTCGGAGTCATGGCCCAGGACAAGCATGGTGATGTCTCCGTTTAGCTGCGCCGCTGCAGTCACCGCACTGAGGGTGCTTGAGAGCAGATGCGAGTTGTCGTGTTCAGCCACGACGAGGCTTGACAGTTGACGTCGGCATGCCTGTGACAGCAGTTGCCTCGATCCAATCATTGCCAGTCGTCCACTCATCACTATCCGAAGGTGCTCCCCAGGTCCCCAGGTCAATCTTCTGGATGCGATATCACGACCTAAGCAGGCTCTACTCTGTATAACTAACTACAGCAGACAGCAGTGCGGCTAGCGTTGTGAATGTTGACAAACCAAACGGGGCTCCGCAGATGAATGTACTACAGCAGTAGTAGTAGGTGGTTAGCGGTCAGTAAAGGTACTCCGAACATGGGAGCTGGACAACCCAGAACCAACAATACCTTTTGGCTGGAGCTACATAGCTGTTCACCAGCACACACCGCCCACTGCTGCTGTTGTGCTCGCTGTCTTCCTCTTATCCCTTGAGCGCAAGATAGACTGGTCGAGCGTGGAAGAATCGAACTTGTGGGGTATGAGCTCTGCTGGATTTGGTGAGAACACCGTCCGCCTTGGTCTACCGGACCTGATGATTGTGGCAATACATTGGTATGCATCCGGAGTATTTCCGACGGCTGTTTCGCGCTGCTCGCCCGCCAGAGGAGCTGTTTTTCGGTAGATGGCTCTTGAAGCGATTCGACAGGCTTGCTGTCGGTAAGAAAGATGCCACGATCCGTCGGAGAATCCGATTATGTGCTACGTACTACACGAGCAGTATGTATGTACCAGCAATTTCAGCTCTACTTCAGGCTTGAGTACTTCCATCTGCAGCAGACTCTATTTACAGCAAGTCTACACCTTTCGGTGTATGCTTGACGTACCAGCCGGGTTCACACGGTCCCACAGGAGGAATGCTTCAAACAGGAGGGATTTTCGTACTCCGCCTCCTGCGCTACTACTTTTTTCAACTTTTTCGGGAGAAGTGTTCAGCGGCCCTTTGTTTATTGATGCTGTTGTTGTTGTTGTTTTTGTCTTCACATTAAAAACCGTTCCGTTCCTAGTACCTACTGCTGTGCTTGATCTTCATTGCGAATTCATGTGTACTCCGAATGCATTCGAACCCGCAACTGCTGTCACCCAGAAGTTTTTATGAGACTTGGTCATGAGGTTACCAGGACCACCGGGGCGTGGTATATAGGTGTAGGTCATATATAGGTGTAGTTCAGCGTTTGCCTCCAACCTCCCTTATATACTGTGGTGTGAATCTGATCAGTGATGAGCGTCGTTGCATGGCTTTGGAAGGTGTTTGTCGTATTCGTAAGTTCAGACAAACACGATTTTAAAAGTGTGGAGGTTGATGTTTTGGACATAAAAACGTCGCAAAGTACGCCGGCCACCGGTCGCAATCTTCGTTGAGTTTCCTCTCGGCCGCCTCTCGTGTTCTCGTGCTGTGAACCAAAGCTTAAGCATGCCTAATGCTGTTGTGCTCCATTGCCGCCGATCTCTTAGCTGGAGCTCCTGTGAGCAAGTCGTTGGCCATCATCACCGCCGTTTCCACCTTGGTTGTCCTCCAAAACAACAGCCAAGATACAGCGGCGCTCATCGGTGTTAGGTGAGCCTTGTGCGACAATGTTCATAGGGTTATGAGCGTAACCTTGGATGGAGACTATACAGCAACATGGTTGTCATATTCTCGTTTGTAGACGAGATGCTCTAAACGAAAGCGAACAGGGCTACTGCTCGTTGCCGCAGACACGCTAGGGCTACCTCAAATACTTGTGCGCTTTGAATCTATAGGGGGGAGGGTTAGGCAACGTAGGACCGCCGTGAAGGACAAAAGTTACCAAGGGTACCATCGCAGGTCAGTAGCGAGTCGTGTAGTTTCTTGGTGCTGAACGGAAAATGGCTTGTGCCGTCGATGCCATGTACATCTGTGTGTGTGCTTCACCATCCGCATGCGTCCTGGACACTCCATTTCGGTACCCCCCCCGTCTACAGAGTTTTCGGAGACGATGGCCAATGGTGGCGGCTTCTCACCAGCATGTTTCCACTGGGAAGCGTGTGGGAGCTGATCCTGTGTCTCAATATTATCCGAGTGTTCCGGATCCTTGAGAGGTATTTTTGTTCTTGTTCGTGTTCCCGTTTCGTTCGTGGTAGCTGATGCTTGCAGTTCTCGTTGCCCGGTGGTCTTGCCTACTTGATCGAAAAGCTTCGATCGGAGGACAACCAGGAGGGAGCTTTGTGTTGTCTGGTTCTGCATACAGCTTGCTGAATACCGACCTTGTACTGGTTATGTAAACACGCGTCTATACCCTTGATTGCGCTTATGCTACATACACATCTATCGTGAACACGTCGATTCCGCCTATTAGCCCACGTTGAGCACGTGCCTCGCTGATTTTTTCTCGTCCTTGCAGGCATCTTGGATCTGCGAAGTTTGGTTCCTTCCTGTTCCTGGCTGCGTTGTTGTCCAAGAGTATAGAGCTGGCCCTGTGCGTGGAGTTCCCTGTTTTCCGGCCACCACTGGGTCCGCTTCCCATCCTGAGTGCTGTCGGGGTAGCTTATTACGGTGAGCATCTCTTGGGTTTAAACTCAACAGTACTGTGCAAGTCGGATGACAAGAGACGCGACAGGGCACCATTGCAAAGCTTGTTTTGACCCGATGCACCTTCGATACGCAACGCACCTCAGGTTACATACCATCGACTGCACCAGCGTACTTGACCATCGGGAACGTGCGCGTGACTGGCAAGTTCTTCGCATACGCCGCGGTGCTGGTGGTGAGCTACATGCGATTTTTCTATTTTCTTGGGTTGCTCCGGAACAGGCTCAATCAACCCTGATGCAAATCGATGTTCAAGTTCTCATAGTGCCCGCACCACGCTGAATCGTGCTGCTGTCCCATGACAGCTGGCTTTCCACGACACGTACAACTCGGCAATGTCTGCCGGGTGCGGTGTTGTGGTGGCGTTCCTTTACTGGTCAAATCGTTCACCGCTCCAGAGCTTCCGGATTCCGGGTCGTCAGTTATTTGCGGTGAGATGCGGATAACGTGCGGCTTGTGGAACATTCCCTGGAGTCGCCCGTGCTCTTTGTGAGGTTCCCGACGGTCACGCTCCTACAACCATGATCAAGTCTCTGTATCCACACCGTTGTGTTCGAACAGATGTGCGGAGCCGCTTTCCCGGGAGGAAACCAGATCGAAGCTCGGCGAGCACAGATAACCCGCATCCAGAACAGAGTGAGTAAATCTTACGGTATGACTAAGCGCGAGCAAGTTCCTGATGACTTTACTTGGGTTGTCTAAGAAACACTTGTTCTTTCAGGTTCCCCCTGCGGCTCAGTATCGCAAGTTTTAAATGGTGCTTCTCCAACGCTGTCTGAGCGTGACCATGTGCATGTGTGATGCTTTTCCGTGGCTTCATTTTTGACGAAGAAAGAACGAAAGAAATGGACGAAAGAAATGGAACCCTGGGCGGAACCAAGCCGAACACTATGGGATGCAGGGTCCGACCCACTGCTGTTGACGATGTTCGAAGGTTCATGTCGTGCGCGAAGCCCTGGTTTCCGCCAACAGCAAAGCAAGCATTCTAATATGTGTCGGATTTGGGGATGGGTGCTCTACGACGAAATTTTTTATTTGACTCAAGCAACGCCTCATATTGGTGATCTAAGCGCACAGCCCCTTTTCAAGCACCCTTTGACCAAGACAAGTACTTCGGATATTGCCGCAGGTGGGGCGTAGACGACCAACGGATCAAATGCTAGCTGGCATGGCAGGAGCAGACGCGGGGCCTGCCACGGGGGTGAGTGTGCGAACATGCTGCTGGGTCGCGCTCCTCCAAGCGTATGGTATCGATTGCTAGACGCTTGTGTGTCGTTAAAGTGAAGACGACAGCTGCATGTGAAAAAAAGATGCATGAAGAGAACGACGGGCGGGCGATAAGCTGGAGTCCAGCCGTAACCACTGACCGTCTTAACTAAATATTGACTTGATGTCTATTGGTTGTTTTCTCCTCTACAGCTTCGACAGCGAATGGAGATACCGGCGCCAAGCGAAGAAGATATCACTCTGCTCATGGGTCTTGGGTTTGATCGTGAAACGGTCGTGAGAGTTCTCAGGTCGTCTGGAAACAACACCGAGGCAGCAGCAAATCGTTTGCTTGGGCATTGATTGGACGTAGGGGGCACCACCACCACAAAAACTAAATAACGCTTGGATACGGAGCCTTGTGACTTACGACGATTTACTCCCAAAAACTGAGTCGCCAGCATGTGACGACGAGTCCATCAGCAGTAGCGGTTTCAGCACGTTTTCGCGATTTCCCTCACAAATGTATCCATTAAGGACCATTTCGTCGAGGATGAAGTGTGTTTTCTCCAGGTTGAACATAATGTCCAGCTCGCACACGCTCTGGAAGTACTGTGATGGGCATGAAAGACGGAGCATCGGGCAGTTTAGAGTAGGTTTGGGGATGACGAAGTAAAGCAAAGACTGCAACAAGAAGCTGATTTTCGGGAGTGTACGAATTGAAGGCGCCCGTCTGGCCACTTAACACAGGTGGGAATGAACCACCGACACGAGGTACTTGTATTTTTGCGCTCGCCGTGTCTGATCCTGACACACAATTTTTCCCGGCGACGTTGGCAAGAATGATCTGTGGCATGCCTCCCGCGAAATCACTAACCGGCAAAAGTTTCAACATGAGCTCAATGCCTATGTCGACTTGCAAACGTCCAGGCCGTGAACAACCGCAGAGCGTCAATGTTAATTTCTGATCTGATCTGACATCGTTTTCAAAAGATTGACTATATTCACCACTCAGTAGATGTTCGCGACCTTGCGAAGTCAATGAACCAATGAGCGCCTTCACACAAGTGATCGTGCCCTACAGATAGCGCCCGCACTTGACCCTCCAGTACTGGAAGTCCGAGTGGGGACACTTTGGGGACACAGCACTCAAACGCCTATTAACGCACCGTAGTCACCCTGGGCTCCGCTGTGTGAAACGCATGTGAGAACCCTTGATTTATCATGCTTGGCTGAGGTTGTACGCTGTGTGGGATGCTCTGCGATGCCTCTCCCCGGCCTCTGACTTGCTGTACACCACCTCCGAAGCCGCGTGTCCCCTAGGACGTAAAACTGTACATCTCTTGGTCTGGAAAAAAATGCTGACTTGGCTTCAGTATGAAAAGTGTCCCCATGTGTTCAGGGACACTTTTCATGTGTTTGGGGACACTTTTTATACTGAAGCCAAGTCACCCTTTGTCTGGCAAGGTTGTCTGGCAAGGAGCTCAGATTCTTTGGAGGGACTGTAGCCCCTCGACCAATGACTGACAAACATTTTTGCGACATTTTATTCTGCGGAGGGACTGGGTACTACATAGGAGGGTTAAGAACCACCTAATTCGGGGAAAGCTGAATTCTTATTTTCTGTATCGGATACCCCAGCAGCGACTACTTTTTTTTTTTTTTTTCTTCGCTCCAAATCAGCGCTCACAGCACTATTAGTGCCGTTTATTCCAAACCCGTGGTCACACAGAAGAGCTCCTCTCTACCCTCCCCTTCTGCGGTACTTTGCCTTCGATTTTTAATGCGAGAAGAGTTCAGCACTCTCTTCCCTCTGTGTACACACGAACTAGCGCTATCCACTCGGCCAGAAGCGAAAGCGAGATAATGTCTCACTTTGCAAGAAAAGCTCGCTTACGCCGGGATTCGAACCCCTGACCTGCCCTCTAGAAGGTTTGGGGGACACCAACTCGACCACCGGGACTACATAGGTTCTAGAGTAAGAATTATTGACTGAGTACGTGTTCTTATGGCCAAGTTCTTAACGTTCCTATGTTTGAGCCTGAGTTTTGTAACTCCAAGGTTCGAAAGTGCGGGCGCTAACTGTATTTTGTCACTTTTTCGTACAAATACATGGCGTAATGTTCTGCACGGAAATAATGCCTCCCCAGTACGACGGTGAGTGGCAGCCGCACCTTGTCAAGGGTCTCCACGAGACAGTGGATGAATTCCAGCACACCAAGCTCGTTCTCGTCGTCGCTGTCAACACCCACACCAACGATGAAAAACAGCGACGCGTACTGGACGGCGATGACGTGAACGGCACCGGCAAACCGAAACGAAAGTGGGCAATTTTTTAGAGACATGATGAAATGGTTTTGCGCCAAGCGATGAACCGGATACATGAACTACATCATGTGTTGTAATCCGACATCCATTCTGAACGCACAAGCCGTGGTCGCACGGGTGGGGTACCACATCCGAAGTTTTTTGGGGGGGGCGGCAGCGGGAAATGTCTGCGCTGGTTAACAGCGACATCGACACCAATAAAAAGGGAGAGCGATAGCACGTTCCACGTGCCAAGCAAAGAGCACAGCTAAACACGCCTTGTACACCGAAATTTGCTTCCACAGCCCCCGACGGAGAGGGACAGCTGAATCCTTTTCGCCATAAAATGGTGAAAAATAAATCCATTTGCCTTCACAACATACGGCAAATGAGCATGAACATCATACACAAGTCGGACATGCAACTCACCCGTCGGTAGATGATTTTATAGCCCCGAAACTCGAAGAACGAACACTGCAGCTCTGATCGGGAGAAACACCGTCGAACAACCTCTGCTTCTAGGGCTACTCTCTCTGGAATAGGCATCCAGTCGTAGTACGACGACACACGTGTCTGCCCCATTTTGTTGACCATCAGCACAAACTTGATCATGGCTCCACACCGTGTGAGAAGGCAAGCAGCGATCAGGACTTGCGTCTGAGCTTTCTGCTAGCACCCGAGTCCAGCAAGTGTCCGCACCTGAGGGCATGGGGGTGACAGTATACAGAAGAGACTAGATAGGGAGAAGCGGTGTCTTTCGGATGGCATTACATTTTTTTGTCTTCACTTCAAATTAGCGCTCACAGAAATTGTGTCGTTTGCTCCAACCCATGGTCACACAGAAGGGTTCTCTCCCTCCACCCCTCCTGCGGTGCATGTTTCAAAGTGCTGTGATATGAGCATTCCTCGTCATGACACACGTAGATATTGACCAAGAGTATTAGAAAGTCGTTCAACCTCAGCTCGCGGTACCTCTGGTCGCGGATGCTCGCTTGCCCTTCTACATCGCAACAAAGGGTTACAAAGCTGAGGGGTCAATGGGTTCCAAGCTGGGGGTTAAGCTGGGGGATAATAATTTGCATGACTGCCACGTGAGCCGGCGGATTCGTACGCGGGGAAGACGTAAACAGGCATATGCATGCATACATGAATTTAATTTATTATTTGTCACTTGATCGGAATCTCCGAATCATCTGTTGCTTTGGGAAATACGATTACTCCCGCGCGCAAATCGGGACGTCTTGGGGTTACAACACGGGCTGATCAAATTAGACTACGTAGTGCAGAACAACCCATACCAGGTAGATGTTTGCTCTGCCGTACTTTTGCCTCTACAGCATTTGTAGATGTAACCCAAAGCTTGTTGTCAATTTGTTGCTGCCGTTGGCATATGCTGGTGTTTATACTTTTTGGACCACCACTGCTGTGGCCTACCGGTGCTGTACCACACTACGTTGTTGCTACAATAAACCTTCTAATGAATCCGCGGGCGGCAGTCTTTGGATTTGGGCGGCATCGAGAGGGTGCAGGACTTGAGTAAAGGAAGCTTACACTACAAGCAACTTGAACAAAGACCGCTGGTGTGTGCCTGCACCTTGCACGTGGCGACTCCAGGGCGCTGGACGAAAAAACTTACACTATTCCCTCTGGCTTACACCCTTTGGAAATCTCTCCAAAGGCATGAACCAGCACCCATGTACACGGGCGGTAGTAGCAGGGTTTGAGCTGACGGTCGCGTGCAACGGAGCTAAAAAAGTGCGGAACAACGCGGAACAATCAGTGTGATCAGAGGGCGTGTCTACGATGTGCCTGACAATGTTGCATGAAATACTCACCGTTTGCCGAAAGTTTGGGGAGAGCGCCTACTGTTGCTAGATCCACCGAAAAGCTGTAAGAATCGCCCAGAGACTCGGACAGCTGACACGAGAGAGTGACGAAAGGGTATGCGCGTGGGGGGGGAGAGCTCACTAGACAGCAGCGCACACTCACACCCGCTTATTCCGCCGCAAAAAAAAAAAAAACGCACCTCAGCTGCTCTATTGTTGCTGCTGTCAATGAAACACACTTGCCATCCCAGGGAGTACTCATGGTGGACGCTTCCAGACTTATCGATGCGTTGGGGCGAGATGATCTTGACCAACGAGCTGTTGCCGACCATCTCGTACGTTTGGCCAAGGTGAGGATGGTCCACGTTCAATACGATTAAGGAGTATCCTTCCAAGTTGAGTGTGGACTGGGCTGCGCATTTCAAATCACACCTCCTCCTCCTGGTGCGTGCCGGTGTGGTACGCTCTCTCTCCCACGGCCTCTCAATTTCTTATTACCCCCATCCCTTGCCGCTACTATTCTTGCTTGCGTGCCTTGTGCCGGTTTCGAAGGGGCTCAAGCATGTTGCTGCCGTGACGGGGAGTGAAGACCCGTTAGCAACGGGCGTCACACTGGCTCCGGACCCAGAAGAACCCCCACCAGGTGTAGAGCGAAACCCTGCAGTAGCTTCCCCGACCACAGCAGTCACGACCACCCACCAGCCAGGAGGGGAAATGCCCCAAGATGATAGCATGGGTGAACAGCAAGCGGAGCCAATTCGAGAAGAGAAGGTTGGGTCGATCCAAGAAGAGAAGGAGATACTTGCCGGGGAAGAGCCGGCGCACGAGCAGGTGGTGAAGATCGACGAAGCTGTTCAGCAGGAAGCGAACACGGCGCCACAGCCGCGCGGCGACCTATTGCTGGAGCTCATACGGAGCTTTCGAGGAGGGATGTTGAGAGTGGATAGCAACCTCAGGGCTGCAATGTTTCGGTCTTTGCGATACCTGGTGGGTCAACTCGTGCTACAAACATACATACCATTCGAAATGTTCCAAGGCTGAAACGTAACGGCAACAAGGTGATGGCCTCCCCGTTATCATGCGTGATACGCGTATAGGTATCACACCGGGTCCCTCAGCTTACATAACTGCTGTAATTTTTATGTTGAAAAGATAATCGCACCCGGTGCGATTGTACTCCGGTGGATTCAACACTCCCGTAGTTTCACTGCTCTTGCAAGGCACTCCCATAGGAATGCTGTTAGTACACTGTAGTTGAAGATCCTGATACCTACCCCCGACGGCCATAGAGGTGCTATGCATACGGCACTGCTGTATACAGGCATCCGGTGCCATTACTCCTATGAGTGCGACACAGATTAGTACCGCGGCTCCAACGGTAGAATACAGTAGTTCTACTTGTGCAGGACCCGGCCCAAGGCACACACACAAGCGCCATGCACCTTAATGCAGAGTCGGCAGAATTCGAGGAGCGAGTGTGGTTATGGCGTGTGCCAGACGAAAACCGATGTGGTTCCCTGACGAGAATATGGCAGTTTGTATTCCAGCTTCTGTTGGCTGGTTTTCTGCTGTCGTTTTTTTTTATCCTCTGCTAGTACTAGCTGTAGTACCATACCACGCCTCTTCTCGTTTGCTTTCTTCCTTCGCCGTCTCGTCCGTCTGCTGCCCCCTTGCCGCCCCATTGGTTGTTGCCATGTCCGTGCTGTTGCCGGGCTTTTTGTTTCGCTTGAGCGCTCGTTGCCGGCTAGTGCTGGGATCAAACTAGGTTGTAGGTTTGCGTGGTATGTGTTGTGTGCCTGGTGTAGACAGGTTGCCGATAGGTTCGAACTCCCCGATGGGTGCGGTCACACACACAGTTACAGTAGATGGCAGCACCTGACAATCGGATCATTGAAAAACGCCTAGGTTCGCACGAGTGAGGATGCCGAGCTCCTCCGAAGACAGCGCTTCGGCCTCTTCATCGCCCTCGCCTTAGCGCGGGAGCAGTACGAGCTGTGGGAACGGATGCAGGTAGGTGACCTGTTAACGCCGCCCATGTTTGTTCATGCTGTTGCGGAAAAAACGGGGTACTAATAGGACAAAACCTTTCATCAGTACGAGCTGTGGGAACGGATGCAGGTAGGTGACCTGTTAACGCCGCCCATGTTTGTTCATGCTGTTGCGGAAAACACGTGGTACTATTAGGACAAAATCTTTCATCAGTATCTAACCCTAATTCGAGCATGGCACAACTGCAGAAAACCTCGACCCTATGACCCTTTCTTTACGGCATACTTGTAGTAGACGGTGTTAGCAGTCGACACACCCAATACCAGACCTGGAGCGGAGAACACCACTTTATCCTCCTGCTGCATGAGTGGGACCACCGGCTGGGACAGATGCAGTCATTCAATCCAACGGGATGGAGGGGAGAATGGACGCATGCCGATCAGTGAAAGAAAAAAGTATCTCCACAACGTCTAACCCGTAGCGCTGACTTGGTCAAGCTCATGCTAGCAGAAAGTGCATGGGATGGTAGTGCATAGTGGGACTCCGGCTGTGCTACTTCCGGCGTGTCGTCTTTCTGTTGACCATTCGTTGATTTGCGCAAACATAGCCTATACTCCTCATGTAGTTGGCGAAAGAAAATATTGTCGCAGCACTGCTGTTCTAACTTGTCGAATACGTCCAAACAGGCGCTCAAGCTGGTGAAGCAGATAATGGCGGTCGACTCTTCGCGGCTACCTCGTGAAGTCGTGCGCACAGTTGTGGCGGTCTCCGGTCACAAAGAGGACAACTTCCGAAGGGCAAGTCAGGCGTCAACGGCGTTTGCTGCCTCTGTGTGTATGGCTGAGAGCATCCGCCAAGTTTTTTGCGTACAGTCCGGCGTTGCTGTGTAGTGTGACCGTGCCAGCCGAGCCCTCTGATAGATGTTCTTGATCTGTCGGGTCTACAGGTGTGCCTGGAAACCTTGCAGGAGTTGGCTGTCGCTGATCCTCGCGTGGTTGCGCATGCCAATGGCTTCCGCGTGCTGTTGGCAGCTGCCATCGATCCAGCAAACCAGGTGGGGTATGCACAAGGCCCAAGTGTGTTTTACTATGTGATGTGGTAGGTTCGAGCGTACACCGTGTTGTTTTAATCGCTGCGTGGGATCGGGAACAGCCGCACCAGAGAGCGCTGACCGGCTAGCGTTTCGCCATACCCCCCGGGTTCGTGAACTACTGATGTTAGTTGTGTGCGATGCTGTATGCAGGACCTGACGGAGCCGCTGGTGACGACTCTGACGTCTATCATCGAGGACCCTGCCACGAGGCGATACGTGCGGCCTCACCTAGAAATTCACCAGCTGCTGACCGGGTTCACGGATCTTGACGCCCCTCCCGGACCCGAGAGAGCTCATAGGTGGCAGGTGAGCTTTGGGTCTTTGTGGATGGTTGAGAGCCCATCTGTTTATCCGTCGAGTCATCCGCATACAGTAGCTCATTAGCCATTCCAGACTATTGGGACGCAACGGTAAAACACGATAACCGTTTACCTCTACCCGTTTTCAGGCTACACGTAAGGCCTTGGTCATAGCAATGCGCACTTGGGCAGGCGTGCACCTCTTGGCGTCGGATTCCCGCGGGCTCGTGACGCTGATGCGGCTTTTGCGGGACCCATCGGCGTCATTCAGCGACGACGCAGGGTTACAAGATGTGAGGCGCTTGATCGAGGGGGTGCTTTTGCGATGACATCGCAACACGAAAGTAAGACGTGATACCTCGTTTGGTGCTGGCGCGTTGACGTAAGAAAATACGATAAACTGGAAATCGGGAAATCCAAAAAAGGCGCCCGACATTTTTCTTAGGTCTGGTCCGTGTTGCAATGTGGTGCAGCACACGTTGTAAACAGGTGCTGTGTATAGTGTTGTCGCAGAGGTGGCTCTCCCGTGACTCTCGTGACAACCTGCAACCCTCTGGCATCTCCCGTTTCTTTCTCGTCTTACTCAGAGTATTTTGGAGACCATCGTGGACATCTTCGATCCTCTCGTGGGCATGGACAGGACAACTTCATCAGCCGAGCCGGGGCGAGAAAGCAAGCTGTCCGCCCCATTCTCAGGTATAATTGACGGAATAGTCGACAAAGAGAGTGCATGTGCCATCAAGATTTGAATGTACGTTTTGCACAAACCCAAGAGCAACAAACGCTGAGGACTGCAGAATTCAGAAGGCACCCTTATGAAGACAGTGTAGCTCTCGCTCGAAACTCGCGCCGGTGGATACTCAACTGTGTGCGTTGGTGGTCGACCCTTTGTTGTGTTGCCTTTCATTCGTTCTTTGCGGTTAGCCTTACTGTGTTCCTGGGTTTCGCAAGTCTCGATTATACTCCGCTCTCAGACGCTCACTCACAGCACGCTCGGCAAGACCACACATATAGGAAAAGACGCAGCCTCTTGGTAGTTGATGGGTAAGACGTACATGGCGTAGCCTACTGCTGTTGGTTTTCGGCGTGGCATCTGTACGCTTTTTCCGATGTGTCATGTACCGCACGAGCATCTTTTCGCACACGTGCTCTTCCGAGAGCAGCCAGCAGCACCGGCAGAGCGCATAACAGGCAACCAGACAATAGGCAGAGAACTTCAGGGTGACTCTTCTGTTGTTTTGTCAGTTCTGTGACACCCCTCACGTTATTTTTGTGTTCTTGCACGTAGTGCATGAACACGTGCCCGAACCAAGAAAATGGGCCAAAACGCAACCGTAGTACAGAAAGTTGTTTTTTTCGACGCGCACACCACAATCAACACGTCATCGACAAAATATCAACATGTAGGGACCTCCCTCTCCTCTCTCAGCAGCACTCTGCTGCTGCTACTCTCCTGCTGCTCTTGCAGGTAAATTAGCGGTGGTGGTCAAACGATTCCTCACTGTTCCTCTGTTCGTTATTTTGGGAGGTGCTGTTGCGGGGCACGGAAGCTCCGCCAACCTTGGAATTGGTCACTCATTGTAGCGTTGCCAGACAGCAGAAGACTCCTTTCGTACGCCTATTTATAGTCAGGCCCGCCAGGTAAGACAAGGTGAGGTGTCTCGTGCGGGCGTTTTGGTGAACCGGTCTTCGAAACAAAAGCGTCGCCCAGGCAATGAGGTCGGCCCTTAACAGCCTCTATCAAGTCGTATATCACCGTTCTGGCTGTGAACCGTGTACACGGGCGATGGTGCCACTTGTCTTTCATTCACGTCTTTGGCAGGGAGGTCGGCAACACTACCACACAAGAGCGCGGGATCTGGGTTGCGAACAAGGAGAGGCTCGGAGCCACACAACCTGTTGCTGAGCTATGCGACCTTGTTGTGCGCAGCGTTCGTTCACTGCGGCCTTATTCCTAGCCTCACTACGCTGAGTATTTCGGCTGGATCGGAGAAGCTGCGAACCAAGGCTGCAACACTGTAAGCGTCTACAGCAGCACGTTTTCTGTTGTCATTTTGCACTTGGTGTTGTTTGCGATGAGTTGTTCACGGACGGAAGGCAGCGTATTGTTGTAGGCTCAGCGCGCTGCCGTTCATCAACGATTATATAATAAATAGTGGGTACTTTTCATGGAATCGGGACGGAATATCCTGCCGAGCGACAAATCACGAAATCAGGGCGTCATCGTACTATCTTTGCTAGATGTGAGACATTTTCTCATATCTCATAACGCCGCCCCTTTTCTGCCTCTGCCATGCGATCAATTGTCGTCGGCAGACTGGTGGATGTGCTACACTTGTGTGCCATGCTTCTATCGCAGAATCAATGCACGCGACTTCTTTCGATGCCAGGCCTGGTTGAGATCGCGGCAGAGTCTCTAACAGGGTGCATGGGAATTGCGGAAGGCGGAGTGCGATCTTGTCACTTAACACGTAGTCGGGCGTCAAGGTGAGACCTGTTGCGTACATTTCCGGTGTATGGCAGAACGTCATGCATACATCAGCCACTGCCCTGCCAGTTCGTGAATTGCAATCTCGTTTGGTATGGATGCTATATTTCTGTAAGTTTCGCTCTTCGCGATGTTGCCTTTGTTTTTCGAGCTATGGTGCCACCGATGACACCGTGGACGGCACTAGTTTTTACGCCGATTTGTTCCTGCAATCGGTCATGGATGAGTCCGCTCTTAGTTGTTTCCGCTCCGGCGTCAAGGGTTATGTGCGAGGCCGATTGCAAGGCTCATTTGAAATTGTGCCCGCCCACGGCGAGGCGTGTCCGAAGGCTTGTATTTTCGCACGCCAGATGGCTAAAGAACTATAGATTTGTGCCACCCACAATTTGTTCTAGGTGCACATGTTTTGTCGATTACCTTGAAGCAATCACCGCGTTGTGAAACAGGGCGAGTGACTTGGTTCGGTTGTTGCATGGAGCCCTAGGCGCCGGAGCTGTTGGCCCTGTATCCGCATATTTTGGGCAGCAGGGCCAAACGGAGCAGCCGATGGTCACCATTGGGGGCCTTATGGAGAAGGTACGCTACGTCTTAGCCAATCGTATATTTGCGGCGCACACACGGTGTTCCAAAACCGTGCACGCAGCTATCGCTTGCTTCTCTACATTTTGTTCACATCTATGCATACATGAGCCAAGTTATGTGTGGTGTGAATTTTCAGGTTTACGAGGCAGAATCAGCGATCGACAGCGGTATGGATACGCATCAGAGCCAAGGCTGGGAGCCCACAGGGACCTTGGAACAGATGCGGAAAGAGCTCCGAGTCAGCATCGAGTCAAGCGTCGAGAAGAGTGTCATGGAAGCCCAGATGAACAAAAGCAAGGTACCGCAATACCCTTTCGACCGCTAGCCAGGTGGGATATAACGGTGCCCATTTGTATCGCACGAGTGCGTGCTACCTATTGTTTTCGTTACGTGCTGTCGTAGACGCACCCGTCGCATTGCGAATGGCATTTTCCCTTTCGGTGGACAAACTTTTGCTGCTTACGTGCCCACGCCTGCTTCTCTGCACCATGCCCTCTCTTGGTGATCCCATCTACTATTTTCAGGTTTTGGCTACGAAGGACTGGACGAAGTGGGACTGGGATGTTGTGGATGACATCGTGCAGGATATTCTCCCCCACTCACCTCGGTTGGTTGACGCGTTACGCACGAAATGGATCAAGCGCGTGTCGGGATTCTACCGCTTTGTAGGCGCAAGCGGCACTTCAACCGAACGGTAATTTGGCTTGCACGTGTAGTTCTTGTTGTCTTTCGTTTACTTCGACTCCGTGAATGCGCGTCTACTGCTGACTTGGACACGGCAATGTGCGAGCTGAAAGCTAACCGACACAGGGTTTTGTTTTGTTTTTGCAGCTATTCCGATTGTTGAGTGCCGGCGTACCTTATGTGCCTTTGTGCTTCGTCGACGCAGTCAGGCCGGATTAGCATTTTCCCGTCCGCAGAATAGCTGGTCTCGACCCCACCTTCGGCTCGGCTTCGTGATACGTGTGTTTGTTGTTGTCGTACTGTAGGGGAGGAGGTGGGGGACTTCACAATATGCGGTGGGATCCAGACCACATTCGCCATATCGCCTGTGCTGGACGGCTGTACTCTCTTTTGCTTCAGCAGCAAGAGGGGCTCCACTTCCTACAGACAGACGCTAGAGGAGGTGTTCTGCAGGTGATCTAATGTGACTCGCAACATATCTGTGCATATATCTTGTCCAGTTCACCCCGGCTGAAGGCAGAACCCTGTTGTAGTGTGGTCGGAATGTAGCACGCGTTGCTACCTGGCTGGTTTCATCCCGCTAAATTTTTAACGCGGTTTGCAGTAAACCAAGCGCGCGGATACCATCCCCTGAGCAACGTTCCCCCGTGGCTGTCAGGAAACGGTCAAGGAGCTTCAGGCGTTGGTCACAAGAAGATGTAGCGGGAGTGGATCGGGCAGGTTTGCAGCCGCGTCGAAGGTGAAGTATGTATACAGTCCTCACTTCTTGCTGGTGCTGGTGGCAGAAACACAACTATGTCGTTGTGATTGGGAGATGAGTGTGGGCGGTGGCTATGGTTGTGGTCCCCGTTGTCTCCGATGGGTAGTATCTTGACGTGACAAACGCCGTGGCTCTTGTGTAATATCGCGATGACCTTGCACCTTTAGTTCTCGTTGTCTTTCCGCCCTTTCCAGCTTTGATGATGCCCTCCCCCCCGACCACATCTTGTCACTGCGGTCACGACGTGAAGGTTTTCGATATGGACTCATGCCAGCGGAATCTAAGTGGAGGCTACATCACGCTATTGTTCAGCGTCGCCGCCGGAACTGAAGCTGGGCGACAACTCCTTTCAGATACGGGTCTCTGGGATCATCTCGCTAGGATGGGCAGCCAGGTCAGCTATCTTCCTTCCCCCCGCCAAATACGCATCTCTAGATCAGCGGCGCACCGAATGTGCCTCGCCGTCTACATCCAAGGACCGGCGGATTTCTATCTGCGTATAGAAAGTCGACTACCTGCTCTGAGGATCTCATATTGTAGTTGTACGGAAGGAGCGACTCGTGTTGTACGAGCTTATGAACCTCCGTATTTTCCCTGTACGTATTATCAACAGCCGGAGCTGGACTACATGAGCCGCCTTATCTTGGCGAAGATCGACCTCGCCTCCGAAAAATGCTTTCCTCGGGATCAGCTAGAATCATGGATGACGACAGGCTCCAGGTACAGCAGTAGTGGCAGCTTTGCGGGGAGTATTTTCTGCTCGCCAGAAGTACATTTGTTTCGAGTTCCGTGTTTTTGTTCAACTCTCAGAGCAGACGACGATCGAAAGGTGCGTCCCCACCCTTCTGTCTTCGGTCGTGTGCATTTCAGCCACCTTCGGCTGTTTTCAATCAACAGAATGCGAATCGCGTTGAGAAATTCCAGCACGGCGAACCGTCGGCTGAGAGATCCTGTACTGACAGCTCACGGCGGAAGCACCACGCCCTCGGACTACGCTCGTTCGGAAGAGTGGTGCATTGAGATGCTGGTGGCTCAGGTACATGGCGACGACCCAGCCGTTGCTCGGGCTGCTCTTTCCGTGCTGGAGGAGGCCACGCAAGACGAGCGCTGCCTGCGAACTCTTGTGAGTTGATGCTTTCCTTTCCTTCACCGCAAGTTGTGGTACGCTAGACTTCTTGGGTACAGGGAATCAATTTGATTTGACGTTGTTTCTCCATCATGTCATAGCAGTGGTTCCACCAAATCGCTTCGTGCCCTCAACATTGTCCGCGGACACCAATCTGTTTTTTTGCGAGACAGGTATTGGCCAAGCCGGACTTGATCCACAAACCAGGAGCAAACGATCTGCTCATGCGTTTCTTGTCAATACCTGAGGGTATCGTGTATCTCGAGGAACACGGATGGGTGGAACAAATGGTACGGGAGTGGAAAGACAGCGGCCGTACAACGACGTACGCCGACAGCGTCGACATGAAGTGGAAGGTGAGAACATTATCCACCGGTGTTGTGTGGAGAACCCGCCCTGCCACACACTTTTGTGTGTAGATCGGCTGGGCTTGTCTGTAGCAAACACCACGAAGCGATCCGTGCAGCGAGGCTAACACCTGTTATTTTCAATAGACGCATGTCAACGACGTGGAGCATGTGGAGGAACACCTGAGCATGGAGCCGATGTCAAAGCATGAACACGACATCAGCGACTCTGGCGTGGCGATCCCAATCAGGATGAGCAACATGTAAGCGTCCATTGCTCGACACTTGCGAATTATGATTGTTGATCTGGCACGAAGGCACAAGCCCTCCTTGCGTTTACCGGCATGCAGCTTTGTTTGACGGGTTTCCGTTTCTAATTTACCACCTACAGGACACAGCATTCTCTTGCTTACAAGCTGACACAGGGTGAGAGCTCGTTGATTGTTGTCCAAGGCGGTCAGCATCATCAACTTTTTGTTGTTGTTTCAGGTCGCAAGATGGCGGTGTTGAAGTAGAGCTGCTCATGAGCCTTCCATGGAATATTGAGGTCATGCTGTCAACAGATTCGACGGCCACGTCAGGCTTGCAGCTGAGGTTGGACACGTTTGTTGACACCCTACCAAAGGAAGACTCTCCAAGCGTGGGAGCAACCGCCAGGGGCGCTCCAGGCGCGACTAAAATGGTAAGCGTGGGCTGGGACCAAAGTAGGTATGGCAAGCGTTGAAAATATCGTCGTTGGCACACACACGCGGATGTTGCCGCCCAGATGTGAGCAAAACTCGTTGGACCCAATGTTCATCTTCACGATATGGAAACGGCAAAAAAAGACAGGAGTGAACGAGCGCCAACAGAAAGTCGACAAGCAAGAGTTCTCAAGTGTTGTGATCTAGCTCATGAAAACACTCTTTGATTCCTGCACAGGTGGTCCGTGGCATTTTGGTGGATTCGGCCGGTAAACCAACGTGTCATCCATTGGAGGCGCACCTCACCATTCATGCACGGCTATGTGTGGGCGCTTGTGCTGTGGACCGCAGGGGGAACGTACAATGGAGTCCAACCTCCTCGCTGATGGATAAGCACGTGCGTCGTTGGAGGTCGTGTCTCGTCCGTTTGGATGTCGAATTTGTAGAAGGAACTGGCAATGACAATATAGATATCCGGTCTGACGCTGTATTCAGTTTGCAATATGTTGTACGCTTGTTGAAATTTTTGTTTCAATTTTTTATACAATTGTATTGGTGTTTGGGTAGGTGTTGTTTGATGTTCGAATGTCACCCATGGACCATGTCCTTATTCTTGGACTTCGGTGCTGCTTCGCATGCATTGAGTCTGAACGTTGCTTGCTTTTGCTGTGTCACAAGTGGAAGTCGCTCGCCTTTTGTTTTCAACGGTTCATGTTTACCTTGTTTGAGTCAAGTCGTGACGACGGAGTATCGAAGTTCAGGACGGAGGTCTGAATAGTGGTCATGTGCAGCCCACAGCGGCAGACCTTGCTTCCCTGTGCTCGTTGTGCACCATCACACGTTTGGATTCCCCTCTATCCCGCATGCATCAGACGGCACCGTTCGGACGGAGCCGCTCGAGCCGACCTCCGCGGTCGCAGTGGTCACCGCAGCACGGCCGAGCCGATCATCACAGCTCGTTTGGAACCAACACAATGTATCGCGGCGTGCAAGGAATGCAGGACTTCGGACCTGGGCGTGAACTGCCCGAAGATCCGTCAGACATGGAACACCAGTTGTTCTGGTCGACATGTCGGCCTCATCAGGTTTGACCACGCAAATCAGTCTCTGTCTGACGCAGCCTTCTTGCTATGCGTTGTTGTGGTACCCATGGCTCTACCTTCCATCGGATGCTACATTGTCTCTTTGTTCCTACGTCCCCGCGTGTTCCTACGTCCCCGCGTGCTCTGTGCTTCCAGAGGGTGCCCCCATCCCCACTTGTTGTCAACCCTGGGTCCGACAACGGCAAGGATGACAGCCGGTCTGGGCTAGGCATGCATACTGTGTCACCGCTATCGAACTCCTTGCACGACGAGGCCCTTGACGGGGACGAACAAGAGGCTTTTTTGCCGGCAGCAAGGGCTGATCCGGTCGGCAAGAGCGATGCCGAGGCCGAAGACGGGGAAACCCTACAAGAAAGCGCACGATCCGCAACGTGTGGGCGTGAGCGCGTTGTGCGCGTGCCGAATGAGACGGCGCGTTGGGTGTTCACCAATCAACCCCAGTCAGAGGATACAATTTCTACGCAGGCGAGTGGATATTCGCTACCCTGCCAAGCGTGAATGCTCCATTGTGTCCGGAAAGTGTAAAGAGGTCCTCCGTGCGGGTGATGAAGTGTACCGTTCAAAGCTACCCGTTTTGCTGACTTGCCACAAATGTCCAGGTTGTTGAGAATTCGAGCGTCACGTACCTCAAGGCGGTCGAGATGACGATTTCGTTGAAGGACATGGGGTAAGTGGACCGCATTTCCGACATGTTTGTGCAAGGCAGTGCAGTGCCAATTAGAGGATACCGAGCAAACAGTATGTTCCCGGGCATGATCTCTGGTCGATAAGGACGAGAGCTCTGTCTCCTTTGGCCAACACCAATGAGAGTTGTCGTGAATGTTGTGTTGTTTTTTATGTTGCACATTGCGTTTGAGATGGTGCAAAGAGTCGAGTGAATTCCGACAAGACCCTAACGATAGATTGAATTACCCTTCCTTAGGGTGAACACTATTCGTGATCGCGAAGGTGGTATTGTGGGTGGGTAACTTTTCTTCCTTCTGTGGTCACTTCGCAAGAGTTCTTTGCCGTGAGTCATCGAAGGGCACCCCGTTGTGTACTTAATGGGTTTGCTTGCGTTGCAGTCCCCGCTGATCGTTTTTGCCTGAACAATGTTGAATGCAGGCCGGCGGGCATCTTGCTTCCACCCCACCTGTACGGCGAGTTGGCGAAAACAGAGAGAGGCTGCGAGCTTTTGCAGAAACATGGCGATCTCAACAATCTGCTCCACATTGCGAGGAACTCTGGCGCTGCGGCAGATGACCGCAAGGGAGCACTGTGGGCAGTGGTGAGCGACCGAAGATTCGTGTGTGGGTAACGTGGAAGTTTGGTGTTTAGTCTTTTTCCTGTGGTGCTTTAGCGCATACTTTGCCAATCCCTTCTTTGGTGCCTCGCTCTGTGAACCCCCATCCATATATTTAGTGTGCTGCTCGAACGCCGTTGCATATGTTCACCTGTGCAACGAACCCCATCGGGCGTACCTCAGATCCCGATGATATGGGAGTGCATCTGGAATATTACACTTGCGCTAGGTCTTGTTGGAGCCATGATTTCGAAAATGGTCTTCGCCGAGCTATAATAGCTCGCTACTCGAACAAAACCTTATTGTTGAACAGAGTATTTCACACATAGGGTAGGCGTGCCTGCTCCCCCAAATCCCAAAACGTCGTACCATTAGTTAAGGTCGCTCCATGTATGTTGCTGTTGCACTTTGTGGTTATACTCGCTGCACTGTCCTGTTATAGTGTAGCCCTCAGATGTTCCAGTACTTGTTAACAAACAAAAGTGATTTTCAACACATGCGCTGTGCTGGTTTGTTCCCTTTCGTCAATCCAGGCGCACGTCAGTAGCTGGCCTCTCGGTCTAGCTCTCCTTGAGGAACTTCGGGGCGATGTGGTTGGCATGCTGCTCAAAATGTGCACGTCGGAATCGCACTTGTCTGTGTGGGGGTAAGACTTCGCCTACCTAGAGCCATGGTGGCAAAGACTGCCACAGCAGTCGCGGAAGGCGTTCCTGCTAGGAGCTTGTATGTGGTGCACATGAGAACGGAAACGAAGTTGGAATACTGATAGCGTTTGGACTGCTTTCGACGACTGCTTCCGAAGACCCCCCGATAGCGATGCTCGCAGTGACCAAGCTCTTCCACTTAACAGCAGCACTTGACGATGCTTCCAACAGCTCCTAAACGTACCCATTCTATGACGAATCCAGATTTGTGGACTTACTTCTCAGGTTGTTGTTGTTGTCGTCGCGAAGATGTTCGGTGTAGTTGTCAATATTGTGAGATGGTACTAATGTTGCAGCCTTTCCGTTAAAATTACAGGACGTTGTTTTGCGTGGTAAGTTTGGTGGCACGCACAGCACGGGGACGGGCGGCGATCAGGGCGGCGGGGTGGGAAAGCGCGAGGGATCCCAGCACGAGCGCGTTCTTACCGCAGGACCCAACGGTTTTATTCCAGGTATCGTGTCCTGTCGGAAGTATAACCAACCGATACATGCGTCTCCATTAGCCACTCATGTCTCTAGACGCCAAAAGCACATCTTTGGCACAGATGGGCTTGTGGCGCATAGAGAGGGGGTGATGCGGAGGACACCTGTCGGAAGTATAACCAACCATTTGTGCAACGATACAAAGCATTGGAAGATACGATCCATCGGGGTAACTTGCCATCGGGAGAGTAACAAGAAGCACGTCGTTGGGATCTCTCTTCGATGTTCTCTGGCCGCTTGCCTAGAGTAGAGGCGGAGAGCCGACTTTCCTCCCTCTGTCCCTTGCTCGTCACTGTTTCTATACCTCTCTCCTAGTTACATCTCACGAGAGGAAGTTAGCCACTCTTGGCAGTGGGAGAATACTGCTACGGCACAGGCCTCTGTCTCTGACGGTAGCCTGTGTCCTCAATCGCCATGAAAAAATTCCAGCCTCCTGTTCCTCTGTTGCTGTGTGCCATCCATGCACCTCTTCGATTTTGGTAGTTTGTATGCTTCAGCTGGGCAGCGTAGACTGATTGCATCAAATTTTGTGCGTGCACGGCCGTGGATGCATATCTAGCCGGTTCCCCAAGTATCGTGTTTGTCCACTTATTTGTACTCCCGCGGCAGCCCGTACCATGGGAGTTTGAAGGGTCGCTAACGCGAGGCCTGGACCAGCAACCAGGCGATCCTATCATCGACAATTTGCGAAAGGACCTGGGGCGGGTAAGTATGCATGAGTCACAGAGTCTGCGCCAAGCGAACGGCAATAGAATCAGATTTTCTTCCCAGCTTGGCAATGATGGGTGGACGCAAGCGACACATGATTGTGATGATGATGATGCGAAAGTGCATGGAAGTGCCAACATGCGATGCTTGAGACCGACCGGGCCAGGCAGTGGAAACATCAACCCCTTTGTGTTAGCAGTCCAGCCATCTTCGATGGTTATTTAACGGTCCTCGAGCTTTGCCACAAAGACGCTCGCCGCATTTCCTCATCGTGAGTATGGTTCGCTGTCGCTCTGTTCTGCACAGACAAGAGACGCGGACATCCTGGATCAAGTTGTAAAATTGAGCAGCCACATATCGCGGAAGGAAGCGATGAGAAAACTCAGCCGAATGCGCAAGGACAAGGCTTTCAAAGAATCCTTCACGAACAGTCTCCCGGTGTTCCTTCTGGTGCACCAGCTCCTCGCCGACTACAGGTTTGTGCCTCCCTCCGTCGGTACTCTACAGGAGTCTTGCCCTGTTTATCGGTGCAGCCGTGTGGTTAGTCTGGAAGAATTGTACCAGCGCTGGAACGGTACAGTACCTTGTAGCGTTCAGAGCTATTAGCGCGATTCTTTACCGGAAATCCGACCAGGTTTTGACGTGAACCCCCCACCCCCCTTCCCCCCCCCTCCCCCCCCTCCTCCCCCACCTTGCGGTTTGACGGGTGCCGTAATTTTGGTCGCACACAGCTTTTCACTGCCCATGCGACGATATATTTTCGAGCTCTTTGAACAGGTGGCACCAGGCAGTCTCAACTGGGAACCATACGTCGCATGAGCAACGTCTACCGCCTGTAGAGCTGTACCCATGACGTGGACTCCGGCCGTTAGTCTATCATATCGCTTCTGTTGCGTGTGGTAGCAGCTTGGGATACAAGTTTATGTTGGGCGTGGCCTCATGTAGATCCCTTGCGTATTCTAGACAAGCATGCTTCGCCCGCGGAAGGTGGAAGGATGATTCTGTATCATGGGCATCAAGCAAACCTGTAGTGTTGACTCCCTGTGTTGTACAACGTAAATGGTCTACACTGTATCCTCTCTGAAGTTTGTATGTAGGATGAATATTGCGAGAGTTGTTCGAGCATTTCTTCGTTTACCCGTGAGCAAAGAAAGGCTAAGTTTTGGGACGTCGCGACCTGCTCTTGAAACCGGAAACAATCTCACACCCGGTTTTTGGCCCACCATTCGATCTTTGATTCTCCGAGGCTTAGAGGAAAGCTAAAAACCGCATCCAACGAAGTGTTAAGACTAGTGCAGACAGGTACTGGGTAGAGATCGGCACGGTTTTTATTGTTGAGATATGCATAACCACAACCAATCGCACTACAAACGGGGGTCATTTGTTGTTGTATGTAGCAATTGCACCAGTCCAGGTTGTGCATGTGGCACCAACATTACGGCGTTTCCATGCGACCACGAATTGCTCCAAACTGCCTTTGAGGACACGTTTGTGCCACACGAACGCAGAGCAGGGAAGATCGAGATCACATTACACCAGGCAGCACTTTTAGCTGCTGCTCACCTTCGCTCGTGCTCCGAACGAAGGCATTAGTCTACCAGCCATACAAAACACGTTTTCGTTCAGGCCAGTTGGGTGCGACTTTTCATCAGGCTGCTGGGCGCGACTGATAGTTGACAGCACCTATTGTTGGCCCGGGAGGATGCAGAAATAGCCAGGCCACTCACACCGTGTGAGAAGGCTAGCAACGATCAGGAATTGCGTCTGAGCTTTCCACTACAGCACTTGCGTCTGAGCTTTCTGCTACATACAGACCGCCAAGTGTCCGCACCTGAGGACATGGGGATGATAATAATATACGTACAACTACACACCACATTCCGTTCGAATATGGGTATATCTCGAACGGGTAGTCTTTCTGTGTGTGTTTTATTTTTCGTAATAGAGAGAAGTGCTACGAGCAATCCTTGGAACACACAGGATACAGCAGTGGAGTAGATACAGGATCAGTTTTTTTTTTCTTCTTAGTATGACACAACGAATCCATCTCTATCATAGAGTCTGAGACAGATTAGCAATGAATTCATAGCGTCAGAAAGTACCTGTATGTCTACGGTTTCCCAGACAGCATATAGGGACATCTCCCCTGCGGGTAAAAGGCTCAACAAGACAGTTTGGTAGCTGTCTTGTGTGTCTCATATATGTTTTGTGATTGTGATTGTTTAATGTTTCCTAATAAGGATCAGGATCGCCTCCACTCTCCACTCCGGAAACCACTCGAACCGGCAAGAGAACTTCCTTCATAATTCTGCCGCGTCCTCCACCCTGCAGCTGACAGAATACGTACGGTTTCTTTCTACTAACATCTATCGCTAGGACGACGATGGCGCAATTTGATCCCAAGCTTATTGTCTGCCAGATAGTGGCGCTTCAAAGCTTCTACTATGTTGCGATGGGCGTCTTTCTCGGGAGCTTCAGGTGAAAAGCTACAGCATTCGTGCGCTGCGAGACGGAAAAAGTTGGTTCAACACTTGCTTCTGTACCTGTACCGCCCGTCGTGTTGCTCAATCGATGCGTTTGATGCCTATGACTCTAACAGCGCGTTACCTCCTCTTGATGGCCAGGGCTGTTTTTGGGACACAGGTGGGGACACGATTGATATTCTCAGGAGAGCTCGTGTCGTTGTCGACCACAGCAGGATGGACAGCAATTTGCTGTCAGGTTCTCACGGCGATATCAGGGTGAGTCTCCACCTACACAGACAGGCAGGACAACAATTCGTACACAAAGGTCACGTGCGCGGGCGGGATGGCAGAAAAATTCCAGGAGTTCGCTCTTTGTGCAAGAGTGTCGCGCAGTTCGTAGTAGCATACTGTCTGTACAGTAGCAGATGGCGTGTCTTGTTGCCAATGTTCAGGCGGCCGATCGAATTACCGTGAGCTCAGCGAGCTGCATCCAGGGTTTGCTGCATCCCAGCAACCACATCGTGATCGCCTCGAAGCGACAATGCCTTCTACACCTGGATATGAGACCTTTCTTCTTACCTATGAGATGCGATCGTCCCCCTTGCCCGGAGTTTGGTTGTTCTGCCCGAGCAATGGAGTTTTACTCGAGTCCGGAAGGAGGTCGCGGGACGAGCGGACTACAATACAGCAGTACAGCAGTAGCAATCGAATAAACCACAGCAGTCGATACACATCTTGTTTCTCTCGGTTCTGCAAACGCTGCTGCCCGCCGTCTACAGCAGTACTGCTCTAGAACTGAGGTTAAAGGACGCGTAAACGTATGTAGCACCCAGGTATCGTGTGGGGCAGGCGTTACGGATGATGGCCGATGGTGGTGTGGTTTGGGAGATCGGAGTGATTTTCCACATCGCCGAGTAGTTTTCTCTACCGGTAGCGATATGTGTTGCAGCATGAACCCCTCACCCTGTACCACTGCTTTGCAGGGTGTCTTTACGCCCCCCCTACGTGGCTAGCCGTTTCGCATCTTCTCGTAGTAGCCTCGAGCGCCTATCTTGCGTGGAAAAACCCATGAAATAAGTAGCGCTCACTTCCCCTCACGCTTGTGTGTCGTGCTTTGTGATGCAAGTATTTCTCTTTTTTCTCTTTTTTCTCTCTTTTTTCTCTCTTTTTCTGTGCCAGATGGCCTTGTCTCTGCTTGCGTTGTGAAGTACCAAGATTGAACCAAGGGGGTGTACCTCTTTCTCTCCGGCCCATGATAGATAGTAACTGCTAGTCTCAGTTGATACCTCGCATAGCGCGAGGAGGGAGTGGAGGATTCCAGAATATCTGTCGTTGATTTCTATTGACTTGCGGACCCCTCGGGGCCAGTTTATTTGAGTGTACCTTTTTAGGGTAAGTTAACCTGTGACCACGGGAATCGACCGCGTCGAGTGTTGGATCAGTACGGACATACGAAGGTACTGGGTAGAGAGAGATCGGAACGGTTTTTAATGTGAAGACAACAACAACAACAACAACAATTATAGTTCATCAAACACCCCATTGGCATTTTCTGGATAGTTTGGAATTATGACTCGCGCAGCAAGGCCGCTGTCTTACTCACAGCCTCCCCCAGGATGCTCACTATGTGGTGCGGGTGGGTGTGTTGCAGCAGAGGCTCTCTCTTAGGAGGAGAGGAGTTTTTTTTGCGGAAACGTATGTATGAGAGACTAGGATGGACCCCAGGCCAATGTATCGCCATGTGAACTCCATACACGCAGTTGTACACTCCCGCCCCCTTCAGTTTGCCCATGCCGTCGATATCCATTCTTGGAGTGGTACTTGGAAGCATGTTCTGAATGACCTGTACATGCCTGCTCTTCGAGGTCGTTGTAACCACAATCTCTGTCCGTTGCCACGAGATGTTCGCGCGTGCACTTCCCCGTGTATGCTGCTCCTGCAGGCATTGCTGCCAAACGGCTTCGAACACATGGCGTTAGTACGTTTATGCGCTTTATACAAAGGTGTCTGAGACTCTTTTACATTTTTCCATCGGTTGGCCAGTTTGCGCGGACAATGATATATAATGAAAGAAACACGCACATGTAGGGTTTTCGAAACGATGTCGAAACAAAAAATTCAATTCGGGAAGCAGCCGTGGCACACGACGGCCATCTACTACAAGTATACAAGAAGCACGTGCATGTGTACTTTTCCCGCGATTGGACCTACCTCAGGTCTTGGCTTGGGTCTTGGAATGATGTACCGTATATAGGAGCCTGGGATTTACCGTCTCCAGTGTTGCTTAGTAAGGAATATGGTGCTTCACATCTTCAGATCAGAGTTCGGACATTCGCACACAGCAACCCTTTGCCGCGCTTCCTCTTTGTTTTCTGACCTGTTTTCGCCTGCAACACAGAGCACTTCTACTGCCTATGATCGTGGAGAGGGCCAAGAAATGCTTGGACTTCACTTCGACCCTGTACATAATACACGTAGCAATTTGCTCCTTTTATGACGGAATCCCCCACAATTGGGAATGGTGGATACTCCAGATGGCGTCGTTGGCGCTGATGGTAGTCTTAGGTGAGGCCCGGTTGCGCTCCTCGTGGGGGTTGAAGTATTTTCGTGCACATCATGTGCCCGTAGCACAACAACGTTGACATGTTGCTGTTGGTCGGGACACACTTCATAATTTTTTCATATTGTTGTACGAACGCAAACCCACAATCGAAACCGTTTGAGTTTGTCCCGGGATTGAACCAAACAAATACCCTTCGCTTGGTCCAACGCGTGTGATGTTGATCTCCCCCTTGACTTTACACCTACTCTTTCCTGTGGGATTGTTTCTCTTTTTGGATTCCAGGTGAATATGCTTGTTCCCGGCGGGAGTTACGAGATATTCCTCTGTTCTCTCCGTTGCCAACTCAAGTATGACATGACGCGGCAGGGCTGCAAGTGTTTCGTAGCACTACTCTCGTTGCTGCACAGGCAGAGCATCCTCTTGCTCGGACAAGGAGTGCTGATTTTTTTGTTGGGTGAGGAGTCGAGAACACCAGCAAAACTTCTTCGTTGGTGATTGTGTAGTTGTGGCTTGGAGGATGCCGATACCTTGGGGTTGCTCTAAATCTGTGAACAGAGTAGTGCTGCCCCTTTTTCCCGCCTTTGTGCCTTAACGTTCATGCGCTTCGTGGGCGTATTTCGTCCCGTTCCATGTCGACTATTTCGTGTTTGACCTCTTGTGCCTGGGGATAGTGTTGAGGGTGAAGGGTGACGGGCTCGTGTACATCATGTGTTTGGAAGTACCCAAATGACTTCGTTTATTTAGGTTGTGTGCGCGTTCTATCTAGGTGGGAGTGGTATCGTGTATATTCTGTAACCAGTGTTTTTTGTTGTTCTGTACGCGGCTAGCTGATGGCCACTCATGACGTCTCCACAGCGATAGAGCGTAGATCCACTGATGAACTAACTACGCTACAACCAGGACCCGCTGAACTACGAAGTCAACTCTGTCCTGCAGCTCGCCCGAGTGTTTGGAAGCGAGACGTTAATTTGCGATTCGATGTTTTTTGTCAACAATCGAGCTGCTCTGCTGTTCAGAGAATGTTTTCCAGAGTGCAACCTTCCGCGACCTGTCCACTGCGCACGGTGCTGTAGCACCCGTTGACTGAGACCCAAATATTTACGGCGAGACCAGCACGTGCCGCACACCTGACGCGACAAGAGGCAAGGGTTACGGGGCGTGAGTGAACTCAAGAACATGGCCCTCGAGGCCTGTTGTAGGGTTAAAAGTTTTAGTGCGTGCCAAAGTGCGTTGACGTATCCACGGGAGAAGCAAACGTCTCCACTGGCGTAGGTATGTACATACAGCAAGAACGACCAAGACCTCGGAGCACTTTAGAGGACACTCTCTTACCGTACTTACATTGGTTCTAGTACAAGACGCCCTAAAACACAGGCCTGGTTCTCGTTTCCTCTCTGGTGTGTACATGTAGCCCTCTCGATAGAGACAAAGCGACTGAAAGGCTATTTTTTGGGACTTGTATTGATTACTTAAGACTTTATATGCACTGAAAAATGTACAAGTACACCTCGTCTCACCACGAAAAATGTGGGGACTGTCGCCATAAATAGGACGAACACACACACATCCATATGACCACGGAAATTCGTTGATGCTCCTCAAAAGAGGTATGTATGTGTGTTGTACAGCGCAGGTCACAGGCAGAACAAAGTACCTACAATCCCGGGGCCTTGTTTCCGGGAGTGGAAAACCAGGTATGTGCTCGTGGCAGGCAGGTTATCAGATTGTGCCAGACCCACTCACCCACTACCACCCACTGCACCATGCATATATGTATGCATGTGTGTACTCTTGCACCGATATGAAGTATCTTCCACGCATGCAATCTTCTCTCGCGCCGTTGTATAGCCATGTGGTCATCAAAAGGTATTGTATCAGAAGTATGTACCTTTTTTTCCATCATATACCTAGGCATACCATGCAACACCTTTGACTTGTTGTACCACTTGCTTGGTACCTTTGATTCTCGCGCCGTAGAATCGTATGCGTGTGTGGGTTTGAATCGATTACCCACGGCGCCCCCCTACCTCAGCGCAGCCGTGCACAGAGTCCAGTGCAGTGGCTGGCTGGGCTGAATCCCCCACTGACGACCTACGCCGCATCCAGCTCTCTTCACTGCCCCCACTTGACTTTCTCGCAGGAGCACTGCTGTATAATACCACCTCAGTTTTTTTTGCAACATCCGAGCGTGATGGAAGGCGATGAGATCGATTTCTCCGGCATTGACGAGGACTTGGAACAGTTTCAGCAGGACGATATTGTCCGCGAAGCTCTAAGAGATGGTGTCGATTTGAGAGGGTATGCCAGAGACATTGACCTCGAGCTTCGAGAGGTGAGATCTTCCACTTGATATTACTCTCCCTGTTGCGATATGTGGCTTACCTACACACACATCGTAGCTTGAGTGCATGTACGCAGCAGATTTGCTCTATATGATGTCATGTTCTACGAAGGAATGGAGTCAGTGAAAAAAGCGAAAGGCCAGGACGCTTACCTAGCAGTCGTTTTCTGTTCGCGGACGCTCGCGCCCTGTACTGAAGTGTGCTACATGCACCCATAACGCCCCTGGCCTCAGGTGGAGCACAATAGCGTCGAAGGATACAAAGTACAGAGCGCAGAAGTGCTGTCTTTGCACCAGCAGGTGAGCGAGGCGTCCAATCACATGCGTCTGTCCTATGCATACAACAGCAGTAGATACCTACATGTTGGACGGTGTGTGAGCACCTTTGCCTTGTCGTGGCCTACGTGCCTGGTACATGCATTAGGAATAACAATACAACATACAAACACAGAAAGACTACCCGTTCGAGATATGACCACAGTGGAACGGGATATGTCTTTGAAGATGTAGGTGCCATGTGATTTACAAAACTGTAAATGTCTTCGAATCCCGTCATACCATTGTATGGTTTTCTGCGTGCGGGCAGCTGTACAAGATATTTTGTGTCCATAACATGATTGCAAATAGGGCCTGGGTCCCCCTGCTTCAGTGGATTGGCCAACCAATTCAGCAAGATTCAGCAAGTACATCGCTTCCGTAGCACACGACGCACCACTGCCCTTTGATTCACGTTTTTGTCGCACAGATCCAAGGCTGTGATGCCATTCTGGCCCGTATGCAGGAAATGCTGCTGGGTTTCCAGGCGGATCTCGGAGGAATCAGCGACGAGATCAAACATTTGCAGGTGAATGAGATACTAGAGATGGCCAGAGAAACAACGTTTCTTCCTGGAGAGCGCAGCGTCATCTCCTGGATAATTCCTGCGAATGGAACATTTAGTACTAGGTATGGGGGGGTATTGTATTGAGTCGCACGGGTATTGAGCCGCGTGGTGCGACTCAATACCTTGCAGTAGTCTTATCTGCGATGCTGATGGTGCACGAATCCCGACACACACCAGCGTGGATCGTTTGTGGTGCAGCTACGCGTGCACCACAGCACCACATGGGGACGGACAGCAGGCGTGCGACGGGAGCGACGATGATTGTATGTGCGGCCACCATTAAAAAAATTGCACTTTTCATGCGGTTGTTTCTTCCCGTTTTGATGCACATGCACGAAGAAACAAAATATGAAGTCTTCCCGCTGTGCGGACCCAAACACGCACATCTGGGCATCTGGAAGAAGCACACATACATGCGGCATCCCCCTGGCGGCGAGCGTATCACACACCACACCGTCGAGGAGCACGACCAGCAGCGTAGACATACGATTGTGACACGACAGATGGCAAATTTTGCTTCAGGCTCACAACTTGCCCGCCACATTCGTCTCAAGCCTTCCGAGTTTCCCGCCCAAGTGAGGCAAGCAGTCCAGCTTGAACCAAAAACAACGAAAAGCAATCAACAAAAACCGTTGATGGTCATGTGACGTCATGACTTTGATGCGAGAGGCCGAGAGGCCCTGCTGCAGCCCTGCAGCAGCAACAACAGCATGTAGGGCACGGCTTTCTTTGCGAAGACAGTCAGTAGCGCGGCGCAAGTACGCAATCTGAACCGATCCCGCGGGGAACCATCCTGATAACGCACAGCAGCAGCAGTAGTAGACCCTCACGCCCTCGACGGATTCTCTCGATGATGGTAGGTGTGATCTGGCCTTGGGAAGGTGTGTGATTTGTGTGATCATCGGTCTGCTCTTTTGGAAGCAATTGGTTGGACCCACTCAACATCAATAAATACCCGCCAGGTTACACATGGCGAATGCCTACAGTATACCTACGGTGCACAGGTCGTATAGGCCCGGCCCCTCCTGGCTTTTATAGCTGGTCTCAGACCAGCGTCTCAGCGGTGATGCGTTTGTTGATGGTGTTCTTGCGTCTCTGTCGGTGTTTCTTGTCCTTGTCTGAGTCGCGCGCGCGCGCGATCTCCGCTTTTGTGCACGCCTTTTCGCGTAGAACCCCGGGGTTGGGGAGCAAAATATCCTACGAATATAGGCTACATATGCCGGTGAAGCATGGCCATCTGCTCTCGGAGCACGACGAAACCGGTGTGGAGAAGAGCGCGCTATTTTTCTTCTTCCTCAGAAGCGAGCAGATCACCAATCGGTGCCCTGTAGATCTCGTTCTGGTCCCAACGGTGTCCTAAATAGGCTTCCCGGAAACCAAGTTTTGGGGCACCTGTATCGCGCGGCGCAACTTTGGCCGAGATATAAAGCCTTTTTTTCCCTCCTGGGGACGAAGGGAAAAAAAGTCGCTCGCTTCGCTCGCTCCGCGGCTCATTACATTACACCCACCGTATGTGTCGAGACAGTTTCCCCCAGTGCTCCATATTGACACGCTGCCGTTGTGTGGCGACAACTAACGATAGTGAAAGACAAGGGTGCTTCGCTCGCCCCTCTACCGGGCTGCCGGGCTCGCGTAATATCCGCAGATAAAGAAAAGGAATTGTTTGAAGTTGTAATTGAAGATAAAGAAAAGGAATTGTTTGAAGTTGTAATTGAAGTTGTAAACAATATTGGCAAGTGTAGATTTAATTTTGTAGTGGGTGTCGACGACTTTACCATAACCAACCCCGAGTACTGCAATGAATCCGTGGGTTCCTCGCATTCGTGATACGCATACATACTGTGCGACGGAAATTTACAACCCCCCCTTGTCGTGGAGACCCATGACCTTGTTGTAAGTCTGTAAGTCTCCTTCCGGGAGCAAAATTGCTATTCTAAAGCCCATTATATGCGGTAACGTTTTTGTACAGCTGCACGACTATTATTAAACTCGATGTGAGCAGGCTGCAACCCCCGGTCCTGTCGTATTGCACTTCCCATATACATAGGCAGGCTATGCGATGCTACTTGGCAACGTCATGCAGAGCTGTACGACTAAAGATCGAGGATCGGATACTGCTGTGTGCATGTGGATACACGTCTGTCTACGGTGGGAGAGCGAAAGAATCATAGATCCAGGTTGGAAAGTTCGCAGTCTGATATTGAAAGTGCGTCATCACACCGCTTGTTTGCACAGCACTGATCCCGGGGCACACACATAGGCATGAAACGGCGATTTTGATTGTGTGTGCCAAAAGTGTCTGTTCAGTGTGTAAGTGTAACTCTGGTTGACGCTAAGGCCGTGTGGGATTACAGCAATGAATGCAAACCGCGTTTGTTGTTTGTTCTCCCATTTTTTGGAGATATGTTCCCCTCTTGACTTTATACAGCAGCAGCAGCACTGTTACAGCAGTAGTCCATCACAACACACCGTGCATGGTTTTAAGTGCTCGTGTACCATCTCGTAAGTGCTGTACAAAAGGTAGACATCCGAACGAGTATGTATGTGTTGCTATGCTGCGGTACCGATTCGCACGCACGTGAGTTGAATTTCGTTCCCAAAAAAAGTATCGAATCCGAAAGAAGAAAGAGCATTCTTCCACCTGCGTTGCAACCCATGGAAAATGACAAAAATATACTGGGTACCTCCACAATTTTCCGGAACCCCTCTGAATTATTGCTGCTCAGCCCACCCCAGGTCACCCTGTTAGCCACCACTGGTACTAGTGGCACAGACCGCGGATCGCCATGAAACTGGTAGACCAGTCCAACATAGTTCCAACCAGCAGAGACCGCAATAACAGGGACAACAGCAGCAGCCGCAGAAAGTACCTGAAACTCACTGGCGTTCGGGGCCAGTGTAGTTTGAGCACCACAGATTGCGATGCCGTTATCTAGGATTTTGGATCGTTAGTACAGCTAGAGCTGTTCCAAAATAACCTCAAACCCCATACAAAAAATAGTATAGGGGGCACCGTGCTATCGTGTTTGTTGTCAGGAATACAAAAAAAAGGCCCTTTTTCCCACGAGCTGCAACGCAGGTGTTCGTATCTGGTTGGGGCGAAAGTGTCCGTGTCCGTCACAGCGCGCGCGCTACGCGCGGGGCGCACTTTGCGTACATCATTCCCGTCCGGGAGCTGCAGGAACAACGAACGAAAGAAGAGTGAGAGTTGCGGGAGGTGGAGACTGCTACCGCTGCCAGACGCTCTTATCATTTTATGACCACAGCTGGTTGTGACGTAGACAGGAACCAAAAGAAAAAACAGAACCGACCGGAATCACCGACAGATCCGAATCTTCGATTTCCAGCGACTTTCCAACGCCAGCAGTTCCTGACACAGCGCGCCGCGTGGCGCGAGTCTCTCGGGACGTGCCCGCTACATTCGCCCCGTGCGGGAGCCTGTTCGAACGGCGGGAAAAGGTGGAAACGTGTATCCCGAAGAAAAATTGGATTCACGAAAGAGCAGCACGCTTCAACCGCAACAAGATCAAGCTAGATATGTAGAGGTAATAGTTCATCGTGTTTGCTCACCTTCATAGTCATGTTGATCTCGTTGAACAGACTCTTTGTTTGAGCCCCACGGTACACGCGGCCCTGAGATGTAATACAAGCAACCTTTTCTTCGTCAAGAAATTTCCCACCAACCCGAACGGTACCCGCCCCCGCCACAGGACGAGAGCATATCGATGAACATCAAACTCAAGAACTTGCGATCTGCGGAGGAAGATCTGGGCAAGTTTCTGGGCAATGTCGTTGTCACTTCGGAACTTGTTACTTCAATATGTGGGGATGAAGTCAACGACGCTTATTTGGAGTACGTCATCGAGCTCAACAACAAGGTGACTTACATGCCTGATGTGTAAGAATCGAGTGTTTTATTGATGGAGTGTGTACGATGCACCCGAGCTCTCGCGTGTTGGACTGTGGTATCGCGGTGATGCGCTGCTTTTTTTCGATGCAATCTTTTGACGGAATAAGACGTACTTTCCCTCCATCCCACGCAGATCAAGTACATCAGGCAGACCCAGCCAGCATCGGACGGTTCCAGCCTGGAAATGCCCCCGTCAAGCACGATGGCGGCGAAAGGAGTACAGCCCCACCTAGAGAACCTCAAAACAAAGGTATTGAAGTTAGCGTGTCAAGTGCTGGGAGTAGGGCAACTGAGCGATATAGCAGTCAATTGTAGCGGTGTAACCCTCAGCGTGAATCACGCTCGAGTATAATGGTTGAAGAAAAATGAGCAGCCGTGTCATGTACGAGTGCGTCGTGGCTGATTTGTTCGAGTGCGGAGCACGGAAGCGAAAGGTGCACCACTATAGGCCGGTATTTACGTAGTGGCGCTTAAGACTCATGTCCCCCCTCACTCGGCTTTTGCGTGCGGACATGGCGGGGCATCTCTCCAGGCTTGTGCCAAGGCGCGCGACTATCTCTTACAAAAGATTGGCGAGCTGAGAAGGCCAAAGACCAACGTGCAAATCATCCAGAAGAACTCCCTGCTCAAGTAAGTGTTGACAAAATGCGGATGCATGCAGTGAGAGAGAGATGTGTTTGGTTGGGTGTAAGGCTCTGCTTCTGAGTAGCCAGTTCTTGCTTGCTGGTGCTGTGTGCGCTAAGTACGTTGAAGGTCATGTGTGTGATGTACACGCCCCCCCCCGCAGGTACAAATATCTGATGCAGTTCATGTACGACAATGTTCCTGAAGCCGCCGAAGAAATTCGCGTGGTGTACATCGAAAGCATGGGACGCACAATTTCGGCGTTGTTCAGGGCGTACCATGCGCAACTCATGAAGCTGGAGCTGGAGTTGGCCAATCGACACGACCTCATTGCTGTGGAGGTGCGCAGGGTCTGCTCAGTAGGTTGATCAGATGCGTTGGCGCGGGTGTGACTGTCGTAGCTCTGGCACTCACACATTCACCTGGTCATACGAACTTTAGCCAGGGCCACATGCTCGAGTATTCGAGGCACGAGACATGCCAAGTTTATCGTTTCTATCAGACAACGTTTCACGCAAATTATGCAAACGAGGTATAACTGTCAGTGGACCGCTTCAGGTACGGTGTTGTTTCCGCGTTTGGTTTTTGGTTTGGCACGTCTTTCGCCGTTTCTACGTGGTACCCCCCCCCCCCCCCTTCCTCATGTTAAATTGGTCAGGCGCCCTCGAGGCAGTTACACAGCAGTGCCTACAACTGTCTCTTGAAGCGAAAGCACCAGAAAATAGATCAAGTTTTTCGCAGCTGTCACCCGTATTCAAGGAAGCAAGCAAAGATGTCGAACACCCTTAAGCAGGATGCAGCGCGCCCTCCATGCCACTCAAGAAATACCTAACGGCGCTTTGCGCTTGGTGATGCGAGTGCCTGGTCCGGTGAGAACCCGGCTTTGTAGGGATGCGAGGTCAATGGTCTAACGACTACGGCGTGCACAGCCAATGATGGCACCACGTCGTGTTAAATTGGTCAAGCACCCTCGAGGCAGTTATACAGCAGTGCTTGTAACTATCTCTGGCAGTGAAAGCACCAGAAAATATCCGCAGCTGTCATCCGTTGCAAGGAAGCACAAGATGCCGAACACCCTTAGCAGGATGCAGCGCACCCTCCATGCGACTCGCCGAATTCCTCGCGGCGCTTCGCGCTTGGTGATGTGAGAGCCTGGTCCGGTGAGAACCCGGCGTGCTCCGTCCCGGCTTTATCGGGATGCAAGGTCAATGGTCAAACGACTACGGCATGCGCGACTATGAGTCCCCCCCCCCCTCTCCCTGTTCAGTACGTTTCCCTTTTGGTCATGGGTGCTCGACGTACCCAGTCCCCATTGTGAGGCACAGGTGCAGCTAGCTGCCGAAATGAAAATCGAGTTACCCTCCCCGCCGCAAACCTACGTGCACTCTAGGCACATGTGGTACGCCACCGATCGTGTAACCATCTCTTTTCCCGCACGTTTGGCTTCAACTTGTAATTTTGTTCCCGAGATGTTCACCAGAAATGCTACAAAATACTCTCACATCCGCCTAGTGCTTATCGTCTAGCGATACCCCTTTGTTTGCACAATACATGGAGCTGAGGGCTACTTTCTTCGTCCGTTTTGCACCTGCAGGATGCAGCGGCCAGGAGCATGTTCTCAGCCAAAGCAGACTCCAACAAACGTGGGGATGGATTCAACATTGGAGATCGAGACAACATCCTGGATACCGTGGAGGCTGGACCCATTCTCGTCCACGTGGCTTTGGCAGAAGGCCGCCAATTCCCGTATGAAGCCATTATGCGCTCCGTTTTCAAGCACCTCATGGACAGTGCTACAAGCGAATACCTCTTCACAATGGAGTTTTTCAAGGTATGCTTGCGTGTCTTGCACATGATTTCGAGACCATCACCCCCGAGTGTTGTGTTTCGGGGAGGAAGTGCTGTCCCACGCATGTTGTAGAAAGACTGATATTAGGTATTTTTGGGATCCTGCCCGCGATGCAGGCTTGGTAAAATACGATTCGCATATGCACCCACGGGTTTTCTTCGCCCGAAAAGGTCGTCCCTGAGCTTCCTGGTTCGGCTCGTGTCAGTATCTACCTCAATATGAATGTGCAGTCGGCGTGAAAACTCCCGAAATTTACACCGTCGACTGACCACATGGTAACGAGCTTACGATGTCAGTCAAAGGTAACGTTACGCTGGGCGCAAACTGCTATTTCTGCTCCCAATGCATCCTCCATAGGCAAACATGCAAGCCAGCAAGGTGTGTCTCTGTGCCGCCTCACCGTTGGTACAATACGTGAATGTTTGTGATTGCAATTACCTGCCAACTCTCACTCTTTCACGCAGGGGCAGTCTCACGACACGTTCAACAGGATCTTTGCGAGGACGCTATCCCTGTGCATCGAGAATCTCGAAAGCTACCTCTCCGGCTGCTGCGATTGCATCGGGCTTCTCCTCATGATCAAGATCACCCACGCGCACTCGATGGTTATGCAGCGACGACGGGTCCCCGTTCTAGACAGCTTCTTTGACCGAGTCAATATGTTGCTGTGGCCGCGCTTCAAGACCATCTTCGACAACAACCTCAAAAGGTAGAAACAATTGAAGCATGTACATGTTGCAGGTGGCTTCCATGTTTTCCCGCTAAATCTCGATCTGCGGTCCTTCGTTGTCTGAATACCTGCTTGACCTTGTTGGCATCGCAGCGTCAAGGCCGCGAACCCAAAGCGAATGGGGGTGATCGAGCGACATCCGCACTATGTGACGCGGCGCTACGCCCATTTCGCAGCTTCACTACTCGCGTTACATAGTGGGCTAGATGACCTTGCGGTTGGGATCGGAGGCGAAGAGATGCTTCTGAACGACTTGGGGACGTTGCGGGTGGAGGTGAGGTCGAAGATCTGCACCATTTTCACGCGTAGAGGAGGTTGAGGCGCATGTACCCACAACATCCGTTCAGAAGTATTTCACAACACCTAGCTGGTTGCCCGCAGATTCTCCGCCTCCTTGGGTGTCTGCTGGTTGAAAGTTTGTGCCCCAGATGACAGATGTTTATTCTTGCTGTACGTGCGTGAACACTTGACAAATTAAGCGTTGCTGAGTCTGAGTGCCAGATGTACATGCGCGCCATATTCTGGATTCTCCACTTGAGAAAACATTTCTCATTGGAGAGCCGAGCCTTGTATGTGTTTTCAGTGTGTCCAGTTGTCGTGGTCAACCACCCATGTTCTCGGATGCGATGTCAACGGTTTGTTCTGTACCTGCAGGTTGTGCAGCTGGTCCAGCGGATGGCAGAACAGCTCCCATCCAACAAGCTACAGGTGGTTTTCCTCATTAACAACTATCACGAGGTGAATGTTCCGAAGAATTGACCTAGTTGTTTGATGTTGCGTCCAAACTTCCGAAGTCCAACGTGGGAAACAAGCTAGCAAAGCTTGGGGCAGGACTGTGCCCATGGAAACCTCCCGTCGAGGGCGCTCTCATAGGCCAGTTGCTAGCTAGTTTGTTCGTGTGCATGTGGGCGATTCTGAAAACTGCATTTTTGTTGCAGGCGCTCGCGTTGTTTGCTTCTGAGAACGTCGTACAAATGGCACGTGATTGGGGTACCGCGGCTTTCTGAGAGGAAACAGCTGGCAACGGCTAAATCTCGATATATCCCGTAATCTTGGTCATGTGTGAAGATTTCTTACATATTGCTGAGAACGGTGAAAATTGCTGCTAAACAAAGTTGCACTATCCCATCTACACTATCCCATCGCTGGTCGACTACAGGTTCTTCGCGTGTTCCAGGAGCGAAGGATAATTTCCGACGAAACCGCTAGGTTCGAAGAACTACTTGTTCGGCAAAGAGATTTCTTTGTGGAGGAGGAGCTGAAAGAAAAGTACAAGAGGCTTATATCGTTCGTTCAACTAACGGAAGCAGCCATGAGCTCAGGGGAGACTGGTGAGTTGTCATCCTAGGCGAGTTGAAGGTGCAGACAGACCCAACGAGTGTTCTACAGCTTAAAGCGAATGCCTTTGTTGCGACCTTCTCAGGGACAGGTTTTGGTATTTACCGTAGCACAGGCACGCCACCTAGCACCTGACTGTTTCGCAGTCGAAATAAGTTTGAAGGATATAACTGTTGCTTTTCCGATAGTGCATTGTCAAAGCTTGTGCGTTTTCTCGCAGATTCCCAACGCTGTGTCAGGAGAACGTACCCGGAGTCGAAGCACGTTTAGCGAATTTGTTGCCGAAATGATCACCCACTGTACGGCGTGACCCTCGCATGGTTTTCCTGGTGGAGCAAAGCTTTCTATTAATATGGAGGTTCATTTGCATGCTTATGTACCCGACAGAGGCTCGCAACATGTATCTCCGAGTTCGGTGCTCGGTGTGTTACCGTTCTCCTCAAGTCCACAGTAAAGCTTTACTTGCGAGTTTTTATTTTGGGTTTCTCTCTTCTTGGCTTCACTCGATCTTGTCTCGTATTTCGAAGGTGCAGAGTTGGATGAAGCCATCGTTGAAGGTCTTGTCCGGGAGTTCGCGGCGTCGTGGAAAAGCGGCATCGAGGCAGTCAACCAGGATGTGTTGTCTTTCTTCAGCAACTTCAGGAATGGCATGGAGATTTTGAAGCAGGTGATCGTGCTATTGCACCCGTTTCATGAGCGACGAAAGAGGCATCGATGGGAAACTCTGTCGAACTTGTTGGCCTGATGATGATCCCTCTTTCTTGTTTCATCATCGTGATCGTGATGTTCAGCGCTGTGGCCAAAACAAGCTGTGCTCTTTTTCTCATATATATCATAAAATTGTGCGAGTTGGCACCGAATTTAATCGCTCCCCCGTGCCAACGTGTTGGATCCGTGTCAACTCTCCGATCCCCGGGCAGAAATGAAAATCAACCATTTCTTGCTTTCGAATACACCCCCGTGCCAACTCTGCGATCCGTGTGACGCTGAATATATTTTGACCGGCTTTTTACTGCCATGCGCAGGCTCCGTGTGCTCTTCGCACGCCGAGACGAGCTGTGATACGTCGTTCTTTGGAATACACGGAAGCAAATCCATGTTGCTGTGCCGTGCTTAGACAGCAAGGGAGGGAAGCAAGCCCGGTTGAGCCCGGTTGCTTCCCTTTAATGTCATATCGTGGTGGAATGGAAGTTTGTGGCGTTGTGCGGTAGCTGTTCGGAAGTCCACTTCGCCTGTCAGCTAACGTGTTTCCAATACGGTGATGATTCAGCAGCATTGTACATATGTACCGGTAGAGTTTGCCGCACCTGGTTTTTTTCTGCGCGCTCAAGTTGACACAGTTTGCCCATCAGACTTAAACACCGCCAATTCAGCAGCAGCAGATGATGCCTGAATACTATGAAGCACAACGTAAATAAAGCACTGCGATCAATCGCGTTTGTGTAGGGCGCCTCAAGCAGTTGCACGTAGCACGCAAAGTCACGCCGGAAGTGGATGTGTCACAGCCAGCTAAGAGTGAATGAAACGTGCCCCCGTGCGACCTGTCCGATCCCCGCGTAAATGCATGTAAGCCATCTTGTGCCAATCCTCTGGTTGTTTCGGTTTTTGAACAAGTCCTGAGCGTGACATCCCTAAGTGCGTTTGATTTGACCTTCAGTGCGCGACGAACCACCGCCGACTGGCCGGCAAAATTTAGGATCTTCGTTGAAAAAGTGATGGGTTGCGCATCTAACCTTTTTGTAGATATCTACAGATATCAGGCCGACCAACCGGGGTGGATCAGGGTCGATTGTGGATGGTTAGCTGGAGAGGGATGGAGGGGAATTCATCAGGAAATAATGCACTCCTTGCAGACTCAAGCGTACACTTGAACCGTATTTCTAAGCTCGGCTGATTTTTACATTTTTTTCGTTCTCCTATGTGCCTTGCTTCATTCGCCCTTGTATTACAAAGTTGATGGGTATTTACATCAATGTCGGCACGTATGCATTTTAACGGCGTTGTGCCACTGCCTCCGTCCCAGGTGCTGACTCAGCTTCTTCTGTACTACACGAGGTTTCAAGAGATAATCCGGAAAGGCTGGCGGCGCCCGCCGGCATTCAGCAAAGATCTTGTTTCGACGTCAGCAATACTGAAGGAAATCAAGACGTATTCCAGATCTTACTGAAGAGTGTTTGTTGCTCGCATGAGCTGACACGTACAGCGAGATATCATCATTCGTTGACGCAGGTGCCGATGTAAGACACGCCACTCAACCTGCCATTCTTTGTTGTGAGCAATATCTCCCATATGGATACTAACCGGTAGTGTAACCGTTCTGAACGAAAGACTCCTTCGTGTGCCTGCCGCATGAGATGTGTGTGTGTGTGTGTGTTTTCGTCCTATTCTGAAGCTTTAGCTTCAGTCTCATCTTTCAATATCCGTGGGTGGGTGGAACTTTTATTCGCACAGCCCACCCCCGACCCTGTCTCAAATGCCGATCTCGAGCTACAGTGTAAATCTCGTGGCGCCCGAAGTATGGTTCGGTGGGCAATCGCAAACCATTACCCCTCCCCGAGTTTCAGCAGCTTCCGCCTGCTGCGGCCGACACGACTCGGCCTGGACTGTTCCTTGTCTGTTTCGCCATGGAAACGGCCGGTTGAACAGCGAAAGAGGGTCCTGCGTGCTGCGCGCCACATTCTCTATTTTTTTTTTCTTTCTGAGTGACCATGCTGCTGTTGCTGAATTGCTTCAGACAAGGTTGAAGGCTATCGTGTCTGTCGCTTTGGGGTGCACGCGTCGCGCAGTATGCGATGCGCGTCGCTTGCTTTGTCGCCTGTTGTGTCGTTATACATGAAAAGCAACAGCAGCACAACAGTTGAGACAGACAACAACAGGCCTTTTTTCTCTCTTGCTGCATATGCATGGGTGGTATGCATCGTATTAGTCTAAGCGGCATATGCATGGGTGGCATACATCGAATAAGGGTGTTGATGCTTTTTGAGTCTGCTGCGTAGTCAGTCGTAACTCGAGCGATAAGTAAGGTAGATGGCAGCACAACCTTATTTACAACAGAAAGTGAGGGATGACAACCAACAGTCTGCTGCTCTGTGCAGCGGTGCACATCTATCGCGGACGGACGGACTAGTTCGTCCATGTGGTAATGTTTTTTGCAGTTTTTGTTCTCACTTCGTCACAGAAGGATGAAAGTCCGCACTACTCTAGTATAGTTCCAACTCGGCGACTTGTGGTTGTTGTGTTTGTTTGTTGTTGCTGAGCCCACTTCGGATACCGCCGTTCGGTACAGATGTCTGACAGCCTACGGTGGGCCACAGGGACGAGAGTGAGTGAGTGTCTTCTTGAGAGTGAATGCCTTGTCTTCTCTCCGCTCTCTTCTTTCAGTCTACCTGTCTCTCTCGCCTTTCGCCAGTCGGGTCCCAACAATATCGAACTACGTCAACCGCAGTGGTTTTGGATTTGCTGAGTAAGAGACTATATATAATACCGTGCACCGGCTGCTGCATGACAGGCGATGTGCGCTACCTGTTTTTTGTCAAGCAATGAACTTGGGACCCTACCTAATGCTGGACACGCAGTGCTATGTGACATGTTCCAGCGGCCCAGAGCGAGCGACAACCACGATGGGTTTTCTATGCTTCTTTTGCCTCCTCCCTCAAGCCTGTCGCGCCTGGCTCACTTGTCTTTGATCTTCTTTTTTCATTTTTCATGCTTCGTTTGTTAGGGTCCCCCAGCCACCCGCCCACCATTAATTGTTGTTGGGCGGGGTGTTTACTTGCCATGTTCATGACTGGGCCCCGGACTTTTTACTCGCACCCCGTCCATTCCACTTGTTGTCAACACACCACCACATCCTATTGTACCATGCCCACCGACACGTCCAAGGCTTGGGGAATTTTGAAGCTTTTGCTTCAGTCTCATCGTTCAATATCCGTGGAAGTTTCATTCGCATGCCCCACCCCTGCCCGACCCGGTCGAAAATGCTGATCTCGAGCTACAGTGCAGATCTCGTGGCGCTTCGAGCATGGTTCGGTGTGGAATCACAAGTCATGAGCCGTCCCCGAGTTTGAGCGGCTTCCGCCTCCTGTGGCCGGCAAGAGTCGGCCTTGACTGTTCCTTGCCTGTTTCGCCATGGAAACGGCCGGTTGAACAGCGAAAAAAGGGTCCCGCGTGCTGCGCGCCACATTTTGTTTTTTTTTGCGTTTGTTCTTAGGTGACCATTGTACACCTACCTGCGGCTGCTGCTGCGATTTCTGCTGTCATTGTCGGAATGTGCTGCAATGGTCGTACGGTTATCGTAGTCAGGTTTGACAACAGTCTGCTCGTTCGTATAGCGATAGCAGTGCGCATCTATCGCGACGGCAAGCGCATTGAGATAATAGTTCGTCCGTCGTGCTTCTAGTCTACACAGACAGATAGTCAGTCGTGTTCTTCTTTGTTGCCACTTCATACCAGAAAAAGAAAGAAAGTCTCCACCAACTTACAGTATCTCCGCTGCAGTTCGGAAATGACGACTATTTTCTTTTGTCGTGTTTGTTGTTGCTGAGCGCACATCGGATGTCGCCGTTCGTTACACGTGTTCAAGCCTGCGGTGGACAGAGGGATGAGAGTGAGTGTCTTCTCGACGAGAGTTCATGCCTTGTCTTCTCGAGTCTCCCTTCCTTCAGTCTACCTCTCTCTCTCTGTTGCATTTTCGCCGTTAGGGTCCCCAATAACATCGAACGTCAACGGCAATCGTTTTGCGTCTTGCTGAGTAGGAGGCTACCCATGTACCCGGCTGCTGCATGTGAGGCAATGGGCGCCGCCTCTTTCCGTCAAGCAATGCGCATGGCCCCTACGGTTCGCCGCACATGCAGTGCTGTGTGACAGCTTCCAGCGGTTCAGAGTGTCGATGGTGTCATTCGCCGGTAGAGCCCCAGAACAACGCGAACCCTGCGACTGTTTCATTGTTTTGGGGTCCCCCACTCACCCACCCATCCATGAATTTCAGCAGTTTTCGTTGGGGGGACGTTTTTCTTGTCATGTCCATGACGTGGTGCCCCGAGCGAGTATGGCTCGGTAGGGACTCGCAAACCATGACCCCTCCCCGAGTTTGAGCATCAGCTTCGGCCTCCTGTGACGGACAAGAAGACCGGAAATTGTCTCGCCATCCAAACAACAGTTGGCCAGTTGAAAAAAAGAGGGTCCGGTCCGCCGAATATTTTGTTTGTATGTTTCCCTGCCGACAAATAACCTCCACCATAACCCCGTCTACGGCAGTGCAAATCTCATGGCGCCTCAAGTACGGTTCCGTAGGGAATTGCAAATCACGACCCCTCCCCGACTTTGAGTATAGCTCCCACCTCCTGCGGCGGACAAGACCGACGTCAAACCCTAGATTTTGTCTGTCTGTGTCGCCATGTCGTCGCCATCCACGAATAGCAGTTGGAGAGTCACAAGAAAGAGGGTCCGCTTCGCCACCAAGAAAACAGTTTTTTTTTTCGATTCTTCTATTGCTGGATATGATGCTACCATGCATCGGGTATAGCTGTGGTTGAGGTTGAGGGATATAGGGTCTACGGCAGCTTATTCTATGCGAAACGTTAACGACTTCCTCGCGTAACGATGCGCATCTCCCACGGCAAGCAGAATGGATGACGTCATCATGACGCTATTTCTTGTGACTACAAGTTCAAGTTCGCCCGGGCGTTATTGTTCTTGCCGGAGAAAGAGACTGAACTTCTACTACGTACCAGTCCGTGCATGTATCCGGCTACTGCATGTGAGGTAGTGGGTGCTGCCCCTGCTGTTTGCTGCGGTACATGGAAAGCTTCCAGTGGGTCAGAGCGGCAAGGGGGTCTTGTTTCTTCACTTGTTTCTTTCGCTCTGCTCTCCTCTACTTCTTCTTTGTTTCCTGTCGCTGGCGGTCTCTCTTTCGTGATCGCCCTTCGTTCTTGCTTGCAAAAAACTGTGAGGATGTAAAATGGCTGAATCTGACTGTTTCTTAGGGCCCCCCGCCCACCCACGACCCACCTGTCGGCATGATTCATTCGTGGTCTCCAATATTTTCAGCAGTAGTGCTCTATTACAGGACATGCGCTACTACTGCTGCGTCCATGGGTGGGTGCAACAGAAGAGCTCCGGGGACTGGTGGTCTTCTGACCTGCCTGATCGCAGAGAGAGCTTCCTGCCACTACCACAATACGACTCGTATGAAATGTCCATGACGGGGAACGCGTCCTACGCCTCTTTTCTTTCTTTTTTCCCTCTCTCCCGTCCGGTTCTTTCGTTTCGGAGAGGAAACCTACATTACTGTGAAAAGCGCATCTTCTGGGGTCCGCATTTACTTAGTCCCGGATTCTTTCCTTGCGTGCGGAAGAGCGCGTTCTGGGTGTGGTCTCCTTTTCATTCGGATGTGACGTGCGCACTACATGTATGTAAACGAACAAAACAGAGCAACGAGATGGTTCTTGAAAGTATGGAGTCCCTCGCCACAAAAAAGTGCACGCGCATGGATGGGCAATAGTGAGATATGCCGGTCGAAGACTGACGGTTTTTCCGGGTGCGCGTGAGGTCGCCTCTAAAAAATAATATTCGTTTGCTCATTTTTTGCTTCATTGTCCAGTCTATAGTTACTACCTCGCATAGCGCATTGAAGCGAGCGGAGGGTCCTAGACTAATCTGTCGTTGACTTGCGGACCCTTCTTCGGGTCCATTTTATTTTCGTATAACTTTTTGGGTAAGTTCGCCTGTGATCACGGCGGGAATCGACCGCGTCAAGTTAAGTGTCAGACTATCATACATAATAGTACGAACAAACGAAGTATATAGAACTCTTTGTCGTGCTCGGTGGGCGAGCGTGTCGCGGTGTGCGCCCTCGACTTTATTAACGGCTAAAAAACTGGAAAGCTTCAGACAGGCAACGCGACGATACTCGTCGAGTTGCTATCACAATTTATTATGGCGACAGTCTCCCCGTTTTTTGTGGTGAGACGTGTACTACACTTTTCAGTGTGTGGTGAGTAGTGTACGACACCTGTGTATTTTTTCGTACAACTACAACCATCCAGGGTCACACAGGAAGGGGTAAAAGACCAGGGCTCTTTTCTTCTTTTTATCATGTTTGTGCCCCACCTTCCTCTGCGGTGCGTGCTGAATTTTTATTTTTATCGCGAGAAGGGTCCAGCCGTCCCTTCCCCCGTCAACGGTTGCTAACGTCGAAGTTTGATACTCACGAGAGCAGCTATACTTCGCTTTCACCCGCAAATTTGGTAAATTCTTCATCCCATGGGGATACGAACTTACGACCTTTGCGACTAGCGGTGTTCGAGGATACCACTAGACCACAGGGGCGATCGGATGTGGAT